CAGAGTTGTACTTGCAATTTTCAACATTGCCAGTTGATCTTCATGAAATTATATCATCTTTTCAGCAGCAGTTCTCAGGCGATTACCTCTCCGGCCAACTGATGGATGCATGGTATGTGGTACATTACATATGTCAATTAATGAATTATGAATAAGAAACATATATGCCTGTGTACGTGTCAGTGGACATCGGCGATCGCTAGCCTCCAATTTATTATGTTCCCCCAACGAAGTGTTTGAAACGAGATTAGTTGTATTAATTATCATTATATATACATGTGTGATATATAAGACCACCATGCACAAATGTCATATTCCTGCCTTCTGCAGGCATCCATTTGCAAGACGCAATCCTATTCTATCCGTTCAGCAAAGTAACATAAACATGATTTCAGATATAGATGGACTCCTCTAATTCTGGTTGCCTTATTTTAAGCAATTCTCTGAGCAATTGCATGCCAAGTTCCCCAGGGCTCATTGCAACCTTTCAAATCATTCCCTGCACCAGGGTGGGTGTGGTTTATTGCTCGAACGCAACCTGTCTGCCTTCTGCAGGCATCCATTTGCAAGACGCAATCCTATTCTATCCATTCAGCAAAGTAACATAAACATGATTTCAGATATAGATGGACTCCTCTAATTCTGGTTGCCTTATTTTAAGCAATTCTCTGAGCAATTGCATGCCAAGTTCCCCAGGGCTCATTGCAACCTGTCGCCTGCAGAGATAAATTTGCAAGACAACATTCTGATCAACGTTTTTGACAGGCCATCATGCACTCACCTTACATGAGTAGGGCTTTTAAAAATGGCTTAATAGCTACATATGTAACCATCTCTTCTATGTTTGTGATTAAGAACCACCACAAATGTTATATTGCTTGTGAGAAATTAATTATTAGCCCCAAAATAATATAACTATAAAATAGATTTCTTAAGTTTTATTTTCGTTATTGCTTACACGTTTTTCTATTCTTACTAAGGTTTTAAATTTGTCTCTTATTTGTTGTTTTGTGAATTCTTTTGCAGAAGGACACAATTTCCAATAATTGCTGTTGTTCAAAGCTGTAATTAATATTTTAATGGGTAAGTTCTCGTCTCGTCGCAAATTGGCGACTGCGGTTTTGAATTGTTTTTCTTCGGTGGCAGACATTTTTCTTCTAGTTCTCCTAGTTGCAAACATCGGTCGTGATGAACAATTTGGCGTTTCTTGCTGGGGGGAAATTGGCTCGTTTTCCACTAACGGCACAGTTGGAAGTGTAGTTTCAGGTCGTGTGAGAGAATCTTTCACGTTCCCATGAACTTGATTTCGAATGAATTGATATGCGCTGACTGCATCGTCAGTTTTATCAGTCAGAGCATAGTAATAATTTTCTTGTATGATTGCATGGCGACTTTAGTAATTATAATAACTTGTAGGTACACCACGTAAGTATTAAATACTGCAAAGCTTTCGGTCCGTTAACCCGGACCTTCATCAGTGCAATTACTTGAATACACGTTTGCGCGTCACTTAAATATCATGTTAGTCGTGATTAGTTTGCTCGCGCTATTAATTAAACGGTTTCATTTAATTAAGTTCTAATTAATGCGCGCGCCCTAGACAAGTATTTGACTAAGAGACACCGAAAAGAGCACGCCACGTACTATTAAGTGGCTTTTCCTCTTGGACGATAGTTTGATGTTTATAAATTTCAATAGATTCTCTCATTTTACGAGAGACAGTAAACTTATCGTTTGCTAAAATGGTAGCATCGTTCCATTTAATGCGATGATCATAAGTCCATGCATGGTGAGCTACTGCAGACTTATCCAGTTTACCTTTCTCGCAGTTCGTCTTATGTTCTTTAAGACGTATTGAGAGATTTCTACCGGTCTCTCCAATGTAAACCAAACCACATTCACATGGAATGCGGTACACACCAGGTTTCTGTTGTTCATCGACGCCATCCTTGTGTGTGTAAAGAGCGCGAAACAATTTGTTATTGCTAGAATGGTAAACTTGTATTCCAACTTCTTTTAAAATCCTAACGATTTTATATGAAGCTGAGCCAATATATAGTAAACAGACAGAGGATAGATATTCCGTGTCTTGCCTCTGTCTTTGCTGTTCATTCATAGCATGTTCTATGAATTTCTTAGGATAACCATTCATGTGCAGAACATCCTTCAAATGCTTTAACTCTGAGTCAATGCTATTTGAATCACAAATTGTTTTGGCACTGAAACCGTTTAATTAATAGCGCGAGCAAACTAATCACGACTAACATGATATTTAAGTGACGCGCAAACGTGTATTCAAGTAATTGCACTGATGAAGGTCCGGGTTAACGGACCGAAAGCTTTGCAGTATTTAATACTTACGTGGTGTACCTACAAGTTATTATAATTACTAAAGTCGCCATGCAATCATACAAGAAAATTATTACAGAACTCTATGGAGAGTATTTTCATAAATCATTTAAACGACTTGACCGGCTTTCACAACAACGCTCAAGATTAATCAACAACTTAACCTTCCTGAAAAGGTGTCGAGACAACGAAGTTGTTCCGAAAGGTTTGCGTATGTTTAATTGTTTCCATACTAAGCATGCAGGCAAAATCTTGAAGAAAGCCGAGTTGGCACTGTTACGAGAAAGAATTGCTTGGACGCGTAAACAACTAAGCGGAGTGGATGACAACATCGCTACTCTTACAGAAGAACTTTGGTTAACTTTTGAAGAAGAACATTTTGCTGTTGCAAAAAGAATGATAGATGCTTCTTTTACGCGTACCTTTAATAAAGCTCGCTCAACACAGATCGCCAAATACACAAGATTGACGTCCGAAAGATCAAAAGATAAAAGAAGACAAGAAGATTTGGCTGTTGACACTCTAAGACGCACTGTTGTTAACCAAAGTGCGCGAAAACTTATGCCGGTTGAAGAAGAAGTCTTGGCATTGGGTTTAAATTTCGCTGTTGTACCACGCAAGATTCCTAAAGAAGAAATCGTTCAACATCTGGAACCAAAGTTGAATCATCTCAGAGATGATATAGCATCCAACATTCGTGTTAAAGTAACTGAGGTCTTGCGACGTACAACTTTACCCAAGTCTAATCTTTCCAAGGAGCAGAAGGATGCAGTGAGGAACCTAAGGGCAGATAAGTCTATACATATTTTAAAGGCTGATAAGGGTAATGCTACGGTTTTATTAAATCGTGCAGAGTACGAAAGTAAAATCCATGCTCTTCTTGAAACTCCAACATATAAAGAGCTAAAACGTGATCCTACAGCCAATATTGAACGTAAAGTATGTTCTAAACTATCTGAACTTAGGAAATCAGGTATTTTGTCTCAAAACCTTCATGATTATTTGAGACCTTCATGTAGTGTGTGCCCAAAATTTTATGGTTTACCCAAAATACATAAATCAGGTGTACCTCTTAGGCCTATAGTTGCATCCCAAGGTTCACCGACTTATAATTTAGCTAAATATCTTGCTAGAATTTTAAAACCAGTTGTTGGTCAAACTGAACATCATGTAGTTAATTCTAAAGAATTTGTTACGAATATGCAAGATGTTAGATTAGGTAAAAATGAAATTCTTGTCAGTTTCGACGTAGTTAGTTTATTTACTAATGTACCAGTAGATGAGGCGTGTAACATTGCGAAAGACAGGCTGCTTTCAGATGATACCCTCTCTAAAAGGACTAGCCTTTCTCCTGAGAGTATATATGAACTACTGAAATTGTGCCTGAATACAACTAGTTTTCAGTGGCGGGAGAAATACTACGAGCAAACTCATGGTGCTCCTATGGGTAGTCCCTTATCACCAGTTATGGCTAATTTATTCATGGAAGAATTTGAAAAGAAAGCTATAGCTACAGCATGTTTAAAACCTGGTTTCTGGTTTAGATATGTAGATGACACATTAAGTAGTTGGTCGCATGGTTTAGAAAATTTGAATAAATTTTTAGATCACATTAATAGTATACACCCTTCAATTAAATTCACATTAGAAATACAGAAAGATAACTCTATATCTTTCTTAGATATCTTATTTGATGTAAAAGAGAACGGGACTTTGGGCCATAAAGTTTATAGAAAACCAACACACACTGACAGATATCTGAATTATAGTTCATTTCACCATCCTAGCATTAAAAGATCAGTATGCAAAACATTAATCAACCGTGCCAAAACAATTTGTGATTCAAATAGCATTGACTCAGAGTTAAAGCATTTGAAGGATGTTCTGCACATGAATGGTTATCCTAAGAAATTCATAGAACATGCTATGAATGAACAGCAAAGACAGAGGCAAGACACGGAATATCTATCCTCTGTCTGTTTACCATATATTGGCCCAGCTTCATATAAAATCGTTAGGATTTTAAAAGAAGTTGGAATACAAGTTTACCATTCTAGCAATAACAAATTGTTTCGCGCTCTTTACACACACAAGGATGGCGTCGATGAACAACAGAAACCTGGTGTGTACCGCATTCCATGTGAATGTGGTTTGGTTTACATTGGAGAGACCGGTAGAAATCTCTCAATACGTCTTAAAGAACATAAGACGAACTGCGAGAAAGGTAAACTGGATAAGTCTGCAGTAGCTCACCATGCATGGACTTATGATCATCGCATTAAATGGAACGATGCTACCATTTTAGCAAACGATAAGTTTACTGTCTCTCGTAAAATGAGAGAATCTATTGAAATTTATAAACATCAAACTATCGTCCAAGAGGGAAAGCCACTTAATAGTACGTGGCGTGCTCTTTTCGGTGTCTCTTAGTCAAATACTTGTCTAGGGCGCGCGCATTAATTAGAACTTAATTAAATGAAACCGTTTAATTAATAGCGCGAGCAAACTAATCACGACTAACATGATATTTAAGTGACGCGCAAACGTGTATTCAAGTAATTGCACTGATGAAGGTCCGGGTTAACGGACCGAAAGCTTTGCAGTATTTAATACTTACGTGGTGTACCTACAAGTTATTATAATAACAGAGCAGTAGTTGTCTGAAGTTTGTGGCAAGTGACTCATTGCATTAGCCAGTGGAATCTTTGTATGGTACAAGTATCATTGCGAGATATTTCCCGCTGCGCCGTTACTACGGTCTTGCGAATAATCGTGGCTGTGAATGTAGCTTTTGAATTGGGACAAAGGCGCGTCGCGAGATTGTTTACACGACACGTTACTTTGCCACCAATTAACTGTTTCCCAGCCGTTGTGATAAAGAAGTGATTGTTCCGCGCTTTACCTTGCGATGAATATGTTGCATACCTCGGCCGTAGGTATCTGAGATACTTGGTCGCCATAGAAAAGTCGCATTCACTCCAAACTAATGGTGCTGGACCGTTGCTGGAAGTTTTGTGCTTCCACGAATGGGTTACCATCAGCGAATTGCCTTCGTCCGTTTCTCGCCTTTCTGCCACACGAAACTCATCCACGGTTAAGTTGGAAATCGCGCCGGGTCGCTGCGCATTTCTCAGAAGCAGAGAAAGCATAAGGTAATCCCTGAATTCGTTGAAGATCTCTTCCGTGATTATCGACTGGGACGATACCTGGAGGAAATTATTTCGAATACTTATAGATTCTTCGCAATTGAGCACAGTTTGGTATTGTTCCGCCGTAATCAAATTCTGCCTTTGTTTAGCTGAAGCTCGTGCGATCTGCGCCGTTTATCCTTGTTGATGATTTTTCCCCAATTTTTTATCTTTAGGATTGCTGCTTCTATGCTGTTCAAGTCATCTTGGTCGAAGTCCATCAAGCATTTCAATTGGAGATTGTGTGCTTTAGCAAACTTTAGAAAAGACATATAAGAGCAACTGTAATGTGCTAATGTGCCAGGTTGCTTCGGAACTTCTCTTAAGTAGTTGCCCTCGAAGAAAGTCCTCCTAATTATTCCGACCGTCTCCTCCTTCCAAAGAAGCGAGCAATCGTTCACCGTTTGGTCAACCTGAAAAAGTAACTTTCCAACGTTGCTCACTTCTTCTCTGCTGTAGCTTTTTTTACCCCCGTCGAAGCTTTCCAAATAGTTCTGAAAGAGTTTTAGGACCGGGTTTTTTTTTACCCTCGTTGCTAGCTCCCCCCTCTCCGGGTCTTTAGGTGCCAGAGGGCCGTGACTGGGCTGTGGGAAGGCGCATTTTCTATTCCTCGCCCGTCTCCGGATTCCTCGCCACTCTCTCGCTTTGCACATCAGACTACAGAATGGGGATTAACCATTTATTACTTAAATTTGTAAATTTAGGTTTTGAGTTTTACATCATCGAGTTTTCGTACTTACGAACAATCCTCTGATCCTTTTTGTATTTTATGGTAATTGCAAATATGTGGGCCATCTTTACCAACGTCCGGGTGCAATTCTCGACAACGCAAGGCTCCAAGATTGCAAGTTTGCCGCCTTGGTTTTTGCCTTTTCGCTGCAACCTTGCTGTGTTGCGGGCCTTTTCTTGCGTATATCCGTGGATAACTTTTAAATGCGTTGGTAATGTTGCCCTATTTTTTCCACATTCAGGGCATCTTTTTTTTATCTAAAAGAAAATTAAATGTAGCTAACTGCTTTAGAAATAGGATACATGAAAAATAAAAGTGGAACATTTTAACGTTTTCACCATTTAAAGAGTTTCTCTGGTAATGGTGCACGAATATAATATACTCACCCTATCTTGTTTTTGCTTGGCCTTCGCAGACACCTCGTTCTCCTGAAAAGTTGAAATGCCGAAAAAGTTTACAGTTTAGGCGCTGCGGTGTACCCAGCATTATAACTTAACGTTAATCATTATAATTTTGCACATCCTGATTCCAAATGCATACCTCATTTTCCACACTGTGCAATGATGTACCGACTTTCGGCTCTTCGTGTGTATTTTCCATTGTTTAAAAAACTGTGCTGAATTTAAATTCTTCACAAGTTCTTTGCCGTCATTAAGTTTTGTTCGCGTCGTGAACAATGCTCAATTAAATGTAATTAATAATTATCAGAATCGAACTTTTTATCACACGTCATGAACTCACTCCATATATAAATATATAGTTCAGTGAAACGTCAGACTCCTTATTACGTATACAGATCAGTAAAATTTTATATAAATAAAATGAAAATTTTGCTTTTGAAAGAAGTTAATTGATGTGTTTTCTTCCCTGCAACCAATGACTAATTCGCCGTCTTTGTCTCTCTAATTTCGGGAGAGATATAATAGTTTCAGAATTCAACAACGAAATAGAGGAGGTTGGTTATGTTGATTTTTTTTATTCGAGATTGTTTTTGTCTGTCAATGTCAGTAGAATTGATTAATGAAATGGATGGTTTATTGCATAAATATTCTGTAGTGCAAATCTCGGGAAGCGAACGTGAATTGTTTAAATTTCTCCTGTCGAGAACTTGAAAATTGCTTAAATTGAACATGGTGATTTGGCAAGTAACACCAATCGAACACTAATTGCCAATCAGCCACGTCACAATCGGGGGGGCGTTTTCAATATATCGAACGAGATCGCTCAAAATTCGTGAATCGGGATGCTTTGCTCGCTTCAGGACAAATGACAAATCATTTTTTTGAAGCAAATGCAATGATTCGAACGAGAGACGAAGCCTCTATATAATTTTTTATATTTGCGAACATGTTTGTGATGGTATATAGGCAAAGCATGGTGTGTTGTATATGTTAGTGACGACTTCATCTATCTTTGCCTTTACTATCAATGTATGTTGCCGGGCAAAGGAACTGCAGTGGAAAATGAGAAAGGTTAGGGTTAGGGTTAGGGTTAGGGTTTCGGTTAGGAAAAGAAATACGTCAGCGATAAACGCTTTTGGAAAGTGGTTATCAAACTTTAATTGGTCTCCATTGTATCACACTACATCTTGCGAAGACAAATTGAACATCTTCCATGATACTATTGAAGCAGGGATGGATATTTTCTTTCCATTAAAGCTCATAAAAATTCACAATCGCGATAAGCCTTGGATAACTGCTAAGTTTAAGAAATTAATTCGTGATAGACAAAAAGCGTTTCATCAAGGAAATTCTTTCGTGTATAAGCAGTTGCGCAATAGAGTGAAGAGAGAAGTGTCAAAACTCAGATCATCTTATCTTGAAAGGAAACTTAACCACCTTGCGTCAAATCCAAACCCGAAAAAGTGTTGGGACTCAGTTAAAAAATTAGCAGGCTACAACAAAAGGACTCAAAGTCCTGTGACCCTTATGGGTACTGATAATCAACCACTGACTGGCGTCGCACTTGCCAATAAAGTTAATGAGGAATTTTCTAAGATCTCCCAAGAGTATGCTCCTCTCCAACAACTTCCTACAAACAGCAACGTTGGCGATCTTCCTACAGAGTATATAATTAAGGAGGAAGAGGTTTTCAATGCGTTATCCTCTTTGGATGTCTCCAAGTCCTCTGGCCCGGATGATATCCCGAAATGGGTATTGAAATGTTATTCATCATTACTGGCGTTGCCGATAACATCAATTTTTAATGCGTCTATCCAATCTGAACACGTCCCAAGTCGTTGGAAGCGTGCTAATATTATCCCTATCCCGAAATCGCATAATGTTAATGATGTTAACCAGGACTTGAGACCGATTTCCCTTACTCAAACGTTATCAAAGTGTTGCGAGCGTTTTGTTGCCGATTGGGTTCTCACTTGTATACGCGATAGAATCGACAGGCGGCAGTTTGGATCTTTGAATGACTCATCTACTACGCATGCATTGGTCACCCTTATTCACCTTCTGTTGCAGGAAACTGATGGGACTGGCAACTCGGTTAGAGTACTTCTTATCGATTTCTCCAAAGCTTTTGATCGAGTCGACTATCATATCTTGCTCGAAAAAATGGCTAATTTGGAAATTGATAGATAGATAGATAGATAATTTTAATAGTTTCTCCCAGAAGGGTTTTTCAGAACCTATTTACAATATTTAAGAAATAATTATATTATATGGATAATTTACAATTAAAACTAAACTATGTTTAATAGAATGTTAAAAAGCTAATAGTATTTACAATGTCGATAACAGGCTAAAATGACAGTAAATGATCTTTCAAATGAGTTTTAAAAGTCTTAAGTGATGTACATTCCTTCAGTTTACTATCTAGGTTGTTCCAAATCACAGCTCCTCTATACGCAAATGACCGTTGACCTGTACTTGTTTTGAACCGGGGTATTTGTACTAAGTTGCAATACCTAGTTGACCTATTATGAATAGAAGTTCTCTTCTCGAACATATCACAGAGGTATTTTGGCGCTAAAGTGTTCATACATTTATAAGTCATAACCGCATCACGGAAATAGAGCAATTTGTCGACAGTCAGCCACTCCAGATCTTTAAGTAATGGGGTTACATGATCATATTTCTTAGATCCTGTGATTATTTTACTTGCAAAATTTTGAACCGATTGAAGTTTCTTCATGTTAGCATTTGTTGTATTTGACCACACTGTGGAGCAATATAACATTTTATTGATCACTAACGAGGATATTATCATGGTGAGTGTGCTCTTATCGAAGTTGTTTTTAACTCGGTTTATCTGGCACAATTTGTGGAGGCAAGATGATACTACTTTAGAGATATGTTTGTCATAACTTAGGTGTTTGTCCATCAACATTCCTAGATCTTTCGCCCAATCAACAGGTTCTAAAAGTTTTCCCATGAAAGGAACCGAGATATTAACATCGAGCTCTCTTATCAACTGTCTTGTTCCAAGAATCATAAATTTAGTTTTGTCTGGGTTGACCAGAAGACTGTTTTCGCAGCACCAAGTCGCGATCATATGTAGATCTTGTTCCAAGTTTTTTACAGCGTTGTCAACTTCTGATAGAGGAAACGATAACAGTAACTTTGTATCATCTACATATGATTCCAGATTGCCATTGTAGGATGTAGCGGGTAAATCGTTTAAGTATATACAGAAGAGCAGTGGCGATAAAATGGCCCCCTGAGGTACCCCATGAGTTATAATAGTGGCTCCGATATTGTAGAATCAATACGAGTGACTTGAGAGCGGTCAGTTAGGTAACTTCTAAACCAATTTATTGTGGAATTAGAAGCTCCGACATTGAATAATTTTTGGAGTAGCCTCTGGTGATTTATACTATCGAACGCCTTTGAGAGATCCAGCAACACTAGCGCTGTAAGCTTCTTTTTGTCCATGGCATCTAAGATTGAGTCAGTGGTGAAAATATTTAATGTTTCCGTCGAATGGAGTGTTTTGTTTCCACTTTGGTGGGGAGTTAATCGCTTGTAGTTGATTAAATAGGAATTCAATTGTTCAAGAGCTAATTTTTCACACACTTTCGACGCTACTGCTAGTAGTGACACTGGTCGGTTATTAAAGGGTAGTTCATGATCACCTTCTTTATGTATAGGAATGAGCTCTGCCTTTTTCCATGCCAGTGGAAAGGTAGAAGTTCGGAAAGAACAGTTAATAATATCCGTAAGAGGACCCAAAATGACTGGAAGACAGTCTTTTATTATCTTTGGGTTAATTAAATCTGGGCCGGGAGATTTATTGTTAGGTAAAGATAACACCACTCGACGAACTTCATAACAAGATACCGCCCTAAACGAAAATTGATCGTTTTCCGGTATATAAACTTTTTCATAGGGTTCCTGCAGAGCGATGTTATTAGCAGCTGCTAGATGAATAGATTTCTTTGCAGCATTTTCACCAACTGATGAAAAAAATTGATTGAATTCGTTTGCGATAGATTTGTGATCTTTGGTGTAAATTTGTCTCTCTTGGCTCTTTGATGGTACCAGACGGTTTATTATTTTCCAGATAGACCTCGGGTTATCTTTGTGTTGCTGTACTTCATTAGAATTATGTTCATTTTCTGCCTTCCTGAGAGCTTTTTTAATATTATTTCGGTAGATCTTGTAATTTTCCCAGTCCTTAGTGTCACGCGTAATTAGGAATTGATGGTGTAATCGGTCTCTCTCTTTCATTTGGTTTCTAAGATTTTGTGTGATAAAAGGGCAAGGTCGGTTACGAATCGCTGTTGTTTTAATCGGTGCGTGAACATCTAGTGTTGATTGCACAACATGGTTAAAGCGATCGAGTTTGTTATTTACATCTTCCTCTTCCAAAACGGATAAGAGGGAGTCTGACTTTCTAGCTAGATCGGTGAAGAAGTCATTAGGTACATAGTTTTTGTAGCTACGCGTAGTGATATATCTTGTGGCTTGTCTAGGAGGTTTAAGTTTGAGTTCCGCGTACACTGGCAAATGGTCGCTGATAGATGCGTTTAATACCCCACTTCGGCTAACTAACGACTTCGACGACACTATGATGACATCTAGCAATGAACAAGTTGAATTCGTGATCCTCGTTGCGGTTTCGATGATTTGGGTAAGGTTCATTTCATTTAAAAATTTTTCAAGAGATTTATACTCTGCGCAACCACTCTTCAATACATCACAATTTAGGTCTCCTAGGATCAGGATTGGTTTGTTTAATAATAAAGCTTCCATATAGTTTGGCTTAAGAGCGTCTTCCAAACAGTTCAAGGGACAGTCAGGTGGCCTGTAAGTTACACAGATTAAAAACGATTTGGATTTTTTATACTGAACATTTATCCATTGTTGATGGAAGTTGTCTTCAGAGATAGAAGACAGAGACTTTATGACAGATGCTTTAAGTTCTTTACGAACATACGTGCACACCCCTCCACCTCGTTTATGAAGGCGGTCTAATCTTAAAAGATTGAAACCTTCTATTTTTACTTCAGCAGACGATACACTTGTATTTAGCCACGTTTCTGATATTGTTAAGATATCAAATTTTTCATTTCGCGTCAGTTCTCTCATTTCGGTGAGATGTACATTGTTCCTAAGCGAGCGGATGTTTAAATGAGCCACTTTAAGCCTGTTGTTTTTTAAGTTATACCTCGAATTCTGGATTCCTGATAAACTTGGTGACTGAGTTTTGGACATAGGAATTGGGATTAGATTATTTAAGTTTCTCTTTTTTGAATGAGTGTAAGATAATATACCAGGGCGTCGTAAAGAAACTATAGGGATTTGCTTGCTGACTTTATTCTGCCGTGTTGATGGGTTAATCAAGTTATTATTTGACTGATGGAAATATTCTTCGGGAGGAATGAGCATATGTGTCGTGTCAGATATTACATTCTGGTTATCTGGCTGACTAATTGTAGGTGTTTGTGCCAATTGTTTGGTCGGTGATTCGAACGGCCTGTCCGAAAATCCCTCTTGCTCGATCGCCAGTGATCATTCGGGGACACAGGGTCGTTACGAGGTGTTAGATTAAATGAAAAATCTCTCGGAGGTAAGCGGACCATCCGCTCAACGTGTTGTTTCGTTGACATGAAGCCTTTATCTTTATTTTTATTCGGAGAACTCGTCCAAGAAAACCTCTTACTCACTGGCTGTGAGTCGTTTGATTCAATCAAAGGTAGGCGTCCCACCCACTCAACGTTCTGTTTCACTGTCTTATGCCCTTTATCTTTATGTAACGATTTTTTGCTTGGTACATAGCCGTAGTTATATTTGCTAGTTTTCATTGTAAATTTTTCTTTATGAGTTTGAACGTTTGTTTGATGTTCTACAGATATATCCTTATGTTGGCTCTCACTTAACGATAAGGAGTCTGTCCATTTGGTTTGTTTTGGATCAATAATTAATGATGCGTCACCTACGCCTTCAGAGATTTTGGGCTGATCAGATGTAAACGCCTGTTCATTGTTCAGGATAATTGTAGGTGATTGGAGCGTGGCATTTTGTTCTCCTTTTTTACAATGGCTTTGTTCTTGAGTTAATACTTGGGCGCTTTTACAATTATTACTTATTGTTACATCCATGCTTAGTGATGCTTTGGAGGCTTCGGGATTAAATTCTGAGAGCATCAATTCGTCCGGCGCACGATCGGTTTCGTCTACCAGATTAGATTTAATTTCTAAGTGAGCAATTTTTATCTTGAGCAGATCTAGTTCCGATCTAAGTTGTTCAGATTTCTTTCTCTCGTCGGCGAGTTCCAACGTAATGCATTGAATGTTGTTTAAGTATGTGTCTATCGGGTCAAGTATCTTATTTGCATTTGCCAGACTTTGCAGGGCATCAGTTCTCGATTGTAAAATTTCATAGTTTAACTTCATATCATCCAATTCCGCCCGGATACTTTCACATGAACACTTACAGCTTGATGTATTTTCTGAGTGATTCATTTCCACTACTTTGGCTTCCATTAGCGTGGACGATGACTTGTCAGCAGTGCAACCCAAATCAAGACGCAAAGCCCTCCTGCTACAGATGTTAACTAGAATTTGTCTTAAACGTTCACCCGCTTTGCCTTGAAATAATAAGGTTTTCTGCTTGCCAAAGTACCATGTGAAACACAGGTCAGAGAATTCGCTTTTGAAACGCCGAGATTGACCTCCTGGCGATGTCCATTTGCCCGATTCTTTGAGATTATTTTCAACGAATTCTTTCAACAGTTCGTAGTTATTTGTCCATTTGATTCGTTTACCATCATATGTGACATTTAGATAAGCATTATTGCTACATATCGATTCTTCACTCCACTTATCTGGAGTGTTATCTAACAAATTAGTGCCATCAACTTTAGCAAGTGCATCCGCCATGTTGGATTCATTCACATTAAGTGAACCAGGGGCGGGTAAATCTCAAGCAAATTCCACTGATTTTGAGGAATTGTATGGTGGCCTGGAGCCGCCATAAGGAAATAAACGTTTATTTTTATTTTTTTTTATCTAAAAAAAAAAAAATCCAAGAGAATATTTATATTTTACTTTAGATAATGAAATACAAAATGAATGACAAGAAAAATAAATATAAAAAAAAAATATTTTCTCAAATAAAATAAACGTAGTTTTCATAAAATCCTTTTAATTTTAAAATAAATATGAAATAAATTAAAATTAAATTAAAAGCATACAAAAATTAAAATCAAAGTAATTTGTTGTTAAAACAAAAGCTTGTCGCTGGCCTATCGCTGCCAAAGACCACGATGCAGTTCGAGACCAATACTACGTACGTCACAGATTAATCCACCACCCCATGTAACATGAAGTCCCACAAGAATTGAAAATCCATCATGTCTAGAATTAGGAATGATAGTTGGAAGGAAGACGAAAATTTGGAGAAAACCCTGAAGCAATATGTTAAAGAAGGTCTAAGACGTGAGGAGATTCTCGATTTTTTGCTTCGTGATTTCCCAGAATATGCCTGGAGTTTGAGGACCCTGGATAGAAGATTGCAGTATTTCGATATAAGTTATACTGACCGAAATGTCACGATTGACCAGCTTCAAACAGCGGTTAGAAAGGAGATGGAAGGGCCGGGACAGTTGCTGGGATATAGAGCTCTACATAAGAAAATTCGACAAGTACACGACCTTAAAGTACCTCGAGACTTGGTATACGCAGCGATGTATGACGCTTTCCCAGATGTTCTAGAGCAGAGAGCCCCCCAATGTAAGAAAAAGAAGCCCAAAGGCCATTTTTCGTCTCCAGGCCCGAACTTTGTACACTCACTAGATGGCCACGACAAGATAATGGGCTATCAAAATAACACTTTTCCACTTGCAGTGTATGGGTGCATTGATACATGCAGTAGAAAAGTGTTATGGGCTAAGGCTTGGACAACCAACAGCGATCCAAATGTTATTGGCAGATTCTACCTTGAATACCTATATAAAACCAGAACTATTGCAAGCAAACTGAGACTTGACAAGGGCACCGAGACCGGAGTAATGTCTACAATACACGCATTTCTTCGACAGAAACATGGTGACATGGACCCAGTGGAAACTGTCATCTTTGGGCCTTCAACTGCAAATCAGGTAAGAGAGAAATCAAATTCCTATTAATGCTATCAGGATCAACCATAGAAAATTTTCTCACAATTTTAAAAACCTAAACCTACTGGTGCATGAGTTTTGCCATAACCATATTAATATAATATCCAAAATTACTGTATATATTCTCATTAAAATTTTATCTGCATGGACATTTTTTGGGGAGGGACTGATTTAAAAAGAGGGCTAAATCTTTCTTAATTATTCTTAATCTTTTCTCAATTATTCAAAGATTGAAAGGTGGTGGAGGGAACTCCATGAAAGATTGGAAAAATTCTTCAAGTTTCCCCTTAATCAACTTAAGGACCATGGATATTATGATCCTCAAGATGAAAATGATAGGTATAAGATGAGATAAAAATATTCCATCCACAAGATGATTGGTTTAATATTTTACTTCAATTGTATGCATTTTTCCTGCCACATAGGTTGCTTCTAGCATATATCATGATCCCAATCATCCAAAAGGAAATTGATACATTTGTTGATGTTGTCTGGAATTCTCACAGAATTCGTGATCAAAAAAATACGTATCTCCCGGATGGAGTACCCAACCATATTTATAGCTTTGCAGAAAAATATGGACTAAAGGAATGTGGTATGGATTGCTATCAACAGTATATCAAAATTTTATTAAATCTAACAGCAGTGTTTAATTTCATATTTTTATTTTACAGGATTTGTGGTTACAGAGGAACAGCTTGAAGAAGTTGCTGAACTATCAGATGTGTTATCCAGTAACAATGATTATTTGCCAGCTCAATTTAGGGTAAAGTGTGAATTAGTCATTGAAGATCCATTGGAACTTGATGTTAATGATTTTTCAAATGCTTTTCGCTACCTCAAGGAAAATATCAACTTTAATGACCTATCAACTGAGTCACAGGGGTAGTGTCATTTTAAACCACCATTCAAACAACTTGGAACAACAACAGAAACTTAATCAAATGTTCTTTCATTTAAAAAAACTTACTGTATGTCTGGCAAATCAAAAAGTTTGCAATACAAGTTGCATGCATGTTTGCGAATAAAATTATTAATTGCAACAATTGATAAATTACCAGTGCAAAATAGGTATGACGAATCATCCTCAGACATGATTTGCTTGGAAGCAATTTCAGGGTCGAATAGAACGCATCCACAGCCTTGGATGTCAAGTACCATAACTTCTTTTTGAGATCTTTCAAAAGAGAAGTGTGCAAGACATTCTGCTTTCGCAGTAAGGTCAAAGTCCTCTCCACAGACATCTCCATTGTTATTAATATACTTGACAAATGCGCCATCTACCATTTCCTCTATAGTAACATACTCATCATCCCCAATCTTTCCAAGAAAATTTTTTTGTAGTAAAAAAACTCTCCAAACTGGGCTTCCTTTCCATTTGCAATCAATTCATCTTTCATCTTAGCTGTGAAATTCCTGGCTAAATAGTGCATCTGCACAACTTTCTTTGTGTGCTCTTCAACTGTTTGGCCAATTAGTTGTATATCTGACACAGCCTGAATAAACAAGTAATTATATAATAATGATAATGATAGTAATACATTATTAAGTAATAATATTTTTCTGGTTTTCTTCTAAAAACCACAAATTGTGCTGAGATTTTCTTCAATGAACATGTGAAATGCTACTAATTAGCTCAGGCCCATGCATACCTAGAATTAGGTGCAGTAAAGTGCAGTGAATAATACTAATAATCATATAATAAATATAATGAGCAATTAGGGTAGATAATGCTAAGAGGGAATTTCTTCACAGCCCCAATCAGACAGGAGTCCCAAACTAAAATTGTCTATATCTGTATGGATCTGAATGACCTTATCAAAAGAGGTCTAACATTAGAAAACTAATTTTTTTTCTATTCATCAAAATTTACCTTTGGTAGTACTTCTTTATTACCCATGTGGGTCCTGCAAAATCCCTGTGTTGACTGATTGCTTTATAAGCTTTCCTGAAACCTCCAACCCCAAGAGGTTCTGGCTCGATGTTGAACTCTACTATTATGGGATGTTCCGACCAGGACATGCCATTCATGTCAAAGGAATATATTTGAACGGATGTCGTTTTTTTACTTATAACTGTCCCAAGTTTTATCATGTCCACAACAGACAGACTTCTTGGAACAAACTTGCTGGGACTTGGAACAGATTTCACCTTGGCAGACGTATGTTTTGTTGAAGGACTATTTTCTCGTTTTTTTCGTTTGGATGGAGTTTCAGCAGGGGAACGTCTAGCATCGGACACCTCGACTACTGCATCTTCATCAACAAAGCGCACGTGAATAACTTTGAAACTTGGTATTTGTTTCACGGACGTACAAGACGGCCCCTGTTCTCCTGCTAGAACATCACAGGTCATACTGCCATCACTTATGCCAAAGTGCTTCATACACGCATCTTTAATATTTTGTATCGTCAACTCTCCGAACTCTTCAAACGATACAAACTCCCTGGCACCAACCCGAGAATACTTCTGAGCCTTACCAGCGACTTCGGCGCTCAGCCGTTGCACAACAATCGTCTCAAATTCTTTCTTTGAACAGGCTGTTTCTTTCGCCCCCTTCTCTTTTCTTTCATCTTCTGTTGGAACTTTCTCCAATCAGACATGATTATGTATGTAAAAATTCAGTATTTTCAGCAATAATTTATAACTATATCGTTTCTCTCTCTAGTTGTAGAAATTCAGTAAATAAAAGTAATCGTCTCCCCCCCCTGCGAATGTCTAAAAAGAGCGCATTTCTAACATAGACAGGGGGGTGATACATCTGGGTATTAATCTGTGACGTACGTAGTATTGGTCTCGAACTGCATCGTGGTCTTTGGCAGCGATAGGCCAGCGACAAGCTTTTGTTTTAACAACAAATTACTTTGATTTTAATTTTTGTATGCTTTTAATTTAATTTTAATTTATTTCATATTTATTTTAAAATTAAAAGGATTTTATGAAAACTACGTTTATTTTATTTGAGAAAATATTTTTTTTTTATATTTATTTTTCTTGTCATTCATTTTGTATTTCATTATCTAAAGTAAAATATAAATATTCTCTTGGATTTTTTTCTTTTTAGATAAAAAAAAATAAAAATAAACGTTTATTTCCTTATGGCGGCTCCAGGCCACCATAGAATTGGATTCGACGTTTTTTGACCAATAAAAAGCAGCGTGTAAAACTAAATGGATGTGTCTCTGATTGGCGTGCTATTAACGCTGGCGTTCCCCAAGGTACAGTTTTAGGTCCGATTCTTTTTCTGGTTATGGTGAATGATCTTTTAGCTGAGTGGAATGACAGATGGAAGTATGTCGATGACGTTACGGCTAGTGAGACTGTAACACCTCAATCTAATAGCACTTTACAACTCCTAGTGGACGAAATTGCGAATTGGACGACACGAAATCATATGAAACTTAATGTGTCTAAAGCAGTGTTTACACTAGAGACCTATACCTGACCTAAGACCTAACTTAAGCAGTTAGTCCTGTAGTGTAAACGCACTAGGACTGACCTAAGACCGACCTAGGACCGACCTAAGACCATGATTTCAGGCCAAGCATTAGAGGTGGCCTGAAAACATGGTATTAGGTAAGTCCTAGGTAAGTCTCAGGTCAGTCTGGCGGTGTAAACACATTTTCATTGACCTAAATGTGATCGAAGCTAATTTCCATGACAACAAACGTAAATTCGAGTCTTTGATGTCAGCATTTAGCTGTCTTGGAATTTCAGCGCGATTTTGCAATAATTAGGGGGAAATTCAGAGTTGATAAATTAGCTACATGGCGAATTTCGGAACTTGCCGATAAATTATATCATATATTTTTTAATTTTGCATGAAATCGTTGTCAGTAATCCCAGTAATATCACTATTATATACGTCGTAATCTTTTACGAGGCTTTGTAGCTTGTACGAAATAAACAAACAAAGAACTGCAAGCTTATTTTAATATTCTCCTCGGAGTACTTTATGTTGCGTGTATGTATATAAGTCCCGTTAGGTAACTGGTGTAAACACACCCTGTAAAACCTGGTTAGGTACTTCTCAGGTACGGGTAAATGTCAGGTAAATGTCAGCCCCTTCGTGTAAACACGGCTTAAGTGTAAAGAACTAATAGTGCAGTTTTCAAACGAGAAATCATCTTTTACACCATTGCTCATAGAAGAATTACCAGTCGAAATGGTCAGTTCAGTTGAAATTTTGGGCCTCACTATTCAAAATGACTTAAAATGGAACAAGCATATCCATAATATACTTACAAAAGCGGGTAAAAGGCTTTATATGTTACGCTTGTTGAAACGGGCAAAAGCGGATCAGGCAACATTGATCACTGTGTATACCACAATAATTCGACCAGTTTTGGAATATGCTGCACAAGTTTGGCATTATAATATTCCTGCTTATATAAGCGATGAGATTGAAAGTTTTCAAAAGCGTGTCTTGAGAATTATTTTGCCTCACTATACTTATGCTGATGCATTGGAACAGTTGAATCTTGATACGTTGCAGGGTCGTCGAAAGAATCTTTCAACTAGGTTCTTCCAACATAATATTGATAGTGCCTACTTTGAAGAGTATCTGCCGCAAAGAGAGTGTCTAACTATGAACTACGCTATAACAATTTATATAATCACTATCGCTGCCATACCGAACGATTTAAAAACTCTTTCTTTCCACAAAGAGTTTTAAAACAATTATTTTAATATTCTTCAATTTTCTAAATTTTTAATATAGTTTAGTATAGTAGCTTTACTTAAATAGCTTTTAGTATATCGTATGTATGTAAATTCTAACGCAATTTAACCTTTGGGTTACAATGTTAGTTTCATTAAATAATAATAATTAAAAATGATATCCTCAAATGCAATTTCTCGTCTTGGGAGTCAATGTTGATGTAACATTCGGAGTGAATGTCTTTATACGGCACTCGTATCTGATCGTCTTGTATTTGTTTGAAATATGGAATAGCATCTCTAATCCTTTGAAGCAGCAGATCGTAATCTTTTATTTCGCATTCGGTGAAAAAGCTAGCACAACGATCTTCGAAGAAGATCTTAAAAGATCTTTTAACTAATATTTGGAACATATTGCAGCCAAAATCAGCACGGACACAGTACCTAATTTAATTTCGTTTACGAGGTGTCATTTGCAATGTGGCGCGCAATTTGCTTGCGACGGTTGCTAAATGCTTGGATCTACTTGTCAATCAATATTGCAACATTGCGTCACAAGATTGCAAAGTAGTACGCAGAGAGTACGCAAGTATTTCTCATATCTTATTCATGTTTTTAATTTCAAGTCCTTTATAAAGGTCATATTTGTTAATACTGATATTAAAGGGCCTTGATTGTAAGAATAACATTGCGGAATTTTTTTAGATAGATAGATAGATAATTTTAATAGTTTCTCCCATAAGGGTTTTTCAGAACCTATTTACAATATTTAAGAAATAATTATATTATACTGGATAATTTACAATTAAAACTAAACTATGTTTAATGGAATGTTATAAAGCTAATAGTATTTACAATGTCGATAACAGGCTAAAATGACAGTAAATGATCTTTCAAATGAGTTTTAAAAGTCTTAAGTGATGTACATTCCTTCAGTTTACTATATCTAGGTTGTTCCAAATCACAGCTTCTCTATACGCAAATGACCGTTGACCTGTACTTGTTTTGAACCGGGGTATTTGTACTAAGTTGCAATACCTAGTTGACCTATTATGAATAGAAGTTCTCTTCTCGAACATATCACAGAGGTATTTTGGCGCTAAAGTGTTCATGCATTTATAAGTCATAACCGCATCACGGAAATAGAGCAATTTGTCGACAGTCAGCCACTCCAGATCTTTAAGTAATGGGGTTACATGATCATATTTCTTAGATCCTGTGATTATTTTACTTGCAAAATTTTGAACCGATTGAAGTTTCTTCATGTTAGCATTTGACACGGAATAATACAATGGCGCCGTGACAACCGACACGGAATGACACAATGGCGCCGTGGTTGAACAGTTGAAATCTACTTGAAAACTTCTGTGAACTTGTTAAAAATATAAATGATATTTTTATGTCTCGACCGACTTTCAGTCATGTTTAGAAGGATTCAAGCGATTTTCGCGGATAAACAGAGGAGTGAACTTGGGAATCGGCGAAATGCGTTCATTTGCAGGTAGTAAGTAAATTTTAAATTAATATATCTGTCACAAAATATTAACTTTTTTACACCAAGCAGTGATAATATATTTAAAAATGGAGGAATTATGTTTCTGTTAAAACGATTTGGGAAAAAAGACAGTGCAAACCGACTGCTGTTTATTTGATGTTGTAAGTCACAATTTGGCACTTGTGTATAAGTATTGCATGGTCATTTTCTTGTAAAATATTAGTGCTAGGCATTTTCTACTTACCAATGACCACCCCTAAAAGCACCATCTTTGAACCATATAAGCAGCTTAGATTACTCAAAGCTGTTTTGGTTTTGGCAGAGAGCACTATAGTCAATGTGCTGTTTTTGGGTGTGGTCAGTTTCGGATGTTTCGCCCTGCATTATGGTTCCGGCAGCGTTACCATATTGACCGCCATGGTCAACTAAAGCAGTCGAGTTTACCTGTCCTAAATGAAATGCATTCAAACTCGTATACAGGTTCTTGGCTATACCGAAAAACGAAAAATAGAATCTATCAAACTCTGTGTAGACAGAAGGTATATCGTGTTTCAAGTTAGCGCGCTTCCAGCTGCGCGGCTGTATTATTTGACTCAAAATTCGTGTTTGCTCTTGCGTTGTGCGTAAAAAATACATCTTAGTTACCAGCGGGATTTAAAATTTCACCTTCGGCACGTCTGGTAATTTAATTTTCATACAGATTAATTTCGTTTTAGATCTGGACTTTGGGATTTTTAAATATGCCGCTATTATAGAATTTCACCGATGAGTGACCTACTCAGGGCGGAAGTGAGAGGGAAACTGGAGCTAGCGCTGTTGCAATACATTGTGACGTCTGGTTACTTCCATTTTTGAAATCTACATGATTTGGCGCAAATTTTGTTACCAAATTCATACATATTCAAAGCGAATTAAGAGTGGACCAATCACCAATGGCTCTATATCTTCGATATTTCGGGTTTTTTTTCTCGATTTTGGTTTTGTATACCTCATTAATTCATTCCTTCGAAGGGATAGTCAGGATAGAGCATGATTACGAACAAAATAGCCTTTTTACAGACTACAGTTCCTTCTTTTAATTACGAAATAAGCAAGTAAGTATTAAAATTATAAATTTTTGATGATTGTCCATATTAAAAGTTTAAAATATATTTGTTTGGAGTTGATATTAAATCACTCTGTGTCTATATTTCAGCTTACTCATATATACTTTATCAAAAGAGAGGCAGCAAAAGAACGGAGAAACCTATGGCTATGAATCTTCTTTTAGTTGACGTTTTTGCGGACAAAAACTCGTTATTATTCATGTATTCATCAGCAAAACGCTGCGCTGGATGGCTTCAAAATTCGCTTTATGAATTCGCTTCGATCTCGACGCCATCTTTGTTTATGGCCACGCGGTATTGCTCGCAAAAGAGACTAGACTCTGGCTAGGGCAAATGTCCCAATTTGTACTACAAGAGTTTGATATCAATCGGAATTTGTGATTTGGTTTCTTCAGAAATTTTTGTTGCTTTACTATTTGTACAATTTTTTTTGACAAATCGATCGCACATATTTTTTCTATATTCTCTAAGATTTAGCTTAATAGAATATGCGACCCTATAATAGAATGTGTTTTTTAATCAACATGTACGGACTGGGAGTCTCATTCGCCACCTCTGTTAGATTCATCAGGAGGACCTCGCGGCATTATCTCAACCTGTTATCATATTTTGCATAAAGAACCGTGCAGCATCGTATTTTTATTGTTATTGCTGGAGCTGCGCTAAGTATCCAGTAATCAATTTTTTCGCCGGTAAATAGCGCGGGTATATTTAATCTGTTTACAAACTTTACAAGCCATTTGCCTCATATGCTCTACAGTTAATTATATATTCTTCCTTCATTACTAATTTGGTAGCTATACATATTTAACATGACATGTATATCACATCCCCTTTTTTTTGTATTTTTCCTCAGTCTCTAACTAACAGTTCGATTCAATATAGAAAACTCCTAACTTGCCAGAAGTATGTAGTAAAAACGTTAATGTTCAAAGTTTAAACACAGATGAATCTCAAAAGCTAAATTCCTTTGAATCTTTATATACTTGTTTTTAACAGATGGTTCCTATTTCGGAGATGCAGGACTGCATTCGACTTAACCAAATACGAACGTGGCTGTGGTAAGCGTTTTTAAACAACTTTCTTGTATGTATGTATGTAAAACTTTATTTAAAGACACTAGCCCCGACAACAATAAGTTGATTTCCACGGGGGGTGTCTACAAGATTAAAAATTACAAAAATGTAGAAAAATATATAATGACTATGTACAAGTTAGTGTGACCCCGGATATTATAGTTAGGATATATTGTTCTTTTGAAATCCTTTGTCAGTTTGAATACGCAAGACATCCCCTATCTTCAAAACATCCAGCGGATGTTTATCATAAAACGTTTTCTGCTAGGGCTTTCTCTGCACTAAACGCCCTTAAACTTCATCAATGGTTTCAATGGTTGGAGCTCCAACAGGGGTTCAGACATAGGTAGTTGAGTTTTCGTTCTTCGTCCCATGAATCATTCCGCCTTCTGCTGATGATTCTTGTGCGAATTAGAAACTTCACTTCTTCAATATCTTGACTCATCTTTGGCCAGAAAACTGCTTCTCGTGCTCTACCCTTACGTGCTGCAGGACCAAGGTGTCTTGATGTATGACTTTTAAAGTTCAGTCAACTCTCATGGATTCTGGAATAATTAGTCCATCTTCCTTGAACAATAAGCGATCATGCACAGCAATCTCTTCTTTAAAAGAGTTTTCGGCAACGTTGCCTTCGAACAAAAGCCGGGTTGGCCTTGTAAACCCTTCCTGTAGCTGTTTATTTATAATCACCGCTGCCACCATGTGATACACCAAGCTTGATATCTTTAATCTGATTATAAACTTTACAAGCAACTTACTTTATATGCTCTACAGTTTATTATCCTACCTGCATTACTAATTTGATTGACCACGGAATCCGACTGAAGAGATTCGACATTTCCTTTTCCCCGAAACGATATCTCCGAAACGATTCCGACTTTTCCTTTTCTCTTAAACGTTGCGAAATATTGTTAAACTTGATATTCCTGGCGTAAATGTTTATATATTTCGGACTATCAGAGTATATCATTTTTAGCGGGTAATTTTCTATCATACTGACAATCACGCATTCATATAAAAGTAGCGACTCCAGGCTACAGGTGAATAGTTCAGCATTAAAAATGTTTGAAAAAAATGCTTTTTTGCAAAGTAATCGCAAAGAAGAGCGTATACAGATTATAGCGGAAGAATGGTATCGGGTTAAATTTACCCGCGCGCGCTATTTAGCCGCGCAAAAGTTTATCACCCGCAATTTCCACCCGCGTTATATAGATAGACTATCCCAGCTATTTGATATTCACGTCACTGATTATACTCCATATTTAGGAATGTTCCATCATATACACTTTGGACATACATATGTCTAGTCTACAGGAAGATCTGTAATGCGTACTACATACTACCAACAATCTACTTTTTATTTGTCAGCTTCACCCAAAAACAGCTTCACCACATCCCCAAAATTTCGGCGTAAGCTATTGAACCCCCTCCCCATTTGAGTGGAAAATTCTTCTACATACAGCTTTGAAAGAAAAGAATTACTTAACACAGTAATTGAAATATTTTTCGGTATTTTCAAATACAAAGCGATCGATATCTTCATACATCGTGGTGGGGCTTAGAAGAGCACTTCACTTAAATGTCATATAAATGGCCCCATAAGTTGCAAAGTGGTATGCGTGCTTGTCAATGTTTGTCAATATACATAATTCTTCAGAGAGCTAAAGAATTCGGTAAATATTCCAAAACATCGCCGTAAGATTAGATCATTTGACGCATCTTGAACTATTTTGGGAATGGATGTAGCCGTAGCTTAAGTTAAGTACCGTGAAAAATCTCTTCAGTTTTGATATCAGTTGATATTCAATGGCTACTTGTCCTTCTACTAATATAGTTGTTTGTGTTTGGTGACTCGTTACGGGCTTATAATTGCTAAATCGCCTGTGTTGGCGACGATCATTGTTTGAGGCCGGGTAGCTTGTCGGAAATTTGACAAGCAAGACAAAGAAAATCAAGTTGGTATAAAATTGTGGTTTATCGCCTCGTTTGAGTCAAGACACTCAACACACGATTTAGCCATATCCAGATAGCGACTCGACTTAGACAACTGATGAATGGTGCGTGGTATTCAATCAAACAACAAGAGTTATGCTATGACTAAGATTAATTAAATTACTGACACTATATATTAGTCAACGAGAGCAGTATTCATTTCCACTACAGTAATCCTTGTTTGATTTTGGATTGTGTGGTAATAACAGGATTGTGTTCTGAGCACCATTGGCAGTTTACATGCCAAGTATACACTTAGACGGGATTAAACACCGTGTGCTTATATCACGAATATATATAGTGGGATATCCGTTTTGAAATAGCTCATAACGCAACACGAGTTTGGCAGCATATCAAACAGTTTAAAGCAATGTGGAAACACGAAGTTAGTTTGCTGTTCGTAACTTTGATTCAATGTGCACAGATTTCAAAAGGTGAGCCTTTGGTATCAATATTATATGTAAAAATCTCTAGATCTTTAGGAATTTCGAGAGGCTTAAGCCATGGTGTAATTAGGTTGCAATTATTTTAAACGCTTATATATACACCTGTGTTTAATTCCGTGAAGTTTTACGATCCGGATTTTCGCCGTACAAGATGGCATGACGAATCCTATCTTCATGGCAGCTGTGCAGTTTAACCTTTTGAAAACTTTGAAAACAGGATTGAATTGTAGTGTTCATTAGTGCTATATAGATTAAAGGATTTATTGTGCAATTGAAGTGACATAAATAATTTGGTTTTAATCCTGTGGAATGTACACCGGTTGTATAAAGCGTGCTTCAAGCTGAACTCGAACTGCATGTTGACGCCAAATGTCGCTAGATCCTTCTCATCCTTGTTCGTGTCCATTGCATACTATTATAGTGTTTCTCGCTGTAAGGGTGTCTGCAGACTGCAGTGAGATTCCCTTCTCGTACGGTATTTATCTCGGCCACCGTGATGATCTAAAAAATAGACTTGACACTTAGCGCTGGCTAAATTATTCGAACTTGCGTGAGGCGCGATGAAATGAACTAGTTGACTAAGTTGAGACCTGGTTTTCCCAAAGACTTTTTTCCTCTCATTGTGGCTCACGTCACAACTCTTTACCCTTGACAGGAAAAACGACGATGATCGTCGGAACTTTTGATTTGAATCTGACCTATGCAAGTGATTTATAAAAACGACTTCTCCATGCAGTAAACGTGTTTTGATCGTTTTTTTTCCTTTTTATGAAACCAATATACAAAAGGTTCATTTATATGTTTCGTAATGCACGAGGTTCATTTATATGTTTGATGAGGGTTGCGGTAAGGGTGAAACTATATTACCTGCAGTTGGCCAACAGTAACAATGCAAACCATGAGTGGGTCATTAGGTGTTATATGGCTTAAATGTGAACAGTGTTGATCCAATTGATTTCCTGAATAGATCCTCTATACGGGTTGCTCAACATGCAGATTCTAAACTTCTATAATGAAGACCTCATTCACGGTCAAAATCAAATGCAGTATTACCTGTTTATGCCGTGTTCACAAGTTGCTCATTTCACTCATCTGCGAACCACGCAGTTAGATAAGCAGGTCTGATTGTAAGCGCACAAAACTTTTTTAAATCAAAATTCTCGTTCCGTGTCTGTATAAAATGTAATAATTATCAAGTTATTAACATCTGTATGGTAAAATATGTCGCTAAGCTAACCAATTACGCTTAACAATATTCATGCAATTTGGTATGCTATGTCAGTGTTTTGTTTTGAGCCAAATTGAAGAAATTTGTTGGAATCTTGAATGAAAACGTGAGGTCAAGTGCCAGCCCAATATATTTGCTGTTTTAGCGCTAAAAGGAATTTTGTCAGTATCACTGTTTGAAAATGAGTCGCTTACAATTGCCAGAATTTACCATACGTCGCAGATATTTATCACGGACGGAAAACTGGAATCGTATATAAGGCTTTCATCGGAAGATCTCATCAGATTTTTAAAGCATGTACCTCGGGACCCTCTGAAAGACGTTTTTATATTTTGGAATTATAATTTATTACAGAATTCAGAAGAGTATATTGTACTTCGTTCCTTCGTCTTTATAAACACAACAGGTGTTGACGTTTTCCACGAGATCGACGAAGGCATGACTGCATGAGACAATGAGACATACATAAATAAGGTTCTGTCTTCGTTCTCCTGAATAACTTCAACACATTAATCTAGAATTCGGGTTAAGGTATTTAGTACATGAAACACGCGATTAGTCACGAGTACTTGTTTTCGCAACTTATTGAATGCAAATTCAAGTCATTGAGTGCATGATTTTATTTGTTGCCATGTCATTTATACTAAATTAAAATGCAAGCAAATATGGGCTGAACGATAAGAAAACCATGAAAAAATGTCGATTTATATAATTTTAAACAACATTATACAATCATGGGAACTCGGAATATTATATGCGCGCAAATGACGTCGGAAGAGGAATTAAACGTGTCAAGCTGTTAAGTAATACAAATTTGATTTGCAAGTTAAGAATCACGCTCGGTATAAACAAGACAGTCTGGGATAACGTTGTCTTAACAGACCTGTATAGACTTTTGTGTAGGTAATAAATAAGAGTGCTCTTTAAAATACAACTGTATTTCACAAACAGAACTTTCTCTCTCAAGCAGAACTCCTATTTGCAATGCTTGTCACCACTCATTTGTTGAAAGATGTTCTTATATAGACAACATGAGCATAATGCATTTCGATACGACATATACAACACAAAACGTACTATAGCCCCATTTACACTACACTCGATTTATTGGCACGGCACGGCTAAAATGGGTACCGCGTGCCCGGCCTTTGTATTGGTAGCCTGCATGATCAGTAATAAAATTAGGCACGGGTACCCATTTTAGCCATTCCGTGTCAATAAATTGGCTGTAGTGTAAACGGGGCTTATATGTGTGTTTCCAATATCACTTATAAATTCGTTATTATAGATGGCCATAATTTCAAACGGAAAGCAGTACATAATAAGTTCACGTCTGAATACTTCGGAATTTTGTATATATTAATTGATTTTATATCACTGAGATATTTCAAACTAATCTCTCTCAATGCAGAGATATTCCTCTAAAGTATATTTGACGTCATTAAAATGATTTATGTTTTAACTTGTCATCAAATGTGGCATAAAAACGGCCTGAAATAGACTAAAAAGTTCTCGACGTTTCGACCTAAGCCTAAGGGCTTTCGTGAGGGGATTTATTTACCGGTCATCTACCACTGCATGCTTATTGCTCAATAAAAGTTTAGATTTGAGTCTAGACACTAAAGAGTTTAGCCACTAAAATTTGCTCTATACTCAGAAGCCATTTTCAGAAGTCATTCATTAGTTGTGAACGTACCGCCTGCGATTGCCAGTTAGGTTATGTGAAACAGTATTCTTCTAGTAGGAGCACAGAGGTGCCAGACATGAAAATCTACTTTAAATCTTTCGGAAATTGCAGCCCAATCAATGTCTGTCAGCGTTCTTTGATAATCCAAACCGTGACAAATTACATGTATATTATTTAGAATGGAACAAAAGCTACATACATATATATATTTTCGTACAATAGATAAATTCCGAAGAAAAGTTTGAAAACATTAATGTGTCAACGGTAATCTTGGGTTTAATATGACACGCGTGGAGAGTCCAGGGGGGGTGTGTGGGGTGTGGGGGGGTTTGGGTTGGCACGCAAAAGCGAAACATAGAAATCAGCGTTAGCTTGGTTTTCAATATATGCGTTTGCTTCATAATGGTAATTGAATGGAGTGCAATTTAGTGTGAAATCAAACGCGCGTGATCACAAAATTACAGATTAGTAGTAACAACGATTTATATTGGCTGAAAAAACCGTAAGCGGTGTAAAATGTGAGTAATTTTCATTTATTTTTGTCAAGAAATTTTGCGGGGCGTTTAAAAATTCAAAATAAAAATTTTGTGCCATTTCCCCCTGTAATTTGATTCGATAGTTACACTGAAACACTAAATCTGATTGATTATTGTGGTGCAGAGCTTCAATAAATTTTGTGATTAATGCTCAAAAATATTCCGATTTGGGAATTAATCACACTATTTTTAACCAATCAGGTTGCAAGAAACATCACTGATTTCAAAATTAATATAATAAAAAATAGCAACTGCACTTATATAGTGGATTGCAATTTGATGTGAAATCAAACGCGTGATTACAAGTTTGATTTTGTTTGAATCACAAGTTTGATTTCACACCAAAACTCCACGACACGAAATGCAATTTCTACTTTATTATATTCGTTTTGAAATTACACAAAAAATTAAACAAATTCAAAACGATTTAGTTGCTGAAAGAACTGTAAACGGTGTAAAATGCGGAGTAATTTTCATCGGTGCAAAAAACACCATTGATTTCAAAATGAATATAATAAATGTGTATATATGCAACTTATATCATCGACATATTTCAGGCTGACCCCAATCAATTCAGTAACTGTGGATTATAGCTATTTCATGTGGAGTGCTTTTTACTCTGCTTTGGAGCAAGCGATCATTTATCCTGTCAATCTACTTAAAAGGTTGCACGCGAAAAAATCTCTAAAAATAGGTCTCTAAAACGGTCTTTCTTTTTAAAACGGCGAACAGAATTCTATATATGGCAGTAAATTTGGTAGTGTCATTATATATTTAATGTGTTAATTTTTAGTGGTCATACTGATATATTAAATAATTGACAATTGTCTGCGAAAACCAAGGAATAGATTTTGATTGAAGAAAGAGAGGGGAGAAGACTTGGGGATGAAATCGTCGCATCGCATCGCATCGTAAAAAGTCAATTGACATTCTGCGTACAGTGCATGCGTAAGCAAATTTAATTCAATTATATAGGAAACGATTAATTTGTTGCATGCATTTCATGCGTCCATGATGGATGGAGGTGAATTTTGCTACTCTCTATTTTTAATGCATTTGACACATGAAGAGCTTGATGGTATTACTTTAATCGGCTTAGTAAGCACTTAACCGTTGCTGAGTGGATTATTGTACTTATGTCTCTTGAATGCGTATACTAACTTCATCAGTTAATTGAGAAATGACAGAGATTAAATTTATCGAGCTATACATAAATAATTCATAATCATCCATGACGGCTGACTTTTCCTTGCACATACAGGACCAACGCGCAGAGCTCCCCGTTGAGCCTCGTGATGATCATTTTCAATTATTTTAATCCTTGCTGTACTGTAATTTATAGAAACATGTCGCGGAAACACACGGGAGCTCGTATTACCGACAGGAACGTGCAGACTGTACACACTTTTCAGTCCTCAGCTTTGAATTTAAATAAGCCGGTGAATTTCCTGTTGAATTTTGAAGTGTTTCATACTATATCAGTAAACAAAGCTTGGTATAGAATTCGGTTTTCTGTAAGAACCGACGAAATGTGATTGGGGTTAATAAAACCGTCTTTGACCTACGTTGGATATTGCCTGCATGTTTTAGGCCTGCGCCGCAAGAAGCAGGAGTGTTGAAAAATGTATAAATATAAAATAATCTTTGAGTTTGCAAGGTAACCGCAACCAGGATTTTAAGTTGAACACTCGAGCTTAAACCGTATGGCATTATTATCAATGAAATTAAGGCATCCAATCATAATAATGCACGAAGTCGAAGTTTAGCATATTGCCTTGCGGTTTTGTATTCTTTAACTTAACTGCCGAGTATTTTGACACAGATGTCAAGTACATATAGTGAATTGTAAAATACTATAAATTAGATTGTATTGATTATTTTGAAGATTGTGTATTTTGTTTTGTTTAATAGCAGAGAGTCCATATTATTTATTCTTAAAACAGTTTAGTTGCTAAACTGTAAAGCAACTAACTGTTTTAAGATTAAATAAATAAATATCGCCCTACGAAAACCAATTTTCGGACTCTATACAAATTAGATTTTTACATTGCTTAACCTAATTGTATAATATATTATATACATTATTATTTATTTACGCACTGGTTAAATATAGCGCAATCACGGTTTTTGTCACTCGCTGTATTTTTGCATTCAAAAATCGTGCCATTGATCTCTGTACACATGCATTAAATCAAACAAATTACTTCTGCATGATTGGCTGGTTTGTACATACGATTTTTATTCCTGCACTCCTTGTGAAGAATCACAAACTCAAACGTTCGCTTCGCTCAGTTTTGCGATACTTTACTCGTGCATAAAAATCTCAGTTTTGCATAAAAATTAAATTATGATATTGAATTGTTTTCGCCAGTCGCAAATGTCATTATAACCGACATCCGAAGAAAGAGTATAAACACGCATGTATAAACGATATAAACGGTTTCAATTTCAAAATTCTCTACTTTCTAAGTATTACCCAAGTTAATTTGGTAATCGCGTAAATAAAGAAATCGATGCATGCAAATTGCAAAGATGAAAGATAGACGAGATTTTAGCGTTGAGGTTTGTGAAGTGTTGAATTCTAGACATAATTGCAACCGTTTTTAAAAAAAACAGGAAATAAAAAAAAAATTATTAAGCGGTTATGTTGGCAGAATTTGGGTGAGTCCGGAATCAACGGCTCACGAACTGCAAGAGTAATTCAAGCTAAAAGAACAATTAGCTAATATCTGCATGGCGTTATTACATAATAGAGTAGGAAAATATCCAGGCTACCTTGGTGGGTCGGTGTTGTTGGGCCATTGTGTATCGCAACGCGCTCTGTTTGCGTAATATGAGTTGAAAATTCGCCTAGGTTTTGTTTTGTTTTCCATTTTTTAAATTATTTTTCGTCGTCGCAAGTGTGTTTTGGCGCGAAATATACTGGTATTTGAAAAGTGTATGTGACCGTATTTATCTACGTCACAGTTTTGTGTCCTATTACGCCGTTTAACAAGATGTGGTCGTGTATGGGCGGTTTGCACAGGATTGAAGATTTAATATAAGCGCGAATTCCAAAGTGTAAGACAAAGTGAACGTATCATGCGGTTTATTTACATTTTGAAACAATTGAACTTCTACACTTTTCACTGTCGCGATCTGAATGTCGCGATCGAACAACATTTAGGTTCGCAAGGCATCTAAATTAAATGAGTATGAACTGTATTGTTTATGTTCAGAAGCTTTATATTAAAGACTGGCACGTGCGCGGCACGCCGAAGTTAACGCCAGAGCAGGCGTCTTGTTAAATCTAGAAAGTATGCCTGCATGAAGTGTTATAATAGCTAAAGTTAGCAGATCTGATCGTGTATAAAAAATTAAACTTAGCAGATGTCTATTAGTAATCGCGTAATTGCACGCATCGTCGAGGGCACCCTCGCGGACACATCGTGTGTAAAAAGTTGATGGGAAACGGTGTTTTTTGCGAGGGAAAAATAACCGTCCGCACGTCTTTCAATTCTCAAAGGATCTTAGATGATTATAGACACGATTAATGTTGGACTTTAATTTTCCAAACAGAGTTCGGCTTTGACCACCATAGCGACTGACCCCGTTGAGCTCTTCGAGTGTAACATTCGAAGTCTGACCTACTTTAGTTATTTTTTTGTGAATCAACGTTTTGAGCTCTCAAACTACATACCGTACCAAATTATTTCACTATAGCGTGGATATATAGCGTGCGCGTATACGCCTAGAACATTTTCAAGTGTTTCCATGCAAGGTTTCTTGAGAACGGCTAAAATTTATTGCATTTTTGTCCTTCTTTGATGGGTGATGGCAGAATTTTAGGTGAATGGGGTAAGTACTAATAAACTTGAAAGCTTCCGTTGAGTTTTTTATCCGACTTAAAGCTTTATTTTTTCTTTTTATAGTAATGTAATAAATTTGAGTGAAGCGACTTGACCTGATGATGACTATAGGAAATATTAGCAAAATTATACCTTTTATGATCACGCTTAAGGGTCTAGATAAATCCAGAAGCACACGTCGTTTTCATTTCAAACGGTATGACGTTTGTTTTAGATGAAAGTTATCCAAACAGGAAAAAAAATGGAGAAAAGCAGTCTTCATGTCAAGGTATAGAATTTTGTCGCAACTCAAGATTCAAGTCCTAACGGAAGAAGTAAAAGAAGCCGCGGATACATCCAGAGAAGCCTGGGCAGAAAGAAGACTAATTAACTGATGCTTCATTTTATTAGTATATATAAAACTTATTTGTGGCCGAATTTCTTTTGCATGGAATTGGGAAAATAATAAAATTGAATTGAAAATGTTGGAGTTTTTAAAAATATGAAGAAAATGCTTAAAGTTAAAGAAGTGAGAGGCTCAAGAGACCACATACTTATTAGAGGCTCAGAAGAATAACCACAGCAGTGCATGTAATTGTTGATTTAGAAACTTAGAAAAACATTACTAATTATGCAGCTCCCCTTATTGTTGTACAAAGGAGTGTGAATTTATTCTTGCTCAATTGTAAAATTATATGTAATTCAATATGCTTGCCAAAAAGTTTGACTTTTACGTTCAATGAATCGTTGTATTTAAATAGTTCTTCATCTCTCCAAAAATGCTTTTAGAGTTCCTATCTTTTCAGATTCCATATTGCCTTAACTTTGATCAATCATGCATGCATGTCTAAAACTATTACTACTCTTGAAAGAGACCGTATGGCAGATCCTTAGGAAATGGGCTGAATCACCATAACCATTTCTAATTATTTGGGCATTATCTACATACTTTTTCTCTGTATTTCTACTCTCAGGATCAGTGCTAAGGAAAAAGTGATCGTTGCATTCCATAAGATATGGTGATACGTATTATATACAGGTGTCGATGCTGAGTGCTTTAGATTATTCCAATGAAATGATTATGATTCACGGAAGCCTTTTCTCATTTTCCATAGTTCCCCGACACCGCGTTTCTCCGATTCCCAAATTCCTCAATTCCCATTTCTTCCTTTAAACTAAATCCACGTATGGTACTGAAATACTGCAACATCGATCCCTAGCTAGTTTAGTGCGTGCATACTAATATAATAGACAGATTTACGGTTGCGTGAAAGCGAATAAAAGGTGTAGCGTACGTACTCAAATAAGCCGATCACGTAATTCATTGCCCATTTTAATGCCGGCCTTTTCATGCTAAATCTGCCTGGTAAACAACATGGAAAACTATCTAATTTTTGCACGAGAATAAGCGTGAAGTACAATATGTTTTTACAACAGCCAGTTTACAATATGTTTTTACAACCAGTTTACAATTTAAATAATCTTATAGACAGTAAACCATTTTGCTAACTGAAAAGTATATTGACAAATAACAACGGCTGACCGAGTGCCATTGCCTGAAAGAGCTGCTTAATATCTATCACTTTATCTGCCCAGTATTTAGGAAGAAAGAGATTCAGGGTATCACAGGTCGTAACATGCACTGCCCGTCGCCCAAAAATATACCGAGATTAAAAAATATTGAACTTTTGATTTTTCAAACTAGGTGAAAATGGGACATGCGCTGTAAATGAGTTTACTTGCAAGGATGGGGAATGTATTTTGTCCAAATGGGAATGCGACGGTGAACCAGATTGTTCAGACCATTCAGATGAGAAAGATTGTGGTGAGTTGCCTGCTTCTGTACCTATTATAACTTCCAGGAAACCTGGATTTGAAAGATACGGTCTTATTAATGGTCTTTTTAATGCATGGTAGAAACAGTACCAATTTGATTGATTATAGGTACCAGAGATTAATTTTTTTGACGACTTTTTAATTTGTTAAAAAATAACTTAAAACTTGCTTGAAACAGCAAATTTTTTATGCTTGTTGGAATAGACCAAAATGAAATGAATCTGAGAATGTTTTAACATGTTTTTACAGAGCACAAATTGCAAATTTAAAAGTGGAATATTTACTTTATATTTACAAAGATGATCGATCCCATTAATTGAGCGACCTTAGAGCAGTTAATTAGTTCTATTTACAATAAGGATGTAGTCTACCTGATTATTCACATGCATGTTTCTTTTATTTCGTGGGCTGGTTGTTGAAAGCTAGAGGTACAAGCGCTACCCTGAGGTTAAATTTTACTCCGTTAACGTTGTTTTTGGTTGTGTGCTTCTGCAGCGTTGTTCTTTTAAAAACTTTACAAGACTGCTAATGAATTAGAAAATATTTTTTGAACAAACATTCAGCTTTATAAGACAGTCGGGCAGAACTGAATTAGCTGATCCTGTCTATTATGACCGCTTATAGTTTGAGAAGGAGAAGACGCAATTATTCAATTGGTAATTTCGAATCTATCATCACCAGAAATTCAGGACATCATTAATTATCATAATGTCAGGATTTTGCAATCAAAGATGGCTGCCTTGTTAGAATAGAGTTCAATGGTATTAACCTAAAACAACTCGGCGCCATTTTGAAAAAAAATTATATTATCGTGTAATAATTATTGTCGTTCAACTATGCAATCAGAGGCCAGAATTTTCAGTAATAAATAATGTGCATAATTTCCTTAGACAGTTACCCCACATGTTCTTCAAGTCAATTCCAGTGCAACATAACAAAGGATTGTGTAGATGAAGATTGGAGATGCGATGGTGATATCGATTGTGGTGACTCCACTGACGAAAGGAACTGTTGTGAGTGTTTATTATCTGTTTCATTACCAAAACCCATGTAGCTATATATCACTACAGGAATAGTTTGATCATAGTTTTAAAATTTATGTTATATCTATGAGCGTGATTGTGCGGAAGGAATAAATGAACACGAAGTTAGCCATACGAATGAGTTTTATGATTAAAGGCTTGTGCGCATATTATCCTATATTAAAATCCCCGGGCGGAATTATTACCCTCGCACCGGCTCGGGGATCAGACTGTTAGTGTATGACAAAATAACAATAATATTTGCATGGATCGTGGATCAGTGCAATGGTATACTGTATTAAAATCAGGAAAACTCCAACAAAAGCAGCAAGATCATAGAGCGGTAGAAACTTGGAGGATTGTTTCCGTCATGCAACTCTGAGCTCTACATTTTGAATAAGCTGCCAAGATGATACCTTGGAAGTAACTTGATTTTTAATATAAAACTTGGAAACACCATATTAATATATCTTTCTTTATAGACAACACTCCATGCACTGATGAAGACTACCGTTGTAAAAACGGTAAGTGCGTCCCAGAGGCTTTCCGATGCGATGGAGTAGATGACTGTGAGGATTTCTCAGATGAAGCTTTATGCGGTGAGGCTTAAAAAATCGTGAATTGTACTAAAAAAATGCTTGCTAAATTCATTAAAAGCTATTTTTATAAACATGTTATTCAAAAAAGAGCAAGAGGCCTGTTTCGAGTTACGTGTACGCGAGGCTAGTCAGATTTTCTCGGCTGAATTTAAAGTTTGTTTTATTTTCTCACTTTTTTGCTGGACCTGTTGCGAGCTACGCAACAAAAACAAAGTTTTTCGCGTCAAGTTTAGAAATATAAAAGTGATTTTGAATTTTTGACAGCAGAAAACCTTACTAGCCTCGTTCTCGCGTAACTCGTAACAGGCCTCTTGCCCTGTTTGGAATAGGTCTATTGGAAGGAATATGGCAATAAAAACTAGTATTTCTGTTTTGTTGAAAAGGAAATTTACACTTCTTATAGAACCTTTTTACAAAATTTGTTTATCTTCGTTTCTTTGCAAGATATTGGCGATCAAAAACATCGGATATCGAGATTTAGTATTTTTGCACAAGTGAATATAAAAAATCCTATATTCTGATTGGTCATGTTTGACGTATTATGCTGATTTCAAAATGGCTGGTAGCTGTTTTATGGACGTTTTTTACAAAGAGATAAGCGAACAAATACAGTTCTTGTCTCAATTCACTTGTGCAAAAATACTAAAACGATTATTCGCCTTAGGCCCGGTGATTATCGGGGAAAACACTAAACTGTTTCTGGCTTGAATTTGAATTTGAAGTGTGTATAATTCCACTCAAAATTAAGACCCTTCAGTAAACCCTTGGAATTTAAATGCATCGAGTGAAGTGCCAAAAATCACAATTGATTTACCCTTACCTATTCCCGGCATCACCATCGTATACACATTAACCACGCTCACTCTTGTCAGCTACCTCCGTAGCTCAGTGGCAATAGCATTACACCGGTGTACGCCGGCATCGCTAGAGCGTAGGTTAGATTCCTGCCGGAGGACGTAGGGTTGACTCATTTTTCTTTCCTTTCCTTCCTTCATGTGCAATTGTAATACCATGAAATTATTATGGGACAAAATTACATCAATATATAAAAGGTTACATGGTAATATGTTTAGGGCGTACAACATTACACTTAACATTTATATAGCCATATTTGGTCTTTCGTTGAATAAACTTTGGTTACATATAAATCTATGGAATTTATAGAAATAAAGCTATTTGCAGTCTATCGATCATCAGAATATGATAGAGCATAGTTTAACGCTAACGTGCAATCTGATTGGCTTTCAAGACAGATATTAGCTCATTCATATCTGTCTAGCAGAAAAACGCAAACAAAATGGCGGCAAGATAATAATGTAAACTTTTATTCAATTTTTTTATAAAATACAATTGCAAATCTCGCTTAAAAGGTAACTTACAATTAGCTACTTGAGGTTACATTTTTTACAAAGAGCTAAACTAGATTTCACACTACACAATATATTTTACAATTCAGATTTTCATCAAATCAGGACTAGACCATTCTTACAGCCATCTTTGATTGCGAAATCCTGGCATTATGAACTTTAATGATAATTAATGTCCCGAATTTCTGGTTATGGTTAAAACGAAAAAAACACGATACGGGATTTAATTATTCAATTTTTAAAAAGTGTATTCACTATTGTTCAAATTACGAATGAATTTGAAAGTTGTTTTTATCCAGCGCTTGTGTAAAAAACAGTTATTCTGCTTACCCTCCCCCCCTTATATGACTAACTTTAATAGCTAACTCGGCGCTGCGCGCCTCAGCGGCTATTAGGGAGATTTAGCATGAGGACGTGAACGTCAAAGACGACGTGAAAATGGCGAGTAAATGGCGTGATGCGCCCAAATATGGACATGCCACGCCATTTACTCGCAATTTTCACGTCGTCTTTGACGTTCACGTCCTCATGCTAAATCTCCCTATTATCAGCGCATATACGACTCGAGTTCGCAGAATAACTCTTAAATATAGCAATATTTACTCCCTCCCCCCTTAACGATGTTCCTATATACCTGGGCAGGGGTCCGATATTTTATGCAGCAGAAAAATGTCACAGAAATAGCATAGAATCTCCATCGTGTAGAACGTTTGTTACGAAGGCTTTTCGAAATTTTGGAATTTAGAGTAAGGCAAATGCGCACGAATGTATATGAACTGTATATAAATTAAGGCCTCGTTACCATGTAGTCAGATACAAGTGTAACCGGTAAATCTTTAGTAGTTGGGCGGAGCATTCTTTCCCACATATCTAGCTGTAGCAAAGATTACTTTTCACGCGTACCTACGAAACGTCTTTCTGCGTGAGTGATCTGAGATGTGCATGATTCTCACTTAAAATGAAGATCCTTAAACCCTTTAGAAACTTCTCCTACAATTGCCACAAAAACTTCATTAATTCACCTTCTTTCTGAGTATTTTTACTGTCTGATTTATTTATTTATTTATTTATTAGTCGATTATTTATACAGGCTAAAATCACTTCAGTTCATTTAAGAACTGTTATGCCGAGTATGTTATATAAAAAGTGGAGTAAATTTTTAATTTTAGAATTTTATTTTGCAAAATATAGCATTTAGCGGATTTGAAATTCGAAATTGGGATATGAATATTTGATACATCTGTTTTAGATACAATTATTAGGCGTTGTCAAGTAAGCGAGTTCCGATGTGATTCACAAAACTGTATTCCCCTTGATTGGCAATGTGATGGATTTTCAGATTGTAACAATGGCAAAGATGAAGACGGCTGTGTAGATAGTACGTAAGAATAGTACTAGAAGTACATGCATGCAAACCCCCCTCGCCTATTAACGTATATTTCCAACAGTGAAATATATATATGCAATGTTCGCTGAAACTCTGGTTTCACCAGGTCGTAAACTCACGCATGCGCACAACTGATAATTTTGCACTTGCATTTCCGTGCGTAATAAAAATTCCCTGGGCGGAATTAGTACCCCCGGCTCGGGCACATTGCCTTTCATTTAAGGCTACTTCCTATTACCTGCGAAGGGAGGCGGTCCTATTGACCATTGGGTTAATGAAAGGGACTCGGTAAAGTGTGGTGGTAAAAATTATCAACTTAAATAACAATAAATTATTCAGTAGAACTGTTTATCCATACATATAGCTACGTCTTTGGCCATTTAGTCCTGCCCGACGGATTTACAAACTATTGAACTAATTATTAGAAAAGAAATCAGTTGGGTAGAACTGAATATATGAATAAACACCCTACTAATTAGAGATTGCCAGACGGAAAACGGATTCTTATTATAAATATGAGAGCCCAACATATAACATTTAAGAAAGCCATCAAAACAATTTAAAGTTTAAAAGTAAATATATTTGTAACGTTTCGTCTTTAACCTAAGACATCTTCAGACAAGTGATATAAAATTACATGAGATTTGAATAATTCAATTCGATCATGTAATTTTATATCACTTGTCTGAAGATGCCTTAGGTTAAAGACGAAACGTTACAAATATATTTACTTTTAAGCTTTAAATTGTTTTGATGGCTCTCATATTTATAATAAGAGCCCTACTAATTAGTATTCTAACGCCACGGCCTTTCGTGATCTTAATTGCATTGATCCTTATATTCAGAATGTCTTTCGCATGAGTGGAAATGTGACGACGGAAAATGTATATTAGCCAAATATAGATGTGATGGGGATAAAGACTGTAAAGACAGGTCGGACGAGCTCGGATGCGGTTAGTAACTGCATATAAATATATAGGAAAATACATACATAGATACGGACGTCTGACGGATACCTATAGCAGAAGCGTGACCTGTATGATAAATTTAAGATGGTTCAGGAGCAGAGCAAGTACCTTGGAGTGATAACAGAACATCAATGTTTTCGCGGTTTACTGCGTCGCTTTAAATCTCTTCCGATTGAAAAAACGAAACATTTTCAAGGAAATGTGCAATTTTGTGTGGAGTGACCACTCGGTTGTCTCAGCTAGGGCGTTTGTTCCCCCAAATAGACTGTTTTTTAACGTCTCTTTTGAGTACCGGATAATCTTTTCCAAAAGATGGAAACATCAATATGATTTATGACTACAGCGTGTGCAACGTGGTACAGTAAATATATGTATATCTAATCCCCGTGAGCACAAAAATTCTTATATATTGTATATGTATATATATATGATATGAGCTATTCTGATATCAGCTCATATCTGGCTAGTAGAGAAAACAAGATGGCGGCCGAAAAATCCCGATGTTTTTAAATATATATATGCATGTATTTGCAGGAAATGAAACTGCGATTTGCAGTTTGAAATCTCATTTTAACTGCACTTCGGGCAAGTGTATCTATTCGGATTGGAAGTGTGACGATGAACTGGATTGTGATGATGGCTCGGATGAAAACAATTGTGGTTAGTCTTTTTTTCACAGTTAAAATGACTTTTCTCATAGTTGAAAGTTTTTTCACTGGTGGATCTAGCATTGTTCAAAATTTTAAAAAGCCTCTGGACGAAATCAATTAACTATATATATATATATATATATTATATATATTATATATATATTATATATATATATATATATATATATATATAGTTGACTGTTAACCATTATCTTCCTATAACTATCTTCCTATTGTTACGTACATATATAGTTACGCAATGTGTAATGTTTCTTGTTTTCTACTAAGTAGAAACTCTATATTAACTATATATTATCATGGTTCAGGATGCCCGTCAAGTGGTAATGTTGACAATAATTGCACTAAACCAACTGAAGCAGGTTTGTTTTAACTTGTGAGTATATATATATATATATATATGCATGTATTAACATACGAATACACTCACGCCAAATATGAGAGAGAGAGTTTATTGAAAAATCACTGCATGAAATCCGTTTTAGTTACATGGTGTTACTGATCGGGTCAAATTTCTTGGAAAAGTGCATCATGCATGTCTCTTTCTGTGTACTTATTATTATTTATTTATCAGTTTAGTACTTGTTATTACTCCGGCGTCAGCGACGGATTTGAAAATTCGCCTCGGTTTTGTTTTGTTTTTGTTTTTTCTATTTTCGTCGTCGCAAGTGTGTTTTGGCGCGAAATATACTAGTATTTGAAATGTATGTGTGTGATCGTATTTATCTACATCACAGTCTTGTCTCCCAAGAGTTGTGGTACACAGCTTTGGCTAATTTTCTGATGCGCGATTCGATTTCGCTCGCATGATACGGTAATTCCTCCAAAAGGAATAAATAAACGGTTCTTTTGATGCTGTTCGATTAAGTTTAGATTTAATTGGGGTAAGAATATATAATACAAGTTGGTCCTATTTTAATAATATATCTGCTACTTCGCCGTTTAACAAGATGTGGTCGTGTTTGAGCGCGTTGACACCTCGCAGTTTGCACAGGATTGAAGATTTAATATAACTATATAAGCACGAATTCCGCAAGGTGTAAGAAAAAGTAAATGTATCATGCGGTTTATTTACATTTTTGAACAATTGAACTTCTTTATAGAAGTACGATGTGCTTCTGAATTTCGCGATCGAATACCATTTAGGTTGGCAAGGCATCTAAATGAGTGCATGTGAACTGTATTGTTTATGTTCAGAAGCTTTATATTGAAGACTGGCACGTGCGCGGCACGCCGGAGTTAACGCCAGAACAGGCGTCTTGTTACCTATAATTTGGACAATCAATAGCTAAGTGTATTCTGATATATATCCTCAGGTCCTCACAATTACCCTAATCAGGCTCAATTACTCTAAATCACCCAAGATGTATTGCGACAAATGTGAATACCAATTGGCCAACGTAGTTATTGCTGAATACCAATTGGCGTACGTAGTTATTGCTATGCACATAGATACCCAGACTGCAGTTGTCTTCATTATAACATGAGTTCAGGGGAGAAACTAGCCCCTGGATTAGGGTTATGAATATTCATATAATTATATAATTATATATATAATTATTTATAAATTTATATATCATTATTTGTATAATTATTATATAATAATCATATAAATATTCATATAAATATGCTGCTCTGCCTGACGGATTTCTCTTAAAAACACGTTGCGTACAGAAAAAATCCGTTGGGCAGGACAGAATATATGATAATAAGAATATTCATCGCCCAATTATATTTGATATAGGCAAAAACTGGTCGCTTGTTTGCATCTTTTTCTCTTACATGTGGACCACTCAGTCGCCCAGCTAGGAATTTGCTCTACAATTTCTTTTTGTAAAATGATCTTTTTTTCCTTAAGTTCAAAAGAATTATACTCATGGATGTCTTCGGACGCAGTTTCGTTGCTATAATGATAAATGTGTCGAAATGGATAAAGTTTGTAATCGAAAAGATGATTGTGGCGACAAATCAGACGAACTTAGATGCCGTAAGTATGGTTAGAGGAGTGACATAGGACAAGTGCTATTTAGGGGACCTTCTCACGATCCCGGTAACCCGGTTACCCGAGATTCAGGTAACAGTGAGCTGATTATCCAGTCTTTGTGAAACCAAACACGTCATTTACTCATTTCACTACCTCATTCAATACCATTTTATATACTCTTCGTTAAATCTCGGATAACCGGGCTGCTATTCTTGATATCATTCAAGATTTGCGATTTTTGTTCGCAATGTTGCGCAATATCAATATCGTACGCAGTCCCCGGTGTTATCTTAGCGCGTCGATAAACCAGTGAACTCTAAAAAGACTGGAACGATAACTTGGCCGCCATCTTTGAAGCCAGCACTGATGGCCGCCATGAAGGCCAAGAGTTGAAATTACACCACCAAAACAACGCCGGTTTTTATACACAAATCCATCTCATGTGATCATGAATAAAAGCTTAAAACAAACATTGACACTTAGATTTTACTAAAAAACAAGTTTTATGAACGTGAAAAGGTGCAAACCTATTTTTTTTGCGAGTTGAAGGCGAAGTTTTTTTTCGGCCCGTTCAAATTCTTTAAATATTTCAATTACAAAGCTGGTACCTCGCCGGTTTTTACAGTAAGATGATGCGGATTACTTAGATCTATCCAAAAAGGGTAAATTCGTTGTTTAAAGTTGAAGTGGTCAAATAAAATTGCACTTTTCTGGCATTTTTTTTGCCAAAAAATACGATTTTTACGGAATTCTCACTCTCCCCAGTTCTTTTGAAGGCTTGATTTGCTCGCGCGGCTGCCGCCTTAATCAGCAAATTATATTCAAATCGGCTTCATCCAATGACTAGTCTTTATTGTTGAGTTATCGTTCCAGTCTTATTAGAGTTCACTGCGATAAACTCGATCCTTTGGAGCTTCGCAATATTTGTTTGCGTGTTGCGCAATATGTCAAGTAAGCTATCGCGACGTCTTACGTCGAATGACGTCGAATGACGCGACGTCTTACTGACAAGAACGGTCAGAATTTTTGACACTATTTCGGTTCGTTATAGTTCTAAATGAATATAAGCTGTTGAAAAAAATAATAAACGTGCTAAATTTCAGCAATTTCAAAACAATTAGGCGACCCATTGGTATGAGCAGAATCGATGCACAGAAGCGACTGTAACCACTGTGAATTTTCAGATCAGTTATATATTCTTTCTGCTTCTACCCAAACACACATACGTTAAAGCGATAAACTTATGCTGGTCAGTTTAGGGCGGGTGTTTTCGTGAGTTTATCGTCTACAAGTCTTCGAAGCGTATACTTTCACCATAAACAAATAGGCTATGATAGGCCTCTATAGATTGCGCTATAGTGAATAAATAATTACTTTAATGTTTGAGATTTTATTTAATAATTTGTGCGAAACTAGCAGTATATAAAGATCATGTATAAGCCTAAAAGTCGCTCTCTGTTACTCAAAAAAGCAAAAGTTGCCCCAGGAAGCTCGATACCATGCAGAACAAATTTGCTCAAAAGTTGTCGAGCCGGCCTAAGAGCGATTTTCCACTAGGCGGAATTTTTCGAATTTTCCGCGTTGCGGATTCCCTTCACCGGTCACAAATAAAAAGAAAATCGAGCGAAAAATTTCGTTAGATGGAAAAATCCCGCCTAGTGGAAAACCGCCTTAACAATTGAAAAGAAAATCAATTCCGAATTCGGAGTTTTGTGCGTGGAGCGGAATTTTTCATTGTCTCCGCTCTTTTTATGCAGAACTAATGTCAGAAAATAAAAATTTCTCTCCGCATACAAAATTACGTCTAATGAAAAACAGGCTTAATACATTGAAATAAACAAATAAAACATGGAAAGATATCTTCGTCGCCATCTTTGATGCCTAAACTGAAGGGTTTTTAAACAGCGTTTTTGAACTTTTGAGACAGAGGTAGAGAATAATTATCTAGGAATGTCTAGAACTATATAAAATACAATCATTTCCTAATTTTTATAAAAGTTGAACAAAAAAGTAAAGAACTCAGTTTTTTGCTTCAATTTCTTGCTTCAACAAAGTTTATAATACAAGTACGATCGTACTCGAAATAACGTGGAAAAACTCGCCCTACGGGCTCGTTTTCCCACTGATTATTTCTCGTTCTCCCAAACTCTCACGCGTGTTTCTATAACTGTATAGAAACACGGAAAATGTTTTCTATTTCTTAAATAGCACTGAGTTAACGGTCCAGGTTTATTACAGTTCACTGGGTTAATGTTGGAAAAACAAAGAAAATTTTTGCTTCGCGCGAAAAATTCCGCCCTGTAAAATATCACTATTCAAGCAGAAGCATACGTTTTAAACATATGTTTAATTTATAGCAACATGGGAGAACCAGACTTCATGTGGCCCGAACCAAGGTGGCTGTGAACACAAGTGTAGCGATGAGGGAGGTGTACCTGAATGCTCCTGTTTTGAAGGGTTCTACCCGGATAAATCCGATTTTAAACGTTGCGTAGGTAAGAAGATTTATTATATACCATTTTGTCAAAGTTTGGTGTTCGTAGCGTTTCATTGGTTGAGAACGAATCACACGAGAGTGACGAAATTTTGATGTCGCCAACACGACGCCCTGCTGAGTGAAATAACGCGTTATCCCATGGGAAATAACAACTTTAATCACGTGCGCCGCACCTGGAAATGCGACCTATAGACTGTTTTGATCCACTTGATATTATGTCTTTTATGATTTATATATAAATAGATATTTCGTTGTTTACCTTGTTGTTTGGTTTTTCTTTGACAAGTGGTATATAATAAAAAACTTATTTACCGAGACCTCAGGAAACGTCATGTTTTGTTCTCGGGTCCACAAAACATAATGTTTCCTTCGATCGCGGTCAATAAGTGTTATCATACTTGTAATAATATGTTATTTACCAAGGTCTCAAAAACAGCCTGAGGTCTGAAGGCCGAGGGACGTTTTTGAGACTGAGAGGAATATTTCCCCATACGGACCAACTAAACTGGTAAATTATAGATTTATTTTTTTACCCGCCTTCCTTGCGTGCGTGTTTTTAAATCTCGCGCGGTCCGTACGGCCTCATACGCGTAGCCAATCAGATTGCAGGAAATGCTAAAATTCGAATCGCAAGAAAAGAATAATTAACACTTACTTACCGCGACCGAAAGAGACACAAGTTTTTTATTTTATACCACTTGTCAAAGAAAAACAAACAACAAAGTGAAAACGAAATATCTATATTCACAAATCATAAAAGATATAATTTCAAATGTCGCATGCCCAGGTGCGCCGCACGTAATTAAAGTTGTTATTTTCCATGTAAAATGACACGTTATTTCCCTAAAAATTTCAAAATTTCGTCATGCACTCTCGCGTGATACGCTCTCGACACTGCATGAAAGTAACTTAACTAACTTACAGTAAAAATGTAAAATCATCCCAGCGACACAAATTAGCTACATGTTTAGTTTAATGTTGACGGTTTTGCAGTTCAATCGATCCATTTCGATTTTTCTCCTTGATTTAGATATTGACGAATGCAATATCCCAGGGTTTTGCAGTCAATTGTGTAGGAATGATCACGGTACTGTTATTATTCAATTTCCACGCGTCATATAATCTTTCTTCAACGTCGTAACAGGTGACACCAATATTGACGATATATTTTATCAACTGTCGATACAGGAGGCTATAAGTGCTCGTGCCACAAGGGATATGTTCTCCAGTCTAATGGACGGAAATGTAAAGCATTAGGTATTCATCCAAGAATATATTTGTGTTTGATGGAAAATTCTATCAAAAGCAGAACAGCCGATAGCGCTATCTACCGGACAGTGATTTTTTCAACCATTTTAAACATGCTTGAAAAGTGATGAAATTTCGGATTTGGATGTAAACTGAAATAAGATTAGATTTTAAAGCGATTGAAGAAACCACTATTTGGTGATTAGCACTATCCAGCTTTCGTACAGCTGTATTATAACAGCCCCTGTATTATGAATCATAACGCCGAGTGCTCATTCTTAGTTCATAATTCATGGACTATCCAGATTCCTCACCTTTAATCGCTTCTAGGTCCCAAACCACTCCTTGCATTAAGCGACCAAGGTATGGTATCAATATCGGCATTAGCGACTCCCAAAAAAATAGAAACCATTGCACAGGACGTCGGAAATATTGCAGCTGTGGATTACTGGTTTGAAGGAGATTTAATATTCTGGGCAGACACCGATTTTAAAACAATCAAATCAGCTAGCCTGAACGGTTCTCTTATGAGGGATGTTGTCAAATTTGGCTTGGAAATGCCATGTAAGTTAAATACATCCTCACATTCCAACAAAAGTAAAATTTCGTTTTAAACCAATAAGCAAGTTTGTTTACATTTTTTGTAACCCAATCAAAATGCACAAAATTGACTATTCTAGTGCACGATTCGCAATTTTACATAAGGTATTAAATATTTAGGCATTCTGATTGCTAAACAAATTTGCCGATTTGTTCAAAACGAAATTCCCGATGTTCCATATTCCTCTATTCCACCTGTTGTATGGGTGAAATATTAAGTGAGTATGACATGTATGAACTATAGACAACAAGACAAGAATTTTAAGGTATATTTCGACTTTATTTCAAAGTTATTGTCAAACCAGAATAAAATATTTACAAGCTTGCTATGATATTATATACAATAACACAAGAAGAGATGACGTCATAGCGTAACACTATGCTATTAACAACTCATGTTCATGTTCAATGTTTGACCACATGCATTGATCGGCCTGCCCATGCATGTTCTCACCGCATGCAAACAGGACGGGACAACAATGTCTCGCCTCTTACTGTAGACATGCTGGACCTTGTCTTGTTCCTTTACACTCGTTCCTTTATCGCTATATCAGTAAAATAAACTTTATGTAAATTTTAGGCGGCCTAGTTGTTGATTGGATGGGCAGGAAAGTATTTTGGACAGACTCTGAAAGTGGCAGAATAGAAATGTCTAATTTTGATGGCACCCAGAGAAAAGCAATTTTTTGGCAACCTCTCGGAAAACTCAGAGCAATCGCGTTACATCCAAGTAAAGGGTAAATCTTTTTAAATGCATTAAAGCTCTTCTTATATTTTAGTTTTCATTTTTTACAGTCTTTTATCTTTATACCTATACTGCACTACAACTTCATTAAGTCACGGCAGTTATTTTTCACATCATTTTAGCAAAATATGATTTTGCATGGCTGACACAAATTTTGCAACATTTTTAACTGACACCGCGGAAGTTGGTATAGACTTAGCCGCAATTTTCAATACTTAGGCTTCAAACTTGGTGAGAAAAAGGATTTATAAATACTCAAGAATCGTCTGAATCAATAACCTTGTGTATATACTTTAAGCCTCAAAATGGCCATTTCACAGCGGTCAGATGTGTATGATGATCTGTAAAAAGATTGCATTTATGCATATTCGGAAGAAAAATTAAACTTTTTAAGATATTCAAAAGGTTTCTCTTTGATAGCGGTACAGAACCAGCTATTGTGAACCAGCGATTAGATTTTCGGATTAATTGAAACGTCTTAAACACCAATTTCTACGGTGTCCTTTCAAATGTTGTTTGAATTAGCTAGTAAATACGTTCTACTACGTTACCACTCAGGTGGAGAGATGGCTGTGAATTCAACTCACTTGGTTGAGAGTTTTCCAATAACAAAATATACGTATGTCGGCAGTGTTCCAACAAATTGTTACTTAAAATTCATCTCAACAGACTACAACAGAAAACAAGCGATAACTTGAAAATTATACATTGAAAACTTGTTCGATTTTATGCATGGTCGTAGATATTTTTTTGTTGAAACGATATCCAAAGTAATAAATCAAAATCTTATATTACTGTACATTCTATAAATAGTTACATGTTTTGGACGGAATGGGATTTGGAAGGAGATGACACCACGTCATCCATAACACGTGCTAATATGGACGGCACAGACGTTCAAAGAATACGATACAGAGATATTTACTGGCCAAACGCACTCACTGTTGATTACCTAAAGTTGAAAATATATTTCGTGGATGCAAAGACAGGACTAATCGAGTTATCAGATTTTGGTAAGTTTCACCATCTACTGGCATATAAGATCTTTCCCGACGGACGTCACGTATTCTTTATTTTTATCAATTGCTTCAAATTGACTTGGGAACATTAGGTTTATGTGACAAGGTCGAAAACTTCCCATTGTATTGATAACCGCCGTCGTCGTGTTCCCGTCCTACATGCTTAAGATCCCTAAAAAAACCAAGACACACCAAACCTGCAAGTATTTTATTTCGTTTTTATTTCCAGCCATTTCGGAAAAAAGTGTCCAAAAAGTTACGCATTGTGAATTTACAAATTCATAGCTAATTTCTCCTTTAAGGAAAGAAGAAACGTAGATTTGAAATATGTCAGAGTAATGTTTTTTGCGTGAAGGGAATTTATTTTTTTTCTATTTGAGCAATTTCTATTTGAGGTTTCAGTTGGCAGCTCTGAAACAAGAGTTAAATATCGCTTCGCGCGAAAATTAGTGGAGAACTAGCCTACGTTTTCTGACAAAAAGGGTGTATTTTGTTATAGTTGCATGGGTGCTTTTGGTCAGTTCTAGCACTGCACGCTATTATTATCTACTGACAACTCCGAAAATGACAATTAACAAAAGTGCGCGAAAAACGAAACAGCTTAATTTTCTTAACTCGCGAGCAACATTCCGCAGTGTTTGGATTAGGCTATCCAAATACGGGAAACGATTAAAATAGTTGTTTTATAAAATTCAACAACAACGTATATAGTCTTCCAAGTTTGATTTCAAAAAGCGAACTAAATTTTCGTGTTTGCATGGATGACCTGATCCAATCACAGACTTTGACCAATCAGAACACACGTTATATACACGCTATTTTATAGAACAGTTTTCTCCCTCCTACAGATGGAAGCTTTCGTATAACAATCAGGAAAGATAATTTGATGCAGCCATTTTCAATCAGCCTTTTCGAAGACGATATATATTGGACGGATACAAACAAAAAGGGAGTATATAAAATGAATAAATTTGACGGAAGTGGCATCAATTTAGTACAAAGGAATTTGAATTATCCAATGGGACTTGCAGTCATTCACACATCAAGACAACCACATGGTGAGAGTTCAAAATTTTTAAAGTTTTAAAAATTATATGTACGAAAACTACTTCAACTTCTATACTTTGTCATTATTTAACTGGGCTATTTTCATGCATAAGTGTTGAATTTTAAAACTTTAGGAAACTGAGTTAATTTATTTTATACATACTGCCACATCAAATGGTGACAACAGTTGGGCATATCCTGTAAATGTTTTTCATCCTTTAGTAAGAGCAGGGCCGTAGCTAGAAACTTAATTGGGGGGCTGCATTTTCATATATTCGTCTTATGCCCGAATGATTTCTTTTGTATGCTATTGTTCCTATGGTATATAAACATGAATATATGAATATACACCCCCAAATTAAGCGGTCTAGCTACGGCCCTGAGTAAGAGTTCGTACGATAATATTTAGGTAGTTATAACTGTGAGAAAAACAACGGAGGATGCAGTCACATTTGCCTACCGACGTCATCAGGACGAAGCTGCGCATGTCCTACTGGATTTCAAATGTCAAATCTTACTCATTGCTCTGAAAGTAAGTCTGACTGTATGCAGTCTGGATCATTCTGGAGTTCATACGTACGTTTGTCACCCGCAAAATATCACCGCCCGCCATATTTGCCCAAAAAGGGCCTGCGGAGGAGGTAGTATTGAACGCAATTGGTGTAACTCAATGGAATGCAATTCCTAAAGTATTCCTACGTTGCTACTGCGATGCTAAACTTATTGAAAGCTATGATTGGCTATTTTAATAATTCTTTCAGCGTTCGAATCGTACATTCAATCACAGCCAACCTTGATTTTTGATATAGCTACATGTATATATAAATTATGCAGTATATCCGTGCAATTATATAGTAGAATGTCAATACTAACAATAGAACAATGCAGCAGTGAAATGAACTTAATGATGAAAAGATATTCATACAAGAGTAGCATTCATACACAACACAACATCGTTGATTAATTCGTCGCTGTAACAAATGTGAATAAATTGTCCCGTTTCTCGGCTGGTCACTCAGAGCATATCAGAATAAATTAAACGGCCTAATTTCCAATTCAAAATACCTTAATTCTAAAGAATATTTTTACATAAAAATCAGTTAGAGTTGTGGTAAAAAAAGTTAGAGGCAATGTATTCGGTCAAAAGCATTAAACGCATACACCAGGAATAGTCCAGAGTCGAATCATGTAATTATTTAATTATTTTATTTTTTCAAGAAATTGACAAGTTCGTCGCTTACGTTGCTGACTATAGTATACGTCAAATATCCCTGGATACGGGTGACATGCTGGATGTTGTATTGCCATTTGAGAACGTGCTTGATGTAATTGCAATGGATTGGGATCCAGTCAAGGATGAAATGTATTGGGCAGACATTTATAACGATGAAATAACGATAAGAAAAGGGAAAATGAGACCAGCCTATAATGAGGTCTGTCTATTTCGCTATTATTACTATTAGGCGCTGTTACACTATGCAATTTTCCTTGCAAGTTGCAATGCAATTATAATTTATAGGGATGCTAATTTGTAAAGAGTGTTCGAAATGATAAGAAAACTTTCGGAGATTGTAAGAAATGTTCGTATTTGACAACTTTAGATGCCCCAGGAATAGAATTCCATTGCACGTTTCAAGGACAGTTGCATAGTGTAAAAGTGCCTTTAGGCATGTAAGAGGGCTATTTATTTACTCATTCTTGCTTCAGCCGAGATTCAACGAAGTGCGTGATGACTTTTTGTCTCAAAACTTATTTTCAAGACTGTTTTCCATGTCTCAAAATCATCTCGCGCTTCGCTGAATCTCGGCAAAGCGGGACCATGTGAACAGCCGCTATTATATAGGAACACGACGATGGTGGTTAAATAGTACAATGATTCATTGAAAGAAATGACTAGTTGAAGACCTATGGGAGTTTTAGACGTAGTCTATGTTCTGTTAACAACTGCAAAACGTCGATTTTCACGTCCTGTGTAGAACATCTGCATTTCAGTGTCGTTTCAGAATTTGCGTATAGCGGTAAGGTAAGGGGAATAACCAGGTCCTTCGTTGATGCAAACATCTACCATATGTGAAGCTCATTTATTGGTGCAAACATCTACTATGTGAAACTATATTCTGCATAGAATTCATGTCATCTCGCCTTTTAGTTTTTACGCCTTTTCATGCAACTGTTGCCGTCAGATATTGAAAAAAATCATTAGATGTTCTAGAAATTTCTCCTCCTTTGTTTTGCTGAACCTTGTGTTATCTGGCCTAAACATATCTCGTGAAATAGGAGTATATTTGCAACTTTCATAGTAACTAGTAGTTAGATCCAAATCCCATTAAGACCGCAAACGAGTGTGATCAGAAATAAATCATATCTTATGTCAGGCTGTACTTCACCAAATTCCTGGCAAGCTATCGGGTATTGCCGTTGACTGGTTGTCAAGGAAACTGTACTGGTCTGACGAAGAAAGGAATCATATCCTTGTTTCTAATCTTGATGGAAGTTCAACAACAGTTTTACGATGGAAAAATAATAACCAACCAAGAAATTTGTTGCTTCATGTGGAGAAGAGGTACTGTATGCATAAGGTACCAGCATTCACTTTAGTAGTTTGGGCTAAGTGGGTTATACATGATTGTTTCGGGTTTACGATCAATTAGGAATAAAATTTCGGGTTTACAAACTATTAGAAAAGAAAGCAAAAAATTTGTCCAGGAAAATGCTGCGATATTATAATACACGTTAAGGCGCTGTCACCCTATGGAATTTTCCTTGCAACTTGCAATGCAATTATAATTTTGAGGGATGTTAATTTGCACAAGGGGTGCTCGAAATGCTAGAAATTAAACGTTAGAAATAAATGTTAGAAATTAAACGTTAGAAATGTAAGAAATGTTTGTATTTAACAACTTTAGATGCCTCCGAAGTAAAATTGCATTGCAAGTTGCAAGGAAAGTTGCAAAGTGTAGCACCACCTTTCATTATGTCGCAACTTTACAGTTTTAAACTTAGGGCCTCTTTAATTGAATGAATTTCACGTCCTTATAACCCTCGCGTTATGTCCAAACGAGGCAAACATCATCCGTCAACATACGTATTCCTGAAAATAAGACGGAAACGTAGCTCCAAGATTTGCTCTGGCTTGTTGATCCTGACAATCGTATTGAATTATTATAAATCAAAGTGTTGCTCATTGCAGATACATGTACTGGACGACCCATGGTAAAGCTGTCAGCATAAATCGCGCTGGAATGGATGGTCTTTCTCGGAAAAAAATTGTTTCGAAACATTTGACAAACCCAACTGGCTTGTGTATCGATAAATTGAAAAACATCATTTTTTGGGTGGATGGAGGAGATATTGTTCATTACTTCGCATTAGCAACAGAAAAACGAAATGTAAGTGTTTTTCAAGTACATATTAGGTGAACTGCGCGCCCTCAAGTCAGAAACGTCCAAGTCAGAAACAAAAGTTTTGTTGCTGCCAAATTTTAATCTCTCAAATTTCTCTTTGAAAGTTGTTTGAAAAAACCCTGTAACGTGGCCCTAAATTTTGTACGCATTTTGAATTTGGACTTCATTGTATTTTTCACCATGTTGTTTTTACTTATCTTACAATCTGGCGTGACGCCTGCAAGGAATTCTGGTCTTACTCTGGTCTGAATTTTCCGCCGAGACACTAAAGGCCTAATTCCACGGGCGGTTTTTCTCGGCGAAATGCGAAATATTTCGCCTGTTCCTTTTGAATTTCGACCACTTAAATAAATTAATTCTGCTTCATTGCTCACAATTCAAAAGAAGCAGGCGAAATATGTCGCATTTCGCCGAGAAAAACCGCCCGTGGAATTAGGACCTTATAGGCTGCTTTCCAGTTGCGCGTTTTTTTATACGCACGTACACGCACGTAAAAGTCTAAATCCTTATACATGTTACCGTTAGTTTTCCGCATATTTTAGTATGCACTTGTAGACCTGGATGTTAAATAATAAAAATTTAGAAGCATTTCAAATTTTCCGTGCGTGTACGTGCGTATAAAAAACGTGTAAAGGCTGCTTTCCACTTTCGCGTTTTTAGCACGTACGTACACGCACGTAAAAGTTTAAGTGCTTTAAAATTTTTATTATTTAACATCCAGGTCAGCAAATGCATACTAAGCTACGCGGAAAACTAAGTTCTTTCGATTTATTCATTTCGTTTTTTTAAAGATAACTTATATAAGCATTTAGACTTTTACGCGCGTGTACGTGCGTATGAAAAACGCGACAGTGGAAAACAGCCTTTAGGGCTGCTTTCCACTTAAGGCTGTTTTCCACTGTCGCGTTTTTCATACGCACGTACACGCACGTAAAAGTCTAAATGCTTATATAAGTTATCTTTAAAAAAACGAAATGAATAAATCGAAAGAACTTAGTTTACCGCGTAGCTTAGTATGCATTTGCTGACCTGGATGTTAAATAATAAAAATTTTAAAGCACTTAAACTTTTACGTGCGTGTACGTACGTGCTAAAAACGCGAAAGTGGAAAGCAGCCTTAAAGGTTGCTTTCCACTTACGCGTTTTTTATACGCACGTACACGTACGGAAAATTCAAAATGCTTTTAAATTTTTATTATTTAACATCTAGGTCAACTAATGCATACTAAAATATGCAGAAAACTAAGTTCCTTCGATTTATTCACTTAGTTTTTTCAGAGGTAACATGTATAAGGATTTAGACTTTCACGTGCGTGAACGTGCGTATGAAAAACGCGTTGGAAACGCGTGGAAAACAGCCTTTAGTGTCTCGGCGGAAAATTCAGACCAGAGTTTAAGTCTTAGATCAGAGTTCCCTGCAGGCTTGTTACGTCATTGTGAATAAGGTCTACTGGATGCCTTGTTACATGTACTTGGGACCACTAATCACAACCAGTCGTCGTATCAAATCATGCATGCTGGGACGAAAGTGACGAAACTATATACGATTGCTTGCGGCAAAAGAAATTCGTCAGGCAGTACTTATACGCACCCCCTATACTATCCCGCTAGTTAGGTCCCCGTGTTAGGGTGGTTTCCACTTGCAGAGAAAGAGTTTGCTCGCGAAATATTTGCATTTTTTCTTTACAATTTTGACAAAATGAATAAATAAGTATAATGTCCAGCTTCCCTGTTCTCATTTCAACAGAAAATATGCGAATATTTCGCTAGCGAACCATTTCTCTGCACGTGGAAATCCACCTGGTTCACACCAGTAAAATAAGTATAAGCAGAAATATGAAAGTAATCTTTTCCTCTGAGCGTCAAAAAGACAAAGTCAAAGGAATTTTCTTTTCAACTATCTTTTATTCCAGCTTCGCTTATGCTTCGAGTCTTAATGTGGTTATGTTGATGCTTTGCCTTTTGTCTTTCCTTAAGCCCGTTTTCAACTAGGCGGAATTTTTCGATCGAACGAAATTTTTCGCTTGATTTTCTTTTCAGAAATCGACCGTAGCGGATTGATTTTCCCTTCACCGGTCAGAATTGAAAGGAAAATCGATATTTGTGTTAACACAGTTGGCATTATTTTCGTAACCAAAAGTCTTTGCAGCTCTTCTGAGTCTTGTAAAGATGTTCATCGTGCAGCAGCATACAGAAAAGTTTTGTTACTCTTTTACAAGTAACAGTTTAGAACCATAATTGACTTTTCGGAATTGGGAGAGAGAAATGCAGATACTATTATTTAGTCTGTTATACTATTACTCAAATTCCTATTTAGTTCTTCAAAGTTTCGCACCATTCCCTGTCATTGACTCCCTTTTCAATTGGTGTTCACAAAGATCGTTTTTTTTGGGCGGATTCAAGTTTAAAGAAGGTGCTATCGATGAATCTTGGAGATACGAACAGCACTAGAGTCATTGGAAAATATACATCAAACCCTGCGAGACTGGCGGTCTTTGCGAAAATGCAAACTTCAGGTAAAGTGTAGTTTTGCGTTTTGTTGTTCCTTGATTTTTCAAAGCAGTTGTTTCGCGCACGTGTTTTAGTGTAAGGTCACCTTCACCGATCCCAGGGCCGTAGTTAGACCGCTTAATTGGTGAGGGGATGTATATTCATATATTCATGTTTATATATCGTAACAACAATAGAGAACAAAAGAAATCAGTCGGGCATAAGACGGATATAAATATGGCTTTTGAAAATCCTCTATTCTGATAACGTAAAACCCATATGGGCGGAGGGGGTCATTTTCCAAAGAGGGCCCTTCGTCTCCATTAGGAATAATCTGTATATCTGTATATAAACTCGATGGTCAGCGTCACATTATGTTAACAACACTTAATGAAGGAAACATAATGACTTTTGCATGTCAGAATAGTTGTTACAAGACAGGGTGTATCAAAAAAAACGCAACCACTTAATATTCATGAATATCCTCTTTGTTCTACAACACAAAAGACGTTTGGTTCCTGGAATGCGAGAAGGCTTGTAATCATATTCTAGCGGCACAATCGTCGGTAAACAAAGTCGGGTGCGTAAACCAACGAGCTGAATTGAAAGTATTTAATGAGTAAAATTTATTTTACAAGGTCGACAGTTAGCATTTAAGTTATCATGCACGACAATAAAAACTCGTTGTTCGGTTGTTAGCTGCACCATTAGCAGTTTAGCTGATTTGACTATTAGCAGTTGAACTGTACGATTAGAAGCCATTTTAAAATCCCAGGGGCATAAATCTATTGAGCTTATGAACAATATGAATTTTAGAATATTAAGTGGTTGCGTTTTTTTTGAGACAACCTGTACAGGGGTAAAAAATGTTGCGTGATGCAATATATATAGCAGGCATAATCTTTTACGAAAATAGATTAATATACAATTATTACAGAAATTATCATTTATGCTCATGAAATTAAATCTCAGAATATTTTTATTTCTGGATAGAGAATCACCCTTGTTCAATAAGAAACGGTGGTTGCAGCCATCTTTGTTTGCTTTCGCCATCACAAGGTTATCGGTGTTTGTGTCCTGCTGGAAGACATCTCAAGGCCGATAATAAAACTTGCGAATCAGGTGTGAACATCTAATAGCTATATCTTGAGCAAAATTGGTGTAAAACCGTGTAAATACATGACATAATCAACAGTACTTACTTGATGGTTATACGTCTTTAGTGCAAGAGTTAACACGGTTTGTGTTGGTAAACAGCAATGGCAGGCTGCATCAAGTACCTCTAAGTGTTCCATACAAGACAGAAATAGCCTTAGCTACTAAGGGCAACAAAGTGAAGGATATCATTGCCTTTGATGTTGATGTTAAACGCAGGTATTTTAGTTCATGGATTAAAATTGATTGAAACACAATTTTAAACTGTTCCCCTGGCAGGAAAAGACACACGTTTTTAGGCCAAAAAAGCAAACACGAGCACTGCCAATTGTAGTAGATACGTAAATCTGAATACCCACCTTACATGACTTTAAAGCATGCTTTAGACGTACTTTCTGACCAAAGAGGAATGTATAATAATACACATTATCGTCCTTTTTCCTTTATAGAAATGTATATTTTATCAGGAGAACCAAAACAGAAAAGGAAATCTGTTTTGTTTCGTTATTTGGTGGCGATAATACATGCATTCTTTCTGAGATACTTCGTGCACCTTACGATATTGCGTATGACCCTGTACGACATTATTTTTACTGGACTGATGCTTTTACCAGGAAGATATACCTCGCTGATAGCAATGGAACATTTTGGACCGTTGTCATTTGGAAGAATTTAGACGAACCATCATCCATTACAGTTGCATACCAGCACGGGTAAGTGTGTCATAAGGTCTATGACAATTCACAAGAATAATGACACGTTCATTGTGACAAGCAATTGTTCGTCTTTCGACTTCTATCTTTTCACCTTGACTACAAAGTTAACTGAATTTAAGGCCTTTTTAAAACCGGTTATCCACTAGCGATACTTGTTTCAGAGCTCTCAACCTCAACCATCTGGAATAAATTGCTCGAAATCGCTTCGCGCGAAAAATATCGTTGGTGGAAAACTGTGGGGGGGGGGTCATAAACAATACGGACCTAATTGGAATGTGCATGGTAAATTAAAGAGGTTGAGAACTAGAGAGGGTTTAATAGACCTTTTTCATAATGACGTCAAACGCGGAAAGTCTGATCTTACACGAAGTTTGATTAGCTCATCAGACTTTCCGCGTTTGACGTCATTATAAGAAAGGTCTATTGGGTTCCCCGTTACGTCCAAGCAAGATGAGTCTTATTGAGAGAATATCATTACTTTCCTCTGCGCTTGGTCAAGTATTTTGGTTATATGTACACTCGAAAGGGACCTTCGCCGTTGGGGCAATATGCAATTTGTGGCGAGGAGGGGGGGGAGGGGCGATAGAGGCCAGCCTGCCAATATTGTCCTGCTTTGAAAATTTCAAGTCATTAATAGAATTATTAAATTCTGTAGAAACTCATTGTTTTTACCGTCAATTAGCACCAAAATATAAGTATAGCATGACTAAATTGTCAGGCTGGTTACGCCGCTGGATAGAGGCTGACAAACGTTTTGCCACGGTCTCTGGTATCCTTCTTCCTCAAAGTATGTTTCCCTGGATAGCATTTATTTAGTTTCATTTTAAGAAAATGTCATACCTTGAAATATTTCAGGTTTATATTTTGGGCAGATGTTGGCGAGCATAAATCCATATTTAGAGCAAATATGGACGGTAGTTCTTCTTCAAAGATTGTGACGACAGGATTGAAATGGCCATACAGTCTGACTGTTGATCACGTAACTAAACATTTATACTGGACAGACTTTCCTCAGGAGCGAATTGAATTTTGTGATTACGAGGGAAAGAACAGAAGGCAAATTGCAACAACTTCATCGGGGCTGACATCACTTTCGTTGTTTAGTAAATTTGTGTATTGGTCAGAGTGGAAACCTGGAGTGTTGAGGAAAAGCGGTAAAGCCCAAAAAATTTTCAATTTTGCTACAGTGATCAAAGGAATGAAGAGAGTATTTGGAATTCAAGCTGTAAACTTGCAAAAAATACCAGGTATATAGTTAACAATTATAGAATAAGGTTGAGCATGATATGAAGAATTATCAATGCGAGGTTTGTGGTTAAAGCTTGATAGTTCATCATATCATGTTAAAACCGAATTCAATAATTGTTTTATTATTTATTTAGAAGAATGAGCATTACAATTTTGAATTGTTCGCTTGAATTTGTGTCGATTTCACATTCCCGCTCCTTTGGGACGTTGATGTCTTTGCCATTGATGTGACGTCATAACGTAGGATACGACTATATCACACGTTATGACGTAGTTACGTGCAAAAAAAAGGTTACATCATCACACGTTATGACGTCACACGTTGGAAATGACGATTTCACACATGGCTATTAGCCAATCAGAGGCTGTGAATTCTTTTGAATAAATAATAATAGTTTTTACTATTGAAAATGACAACGAATTCTGATATCATTATACTCTTTTCTAATATCCAACCACGTACATCAGTTAATCAGTATTACAACAATTAGGGCTTACTACGCAGATCAGACCATTATAAAGTGCTGATTGTACTCCAGATGTGCCAGCATCTTCACTTGAAATCAGATGTATATTAATTCAACATCAACATCAACATCAATTTCTCTGTCAAATTTAGTGTCAAAAAGCGATTGCGAGAACAACAATGGAAATTGCAGTCACTTTTGTGTGATGAATCCCGTCGGGATATCGTGTGCTTGCCCTGTCGGCCTAAAACTTCGCGAAGGCGGAAAAATCTGTTACGATAGTAAGTGTATGGAAAATAACAGTAACAATAGTAAATATTCGGGAGGGAGGTGTCATTGCATATAATGATATATTCATAGTGTAGAGTATTTTCTATTCCGGGGGAAGTGTGGAGTTTTATTTTTCATCAGGGGGTTCTAACTTCAGAGTTCAGGTATCGCTTTTGTTTATTTATACTACTCTGACACCTTGTCAGTTGTAGTGACCTAATGTACCAATATTATCTTGGAATCTGAAATATATCCGAAAAATATTTTCTAGCTGGGCGGCTGGGCCCTACCCACTGGTGAGATTTCTCTGGACCTCCCTTGAACGTCCTGAACCTCCCTTCCCACTCCCCCTGCCTATGTATGATCTGATATTGATAATTGAAATATTGAGCTACAAGAGTAGGCTACTATGTGATTCATTAGGGTCGTTTACTTTGTAAATTCAACAGGTCCACACAGGTCGATATTCTTCATCAGTGGAAAAACAATGAATAGAATATCGTTTGATACAGATGACCTAACGAGTTTTCCATTGCCTGTAAAAAATATGAATATCACACGAAGTTTCATTTTCAATGTTATCGAAGATAAAATCTACTGGACTGATGGCACCACGATCTATTCAACGCGAATGAAAGATTCAGGTAAAGACAACAATTAATTTTATGTGTATACGAACATAAATTATTGTAATCTGTTTTTTAGACAATTTTTTAAATATGCACTTGATACTCTGACCAGCAAACACAATTTCTTAGTGATCTTAGACGATCCAGCTGATCTATAGGTATAAGAATGAAACAATCAGAAGCCAGATCCTCGACAAAACTGAATTATCATTTGATCATTTCATATGACTCAAGGACTGGAAAATATTAAATAATTCTATTTTTTATGCGGGAACACTACCTCCTCCGCAGGCCCTTTTCGGGAAAATATGGCGTCGGGAACACGTCTTTATGTATAAATTAGAATTTAAATGTTTACAATTGGTAGGAAGAACGGGGAAAATGACTCATGAGACGGCGCATGAGACGCCCCATGACGTCATGATCTAAGATCAGCTTGGGAAGATAAGAAGTGAAGATCAGAGTGAAAAATTCCCATCTTTTGTAAAATTAGTCCGAAAAGTCTGTCCGGAAGCGAATATATAGGACAAAAGATGTCGGTCCAGCTAAAATCCAAAACACATAACTTTTGTCGAACTTTTGTCTCAACAAATTAGTATTATAAATGAAATTGTAAAATCCGAATAGCGTTTGCCAAATGATTTCATTCTTTTTTAGTAACAAAGATAATCGTCATCTCCAACTCGTCATCGATCAATAGCCTATCAGTTGACTGGATTTCTGGAAATTTATTCTGGTCGGATCTAAGAACTGCTAAGATTAAGGTGTCTACACTGAATGGCTCACATTCTGCTGATCTTATAACTGGTGCATTAGAAAAGCCTCGAGATATTGCTGTTGATGCTGCAAAAGGGTGCGTAACGTACCGTAGTAAAACAAAACAATTCACATTGGAATTTTTTTTTTAAATCCACACTGTGGAAATATGCTGCACGCATAAAGGAACACTATAAATTATTTTCCGTGCAGGATTGCGTGATACTGCACTTGCATAGGAAATTGCTCGACTTTCGGAAAGTGTGAAAAAGTCAAAAGGCAAGCAATTTCTCAAGTGCAGTATCACGCAATCCTGCACGGAAAACCATTTAGTATTTTCTTTATAAAAGAACTACAATGAAACGACGGTCAAATTTCCCGCGCAAAGCGGCATTGTAAACTTTCCGTGCGGGATTGTCTCATACTACGAACGCCTACGAACCAATCAAATTGCGTGTTTAATTGTAGTTATTATATAATACTGTTTCCATTATATATCCATAATATGGGAATGGCGATTAGTATGGATATTATAAACTTTCATACTTTTTCCATAATAAGGATTTTGAAAAATACTTCCAGGGATATAATATGGATTAAAGAGTCTTTTTCCGTCTTTTAGTCTTCTCTTTTGGACTGATGCCGGAAGAAAGGTTATAGAGAGATCGCATACAGATGGCCAATCACATACCGTGGTTGTCAGTGGCGACGTATATCAGCCAGTTGGTCTGGTACTGGATGAAGAGACAGAGTTCTTGTATTGGTCTGAAGCGATGACTTATAGCATAGAGAGATGTAACTACGATGGTCAGAGAAGATCAACAGTCGTTAAAAAAGTAAGTTTAAACCGTGCAAGTATTTTCTTAATTTTGACCAATCGTTCCCAAATGGACCCACAGTAATTGGCAATTAGCTGTTGTGGTGTCCCAGCCAATTATTGTTTGCAAATATATGTGTTATATTCTGTGTATACTTAACTGAAGGACACTATTGCATCACATTTTTCTTGATAGAAAAATAAAAAGATAGAAAAATAATACAACATGCTCAGACACTTTTTTTCAAGATATTTCAAAACACTCGGACTTTGGTGGTCATCTGAGTTCAAATTCCGATTCAAACAATGGTCCCATTTAGGGTGTGGATAATTCAATGGCTACCACTCGTCTATACAGAGCACGGAATGCATGTGGCTAGTGCGGAAACAATTTTTTAAAACAAAATATCCCTGTTGCATTATTTTTAGCAATTTGAATTTAAAATTTCAGGGTGTTTATGCGTCCGGACTGACAATATTAGGATCTCAGGTGTTTTGGGCTGACTATCGACAGCGGGCTTTACTGCATGCTCACAAGGAGACTGGTGCAGAAGTTAATGCTCTTGAGAAAGATCTGGAAATTCCTATGGCTTTGGCAGCTTTCACAAGAAGGACCACACCAGGTGCGAAACTGGATAAACGTTGCCTTTATTTTTTAAGTTTTTGGTTGTAAGAAGTAGGATAGGAATAGTCTTTCTCACGGTGACGAATATCCGCCATTTTGGGATACTTTGCTCAAATGCGTTTAAAGAACTGATAATAGCAATGTAAGAAGCATTTTTTAAGAGTCAATAGACCATTTGAACAATAAATTAAGCCTAAAATTAAAGACAGCCGCCCTAACAAGGTCTTGCGCTCACAATTAAAAAAAAAGTACCCCCAAAATGGCGGCACATTCGTCATCGTAAGAAAGGCTAATTATGATGCTAAGCTGATGAAAATTGATTGGGTCAGAAAAGGCATGAAAAAATATAAATCATCCCAAACCAAACGAATCCTTATTATTGGCCACCTATACTTCCCATTTATGGAATAAAAAAATTGGTTGACATGCACTTTAAGGTGCTGATGGGAACAAAATTATGACATACAGTATTGCCTAAACTACAGTTGATAAAATATACATGGTTTAGAGACTACATAGAAGTACAATAGTACTCATTAACTATGTCGGGGAAAAAATTGTTCCTTATTCGTCACGTGTCCATTGTATTTTGAACAAATAAACCAATAGTAAGGTCTGAATTAACATGTTGTTCAAGTCACGGTTGAGGAGCTAAGCCAAGCCATTGCTATTGGTTAGTTGGGCAAAAATACAATAGACATGTGACGGATAAGGAACCATTTTTTGCATAAACCTTGACAATAACATAGATAAGGAGTTGTATTGTACTTCCATCTAGTCTCCAAACCATGTATATTCTAATAACTGTGTCTGAACTGAGACGTCATTAAATGCTATTAACAATTAATGAGAGAATAGAAATGAATAATAGAATAATGAACTGTTAGTGCTGATTTAATGGGTTATTGTTAAGAACATGCACTGTATCTTCATCAAACAAATTGATGTACAAGATATGTACTGTATGTTTTCTAAAAATGCTCTGGGGCCGGTTGATCAAGTCCGTTTAGCTTAAACGGTGGTTAAGTTCAAAATAGAAAGCAAGTCTATCGTTTTATTCAGCAAGCAAACTGAATGTTAATCTTAATACAACGATAATGTTTACAACAACAAATTCAGTGAATAATATTCAAGTTGACTCATTCAAGAGAGATGTAGAGTGTTATTTAATTTTGACTTATCCACCGTTTAAGCTAAACGGGCTTGATACAACCGGGCCCTGGAGACTACGCTAAATTGTATTTTTATGTATGAAGTTGTGTCAGAGTACTCTCAGTAAGTGGAAGCAATGCACAAATGCACATTTTTCTATTTTTCCATCTTACCTTAATTTATAATCCAAAAGTAAAGAACTCGTATGGGGTTACATGATGCATGACCTTTTTATCTAATTTCAAGCTATTCTTCTAGAATCACTTTACACATATTTCCTATTTGAAAACTAAATATTGACGAAAAATCAGGGAATGAAGAGTATAAATAACGCTCTTCAGCACATAGCTCCACTATACCATTTGAATGATTTATATGAATGTATCCATTCTTATTTTTTAGTTACAAGTCCATGCTTCATGAATGGAAACTGCTCCAACATTTGCCTATCTAAACCCAATGGTCGATCATGTGCTACCGTTTGTGATAAAATATTACATCTGAGAGGTGAGAGGTTTATAATTGTGGTGACGCAGGAACATTTCCTTTTTTCTTAAAGTTTTCTTGTTCTATTTTGAGAGACATAAAAAACAACTATAGAATCCAGAAAGAATAAAAGCATTTTAAAACATAATATTAAAGTTTAGTGCATAATTTGATAATGAAGCATGGCTAATGAGAGAAGAATTGTGGATATGTATAGTAATGCGACGTAACTGATATTCGCATTATTTTATCTAGATTCATGTGTGGTTAAAAAAATTATTTCAACACAGAGAAGTATACAACCCTCCAGAAGGTATGCTTACTAAGTTGACAGAGGGAAATATCAGTAACAATAGTCGCATGGGTGTTCGAAAATAGGAGTAAAAATACTATCTTTATGTATTTAAATTATAATTTTTAGCACTTCACTCGATGCAACCCTTTAAAGCTTTATGTATTTAGCCAATTAGCCCATATGGCAAGAAACCACGCGCGTATCACGTTTCAGCATGGCTGCCGTGAGACGCCCAAAATGTTCCAAGTAGACATTCCAAAATTATACATCTATAATGCCTGTTTCATTAGGCTGTTGGCTTGTAGCTCTTAATATATTCATTTCATTTGCATACTATGGACGCTGTAAAACTGGACCCTTTTTGCCGGGAACCCGGCTATTAAGAACCCCCCTCTGTTGACGCAATGTCGTCTCAGTTCGTTGTCGTTTCGGAAAACAGTCCAGATTCAGTTTCACTTTGCATGCGTATTGCTAGGCATATATTTTCCCCTTTTGCTACAAACGTACTTCAGATCTTAATGTGCTAAATGTGCAAAATTAACCATCTTATTAGATTGCTCTTCAGTGAATTCATATTTTTTAATCCATATAGTTGCACAATGGCTAATGGTGATGATAACTGTACTAATATCACTGTGAATTTTAGAAAAGGTAAATACAAGCTCTTTATAGGTGGAGTTTACAGTAAAATGCTTGGAAATTGGAAGCAAAGTGTTGCAAAGTGCCAGAAATATCTTCGCGCTAAGCTTGCAAATTTTGTATCAATTGCAGACATACGCAGACAATTCGTCGTATTCAAAAAAACATAACAGTTCAGAATGTAAACAAAACGTGTACAAATAACACTTATTTACCGCGATCGAAGAAAACGTTATGTTTTCATTGCTTTGTGAACCCGTTCGCCGGATGAAATATCGACAGTCGAGGGTCCACAAAACATAACGTTATCTGAGGTCTCGGTAAATAAGTAACAAGGTAAACAATGAAATATCTATTCATAAATCAAATGGATGAACAGTCTAAAGGTCGCATGTCCAGGTGCGCCACACCTGAATAAAGTTGTTATTTCCCATGGGAAAGAACGCCAATGAAACTCTACGAACACCAAACTTTGACAACTCCTCCGCCGGCGCTAGGGAGCATTTTGGAACTTTACCGTTTCCAGTTTAGAACCGCCTTAACACGAAACAGTAAAACAAAAAACCAAAAAATGTGGTAATACGCCAAACCACGAAAACGAGGCTCGGTATTTTTTATTGTTCAAAATAAAAAAATCTTTCTTACGCTTTTTTTCAAGAAGGCTGTTTTACATCTTTGCACATAGCTCGTGAGAGTAAAACTTGAAATCTGTTTCATTTAAGCTGGGTAATACCAAACTGGAAACGGTAAAGTTGTGACGTAATTACTGGAAGGGAGTATTTAATATGACCTAAATCCCTGAGTTAGTGCGAATCAGTTTTTAGGCTTAACTTTTTTTTTTGAAATGGACTGAAATATCTTTTTAAGAACTCATCTTAAATGTTTCTTTCAGGAAGGAAATCGATGACGATAGCATATATTGTCGCAGGGATTGTTTGTTTGGTCTTTGTTTTAACCATGACTATCCTGATATTTCTTTGCTATCGGTAAGATAGCTTTAGTTATATCTTATTGTAGTATTTTTCCTATGATGGTATAATGTTTTCTGTATGGTATTATATCAAAATTATCCGTTTAGGCGTTTCAAATCACGTAGAAGCAAAAGAAGGCAAAAACAACTGATGGCGTTAAGAGTAACTTTTGAAAACAAGCGTACAACGGTAGGTCCTCTCAATTATAATAATTTATTAAACCTGAAAAGTATCAAAACCCCAAGTAATCTTTAAAAGAACATCCGATTTTGTAATTATTACGAAGTCAAAGCAATCTTGTAATCACCTTGCTTCCGGCGACTAATTGTTAAATATCCTAACGGATAATTGTTAGAGTATCTAATCGGGTGATTATATTGTTCAGCCTGCATGTTATCAACAATTCAGCAAGTTGTTTACATATTTAGTAACCCAATCAGAATGCATAAATTTTGACTACTTCCGGTAAAAAGGTACATTATTTACCATTTTACATGAAGTATTTAATATGTAGGCATTCTGATTGGCTTTGCCTAAAAATTGTTAACAAAGCTTGACAAAGTTTGACGATACATTTCGGAGTCTGTTTGCGTTGGTTTAACGAAAAGCTTTGTGTCTTGTCAAATGTGAGGATTATCTGCTCAAATTTAACACGATTGAGATGGCTCCCCAGGATTTTTGCCAAAGTCAACACCGATGACTAAATGAGATTCAAAAACCATTACCTTACGTGACACAGGGTAGGAATTTTCACCTTCATGTTACCACGTCACCAAATTATGTTACGATGGCAACAGCGCATATTCAACGGAAACACGAAGCACGTTTTTTTCATTCTTTTTGCCTTTTTCCCCCGATTTTTTTTAAATTTAATAAATTTAAAGTTTTTTCAATTTTTTTATCCATCATTCGAAGAGTAGCGCTTTAATCTTTCTTTTGCCCAACTCAAAAGAAAATAAAGCGAACTTTTTCACTGATCGTTGCAGAGCAAAGAAGACACAGTTAATGATCCACTTGTGACCATTTCGTCGCAACGTCGGGAACAATTATCAACAAGATCAAGTCCTTCCATTGTGCAGGAAGAGGAAAGAGATCCGTGTCTTGCTATTTCTGAAGTGTAGTTTCTATGTAAAAAAGCAAACGACTTTTGTTTGAGAAAACACAAATTTTAATTACATAGTTGTGCTAAGTTGTAGTCACCGGCTTATATAATGATATGTGCGAACATAGGCTACAATTTTTAGCATGTGTCTAAATATTTTGAATAAAATAACTTGTTAAACTACAAACTTTTAACTCAGACGCTAATTAGATTTCACAGAAAATATTTCTTATATCGTAGGGTATAAAGAGTTGTATATTATATAATACTAAGAAAAAGTCATCTAAACTAGTTATAAAAGAGAATTTTTACCAGTGTGTTTTTAAATAAAGAAGTTAAGTTGTTTCTTCAAAACAACATCCGATTAACTCATCCCACGACGTTGTATCCAAGCATAATTATGTAATTATAACCTACGTACAGTCTCTACAGAAATTACTTACTGCATGTATAAGTGATTTCTGTAGAGACAGCACGCAGGCTAATGTAATGAAAATATTGAAAACTCGCCAACAGAGTGCTTAGGCATTCAGACTCTAACAATTACATTGTTATAGGTGATTTCAATAGTTTTCGGTTTTTTTGAGACACCTTGTATAATTTATGAATAAATGCAAAACTTTTTTCGTCGCTTTTCCTAGCAAACTAAAATTCTCGTTCCCCTTACTTTCGTGCACGATAACTCAAAAAGTAATACAGCTAAGTTGATAAAATTTTCATGGTTGTCTCTAAAGACAATTGGCACGCGGAGGTGAACTAAAAGTTTTGTATTCCGTTCTAAGTAAAATAGCGATTGGCTATTTCAGATTGGTCGTAGAATTTTTATATTTATAATTTGCAAATACTGGTCAAGTATTTGCGTCAGCGACGGAGTTGAAAATTCGCCTCGGTTTTGTTTTGTTGTTTTTTTTTCTCGTCGCGGGTGTGTCTGGCGCGAAATATACTAGTATTTGAAATGTGTATGTGACCGTATTTATCTACGCCCCAGGGTCTCCCAAGAGTTGTGGTGCACAGCTTTGGCTAATTTCCGATGCGCGATTCGATTTCGCTCGCATGATACGGCAATTCCTCCAAGAAAAACTAAAACGTTTAAAATAAATAAAAAAAAAAAAAATAAAAATAAAACGTTTTTTTGATGATGTTCGATTAGGTTTATATTTAATACATGCAGATTCTGGTCCTATTTTAATAATATCGCTGCTATTTCGCGGTTTAACAAAATGTGGTCGTTTACAGGCGCGTTGACACGTCGCAGTTAATTTGCACAGGATTGAAGATTTAATATAAGCACGAATTCCAAAGTTTAAGACAAAGTGATCGAACGTATCATCAGAGACGCCCAAACGATGCGAGGGGCAAAGGGGGCAGATTTTGGTGAAAGGGCACTTCTATAGCGGCGCATTAATAAACAAGTACGATCGTACTATAGTGGACCAGGAACTGCGTAACCGAGTTTAATTTCTGAACTGCATTGTATTTATAACAATGGAGAGGACAATGTCTTTCTAATCGTTTACGTTTACTTATACAGGGTGTCCCAAAAAAATGTCCCCTCTATTGAAATCAAGCCTTTGTTTGAATCTGATTGCCTTAATATTATGATAAACCCAATTGAAAGCAAGACGCTTTATTTGAATGCCTCAACCTAATAAATATGCTATTTACACACTACTGCGTTGATCATGCATTCAAATTCCAACAAAAGCTTCATTTCAATAGCGGGGACTTTTTTTTGGGACACCCTGTATATAGGCTGAATAATAATGATATGTATATATTATTTGCTGCAAATATATCAAGAATTGCTTGTAACTTGCTTCAAAGGTCAAAAGTAAAAATTCGAACTCCGTCAATCGATGCGGAATATTGCTTAGAATAATTGTGCCAAGTTTCATTTCGAGCAAACAAGTAATGATAGAGCCTTAGGGTTTTTTTAAAGAGCGTCGCCCCATAACAACAACAAGAAGAAGAAGATTAGCAGCGGTTAGGGACCAGTTCCTGGTCCAAGAATGTTTGAAAAACATCGTCAATTGAACTTCGTATCGTCGTGATTTCTCTTTCCAAGATATTTTCTGTGTCTGTGTTATTCTTGATGCTCGTTTGTGACACTTCTACTTCGGATATAGAATGTGATTAATCTTTTAAAATGAAAGGGCATTTTTGCCCCTGCTGGTAAAAGGCAAGGGGGGGAGGGCAGTTGCCCCTGCTGGCACGTGCACGGCACACCGGAGTTAACGCCAGAACAGGCGTCTTGTTTATTCTAGTTCAGCTCCAAGGCAAAAATATTTAGAATGAAATAAAACCAATTCTACCAAATCATTACGTACATCCGGGCTAACATGAGATGCGCACACACCGCCACGAGATCAGTGCATTTCATCTACGCCGTGAGATCGGTCACGTTTTTTATTTTGCTCAAATCGTCGCTTGTTCTTCGAGTTTTATTCAGGTATTTATCCATTTTATTGTTGGAAAGCAGCGTTTTTTCCTTTATCCATTCTATCTTTGGATAATTGCGGAATTTTACTATGTAACGTGTTACACTAGACGCTTCAGCAATGCATTGCTGAGCCTAGCGAATATTTCAATTTTGTTTTGTCTGGGGAGACGTGTCTCCGCTTTGTATATTACCTACTGTTGAGAGTATAACGTGTTATACTGCTTCGGCGTTACTGCTGTTGTGTCGCGTTCGAGAACGTGAATAAAAGTAGCAGGTTCAGTTTTGTTTGAATGTTTTCAGTTTATATGGCTGATTCGTCGCCTACGGACATAAGTGAACCATCGACTATGGCTCAATTTAAAACAATGTTTACCAGTCTGCTCTCTGAAGCGAAAAATGAGATATTATCTCAAGTCAAATCATCTATTGATCAAGTCTACACAGACTTTGAAGTCGTCGAGGACGTTGTATCTCGAAACAATGAGGAAAGCGATCTGCTTCAAAATTCGGCGGTGCTAGGAAAAGACGACCACGATGCATCAGAGGCGGGGAGTGCTATAGAGTCTCGAGCTTCGCTAGCAGAGAAGGTTGATGCCCTGAGTACACCTGCAGCAGCGGACGGCCAGACAGAATTAAAAATGTTGGTAAAAGAGTTTACTCCCGTAGAAAAAACCTCGCTTGCTTTAAGTACCGATTTAGCTGAGTTGGTGAATGGACTGATTAATGACAAGTTGCCCAAAGAAAAACTGGCCCAGCTACAAGAGAAGTACCTCCGACCTGAAAATTGTCCTTTTTGATACCGCCAAAGATTAATAAACAGATATGGCAGCAACTTCGTCAAGAAAACTAGAAATTGTGACTCGGCCTTGCAGAAGACTCAAGGTTTGGTGATGGCTGGTATTTATGCCATCCTCCACACATGTCAGGAATTACAAGGAAAACCTATGGATGGCCTCATCCACGCAGTCGTCCTTCTACTTTCTGCTAACCAAGAGTTCAATCTAAAGCGAAGAGACCTGCTACGTCCAGACCTCAACAAGCAATATGTTGCTTTATGTAATCCTTCCACTTCGATTTCCACTTTTTTGTTTGGTGATGATCTCAACAAAGAAGTCGAAGACTTGACAAAATCCAACAAATTGAGTGGCAGAGTCCATTCGAACTGACGATTTGAACCTTATAGACCACCTTCTGGGCGTGGTTCAAGACTGCAAAGTCGTTTTGGATCACAAGACCGCAACATGCGCAGTTAAAGACCATCTCGTCCTTTTTTAGGCGCAGGTCGGGGGCAACCTCGACCACCGCCGTCCAATAGATTCCAAAAACCAAGGGTATAAACGTAACTGAATCTACAAAGGTAAGCGAATTATACTAGTCGTGTATGGATCTTTTGTCTAATCAACCCTTTTGTAGCAGGTGGCATTCAGAAACATGTCCATGCGTGGGCAGAAATTACCAGTGATCCTTTTGTGTTGGATGCTGTAACTAATTGTCATATTGAGTTTGACCATGATCCTGAACCTAATATTAATAGTATCCGCCCACCTAGTACTTTTTCTGTAGCGGAATGCCAGATTATTGATACGGAGATAGAAAAATTTATTAAGAAGGGAATTATTACGAAATCTATTTCTGAGCCTGGTGAGATATTATCTCCCATTTTTGTCACACCGAAGAAAGATGGGTCATATAGGGTAATTTTTAATCTTAAAAAGTTAAATGAATCAGTTTCTTATCACCATTTTAAATTGATACTCTTCAAACCGCCATTAACTGGTGCAACCATTTTGTTACATGACTTCTATTGATTTAAAAGATGCCTACTACTCTATTCCCGTAGCTGTCGAGCATCGAAAATATCTGAAATTTTTGTGGAAAGGCCAATTGTACACTTTCACCTGTTTACCTATGGGTCTAACCAGTAATCCCAGGATTTTCACTAAAGTTATGAAACCAATTTTTGCTACTTTGCGCAGTCAGTTTGGTCATATCTGTGTAGTTTATCTTGATGATTCCCTTTACCTCTCTGCAGTCGAGTGTGCAGAAACTATTTTACATACAGTTGAGATGCTGTCTAAATTGGGGCTTCGTATTAACCAGGACAAATCTCGGATAATTCCTTCTCAAACAATAGAATACCTAGGTTTCATTATCGATTCTGTTCATATGACAGTATGTCTTACGCCTAGAAAGCGGGATAGCCTCCATAAGCTCTGTCAGACTTTTTCATGCCCTGGAAAGCAGTTTACTATTCGCGAGGTCGCATCTTTTATCGGGAAAATAGTTTCATCATTTCCTGGAGTAGAGTTTGGCCCTTTGCATTAACGAAATTTAGAATCTAATAAGGACCATTGCCTTAAGCAAAGTTTAGGAAATTTCGAGGCCAAAATGACCTTGTCACCGTTAAGTTTTACTGAAGTTCAGTGTTGGCTTGAGAATGTTCGATTAGCCACAAAGAATATCCACCATGATCAACCAGACATTTTTCTTTACACTGATGCGCCAAGTTTAGGCTGGGGGGCACGAACATCTCGGAGTCAGCATCAGAAAATATAAAGCACATAAACGTGTTAGAATTGCTGGCTATTAAATTTTCATTATCCTCCTTGATACAATTTATCCGTAACATCCATGTTCGGATTATGTGTGATAACACAACAGCTGTAAGTTACATCAATGCCATGGGTGGCTGTAAGTCTTTAGAATGTAATGCTATTACACAGGATATCTGGACTTGGGCTATTGGCATAATATTTGGTAAAGGTCCCAGGTAAAAGTAATACAGATGCGGATTTTTTGTCTCGGGATTTAAACCTAGATCTTGAATGGATGTTATCCCGTAGCGTTTTTAATAGTATTGTCGCCCTTTTTGGTTGCCCGGATATCGACCTTTTTGCTAGCCGGCTTAATGCTCAATTAGAGGATTACGTTTCCTGGAAGCCAGATCCAATAGCGAAATACGTTGATGCATTTACTGTCGACTCTGCATTTTTCTTTTACGCGTTTCCCCCTTTTTGTCTTTTGTCTAGGTGTGTTCACAAAATAATCCAAGAAGAAGCCTCAGGAATTTTGATTATCCCTCTCTGGCCAATTCAACCGATGTTTTCCTCGGTACTTCATCTGTTAGTAGCAGTTCCTCGTTTGTGAAAGCCAACAGGTCTCAACTGATACATCCAACCCTGACGAGGCCTCACTCTCTACACAACAAACTCAGTCTTCTGGTTTGCAAAATATCAGGGAAATATCAGGGAAGTCTGGCGTTCCAACGGACGCTGCCAATGTTATCATGCATGCTCTCCTGGAGACCATCGACCCATAAACAATACAACACATACATTAACAAATGGGCAACATTTTGTTGTCAACGGCAGATTGATCTCTTGCATCCCACTGTGATCTGCGTTTTGCAGTTTCTCAAAGTTTGTTTGAGCAGGGTTTGAGTTACTCAGCTCTAAATACGGCACGGTCAGCCATTTCTAATTTGGACTTACAGTCTGTTTTAACCGGAAATAATAAACCAGTGGGACAGCATCCTCTAGTGTGTCGCTATCTTCGAGGAGTCTTCAACGAACGAAAGCCTGTTGCGAAATATACTACGATTTGGCCAGTAGATAAAGTTCTTGATCACTTGAATACCTTATGGCCGTTGGAGCGGTGTTCTACGAAGGAACTTACGTACAAGTTAGTCATGCTAATTGCCTTAACAACTGGCCAAAGATGTCAAACATTAACATTATTGGATATATCGGCGGATCATATGCAAAAAACGGACAGTTGTTATGACTTTGCGTTAACAGATCATGTGAAACAAGATCGCCAAGGGAAAGTCTTCAGTAATCTTCGCCTTTATAAATACAGTGTACCCGAACTGTGTGTATACAACCTTAGAGTGTTCTTTGACTGTGAATGCACCTCTCCGAGCCTCTGCCACGCTTTTCGTCTCGTTCATCAAGCCATACAATGCGGTCACTTCTAGTACGATTGGTCGTTGGATTAAAGCAGTTTTACAGCAGTCTGGTATCGACACCCAGTCCTTCTCTGCTCACAGTACTCGATGTGCGTCAGCGAGCAAGGCAGCTACGTCAGTTACGGCATATGTGATTCTGAAAACTGCGGGCTGGGCTGAGGAATCCACGTTCCGACGCTTGTCTGTGGCCATCACAAATCAAATGAGTGTCGCTGTTTTGCAGTAACTTTCATTAACATTCCTAATTATTCACAGTGTGATATTTACCTTGATACTTGTTTATCGATTCTCTAATTATATTACGTATGCATACTTGTTGTGTACCATTTTGTGTTTCCTGCTTTAAAATCTCATGTTAGCCCGGATGTACGTAATGATTTGGTAGAATTTAACAATTAAACAAGACTTACCTGGAAGTTGAAGTTTGATGGTAATTCTACCAAATTATTTAAGTACAGGAGGGCTAACATGCCCATATAACCCTTCCCGCCCTTCACTGGAAGGTGTCATCATTGTATTTTACTATGTACAAGTTGTACGTTTACAGGCTATATGCTATGTGTTTGGAATTTCGTCAACCCAAAATGTTCTTTTAAGACTGATCTCGTGGCGGTGTGTGCGCATCTCATGTTAACCCTCCTGTACTTAAATAATTTGGTAGAATTACCATCAAACTTCAACTTCCAGGTAAGTCTTGTTTAATTGTTAAATTCCATCGTTCTAGAGTTAAAACCTAATTTGTAATCGTGTTTACAAAAATCGTCTATTTTCCACCATTGGGTGTGTCTGGTCTGGGTAACTATAGTGATTGAAGATTCATACAAGTCTTTTTCTTCACTCAGAGTAACTAGGCTTGCAATATGGGATGTAAATATTTTTATATTTAGCAAAATAAAAGAAAAAAAATTTTGGTATAAGACAACCTTAATATCATGCAATTATATTAATACCTATACTTACTTTAACTATAAACAGCGTCAGAGGAGGTCGGACAAGCAATTAGCAAGTTGTCACGTGAGCTCTCGATCAACGAGGTCGCTCTTTTTCTCATCGCGTTTCAGAATAGCCTGCTCGCAGACTGAATCAGGGGGCCGGAAATTAAACTGGGAAAATTCAGTCTGCTCAACTGCGGGCTTTATCGTGTACGGTGACGTAACACTTACTCGGATTTAAGTAACTGAACGTGATTGGTTCAAACGTATCAACGATAGATCAAGAGTTTTGATTCGTTTAGCCGCTAAATATTTTGAACAAGTTATTTTTAGAAAAAAAGGCTATATCCAGTGTTTTATTAGACCAGTATCCAGTGTTTTATTAGACCGGATCCGGAAGTGGAGCCATGAAAATATTGGGGTATAAAGGTAACTCTCTGTTGTTAATACCAATAATTATACATAAAAATATTCGGTGAATTGACTTAAATGCACTTTACGATGGATACTTCACTGAATATCATCGTGCATTCCAATTAGCAATTCTAAAAGTCAAAGTACATATCAGATGTGAAACCCAACTTTTCAAGGTTCGGTAAACAAGCGTATTTGATCATAGGCGGTGGTCCGCACATAAGGATTTGAGTCTGATCTCCAGAAGAAGGCAAATGATCTTTGATCATGTCAGCACTCACAAAACCGCTACTGTATTTCCACCCTACAAAAAAGATACAGAGATGACGTACTGGAAGATATAGTTAGTGCAGATTATTTAGAATTTTTAGAAAAAACATACTCCGAAAAACGACATCAGAAAGTATACACCCAAGATTTGGTTTATAAACCAGACAAATTAAGGAACGGGTGCCGTGATAAAACGTCTGGTTTTTAAAACTCAAATATTGGTTGTACAATATGTTGCTCTAGGGAGTATATTTTCTTTTATATTTTAATTAATTGTCTGCTGGTAACAGTTTTTAGAATTTTAAATGTTAAATGTATATATAATTCTAAGATTTATATTTGTAAAAAGAGTGAAAAGAGAGCTTTATTACACATTCGCCTTTGTTAAAAATGGAAATGGTAGACTTAAAGGTTAAAACATTGAAAATCAAGCTCTTATCAAAGTAGAAATACCGTCGTTGAATCGTTACAAAGTGATCGAGATCTCCCACTCACTGAGTTTGAGTGCATGTGCTTTGAGAATACAGCCGATTGTTATGAGTTTTTTGGGCGCGGTTACGAGGAGCGAGATATATGAGTGAGTTTGAGCATAGACGATGGATTGTCTATGGATTGAGAGAAAAGCTTGTTTTTGTTTTGGTTTTGTCACGCACGGGAGCATTAATGGGTTTTGGTTTTAACTACATTGTTTCATGAATTGACGGATGGAGTCTGATAGCTGTTCCTAGCTTTAGATCAATCTTGTTTCAAGCGAAAGTCATAATACGGAAAAAATGGAGTCCTGCTTCGCTGTCAACATTTTAGTCGACATTTTTCTCTAACTATATATTTCCTACAAAACAATGAATATATGGGGATAAGCCGGTGGTTTGTTTTTGTGTGCTAAACGGTGAAAATTGACTCTTTCTCGATTGTCGCTTTTTCTGTTTTTCTGGGTTTTTTTTTCTGTTCTGCAACTTAATGCCGAACTGGGTTTGGCATTTTTGCCTCTGTGTGCTAATAGTTGACTGTAATATGCCTTTATCCAAAACTTAAGTTTTGAATTAAAAGAATTGAATTATTTATTATATTTTGAATTGAATTATATTTTTTTGAAAATATCTCACTCCGATCCTCGCGAGCACAGCATGAAAAAAAAGTGGGACACGTATTCGTGATAAGTACGCATTCTATATCTATTATTTCTATGATATAAGCGCATGGGAGCAGTTATAGAATACCCTGCCAACCCAACCCTTAACAGTGAATGGCTTATAGTCTCATAGATAAATGTACCTTTTTTGTGTTTCTTAATGCATGAATTGGACATCTATTTTTAGAGAACGAGGCAATTCTATACTTTAAAATTGATCCTCTGACAGATCTTTAACATAATGCGCTATTGGCACGGTATTCTATAAATGTACCAACGCATGCACTAAATACCTTCTGGGGGTCGGTCCAAGGTGTACCAGAGTTTAAAACGATCCGGGAATTTTTCTACGATTTCTTCAAGCTCTTCCCTTAGTAATATATCTTTCTCTGTCTATAAATAATATCAATGAATGTATCATTTTAAATTTACTTTAGGATCGAAGATCCTTCCCTTGTTAATAAGCATAAAATCGAAATTGGAAGTACACGCTGACGCATAATAAAATTTAGACTTTTGTCTAAAAAATGACTGTTGTTTCCTCTACCTGTGATATATGTTTATAAAATAACATGTATATTGCTACCGTGGGTTCCGATTGGTCGAAGCCCGTGTTTGGATCAGACCATGCATCTAAATACGAAATTTAATTCACTTTTGGAAATCAAACTTGCATGGAACACTATAGCTTAAGTTGTTGTTGTTATTTTAGTTAACAAACTGGAGTTAAAAAAAGCTCGCAAAATCACTCGCCTTCGGCTGGCGTTAAGTATTTCAGCTCATAGCTCAGAAAAAGTAAAAAGCACTGGCTTCAATTTTCCCTCCTGAGTTATCGTTCCAGTTTGTGTACAGTTCAATGATCCAAACACGGAAACCATTAGGTAATTTAGGACCAGTCAGTTTTGTACACTAAATACAAATACACCAAATAACGCTCCAATTCTTTGCAATAAAGTCGTTCAAATCCTGGACTGTTCTTTAGTTTTTTAATAGTATATCCACTATAGTACAGTACAACTAGATAACTTTAAATGACGTAAAGTAACTTGTAGATTTTCAAATGACGTATATATTAAGTAGTTTTCACTGATGCAAGTCGGTTTAACGGAACGAAAGCTCCACATATAATAAAAACACGTGGTGATGATTTAAGTTATTTAGAGATAGTCATCAAGGTTGGGGCGGTGATAGTTTAAAAGTAGGATTATTATTATAGTATTTTCTCTGCATTTTAAAAACGGAAACATATTTTTCAAGTATAATATCTGGAGATCATCACGACACCATGCAGAAGATTTCCTATCTTCACTTACCTGGTTAGCAAAAAGCAGAGACATTTGAGTCTGATCGTCGTCGTGTTTCAAAATATCGCGTATGATCTGCAACATGGGCGTAATACCTGGATAATCAGATTAAAAATACGTCGATATTTACTTACACATGGCGACTGTCGCCAGCATTTAAACATGCAGATTTATGTAAATTTATTGAACTTTTACCCTACAAATATCGGATAAATAGGTAAATCAGATAAGTATTCAGATTATGATATTATTATAAACTTTATGAACACAAATTGTTTACTTAATAAATAATTCAATAACGTTAAATCTATTTGTAAGTAATACTCTGCGTCGCGTCGTTGCTAAAACATTCTATCTTTCACCTTATGAATAACACTATTGCATTCATAAACATTAATTATTACTACAATAATCCACGTTTTACTTTCATGTTTTACTGTTTTTCTGTCTTTACATGCAGGAAGTATAAAATAAGGCCCGTTTCAGACGTCGAACTTTTCATGTGCTGAATCGAATACAAATGAGCTTAATTAACATTAGGTTCGGCACATGAAATGTTCGACGTCTGAAACAAGCCTAACCAGGATAAATTAAAAATATTCTCCTCTAACTCTTAATTACGTGCACTTTTAGACCGTGTGAAAAATGAGTGCTGATGCATTAATATGGCTTATATACAGTACTGTACCTGTTCCCCCCGCAATCATGCCCAACTGCCGACAATGACGCGTCACCACTTTGTCTTTTGCTTCCTCGATAGAAAACTGTCCTTAAATATACAATTTAACATGTCGCTACACTATTGGACAACACTGTTATATAGTTCATCTTTGTTCATGATAGTGACAACAAGGTATAATAAAGCAAAATGCATGCATGCAATGTAAGTGGGAAAATTTTTGGTCACGTTCGTGCGGTATGTATAGGTCAGCGTTAATTATTTCAATAGAATAATGCAAAAACTGTTCGAAACAACATGCTCGACGAGGAAGCAGTTGACCAGTCTATTATTTCAACGATTAACACCTATACTTGCTTAACAATTTTGACAACAGAAACGTGACGCGTACGAAACGTGACTACAGCCGTAAAACAATTAAGTTGACAATAGCCAGGTTTCTCTTTGACTAAAGATTACGAACAGTATCGAGATAAGCTTGTGACATGTGCATGTGTATAGTTTAATTACGAGCATAAAACACTTGACACTAAATCAAAGGGTAGCTAAATAGGATAAATCTTTCAGGTTGGGTACAGGGAGTCGGGTGCAGAGAGAGAAGGGTCAAATAAAAAGGTATAAAGGAATGCATTCCATTTTGCATTCTGCGTATACATGAGCATGTATAATGTAACAACGTGCGTTTCAATATGAAATTGGACGATTTGCAGTACGCAAGAAACAGCCAGTCAAAAATGCATTCGAAAAGCATACATGGATGTCAGTCACAGAGGCGATTATTTTGCAATGAATAATCAAGCTGATCAACTCTTGTATCACTTTTCATATTTTGAATATAAATTTTTGACAGCGTTATAATTATGTAATTGTCTATGAAATTGCAGCATAATTATTTTGCAGCACAGATGTATGACGTCATCTTGCGTAGATATGCTTCGGGCGATGATGGGTGAGTCTGGCAGGGGTACACCATGGGTTAGTGTAACGTGACATGCAAAAAGATTTGGCAGTGACGTTTTGGTTGATTTGGTTGTGACGTATGCGTAAATACGCCTATTGCGTAGTTACGCATGTGACGTCATTCTCGTAGTTACGCATGTGACGTCATTCTGCGTAGTTACGCATGTGACGTCATTCTCCGTAGTTACGCATGTGACGCCATTCTACGTAGTTACGCATGAAATGTAAGAAGTGACAGTATGTGTGACAATTGACTGATACCTTTTCCTTCGTACTCGAGTTTACCACAAGGTCCACGGACATCAATGGTATCCCCAATATTCATTTGTTCCAAATGCTGCGACATTTTACCGCCGTCTGGGAATTTCGGATGAACATTTTTGAAATAAACCTACACAAATACATGCCACATGTCACATTAACATATTAACTAAGATCTGTTCACACAATCCAATGTTTTGCTTGATCCAATTCACTTCTGACGTATGGAATGTAGTGTGTTATCGATAAAACAATGCTGCATTAGCTTCAGTGGATTTGCTGCCCATATACATTGCAAGTCAACAGACTATTAATCATCCATCAGAAGTGAATTGAATCATTCACCTAAATTGGATCGTGTGAACAGACCTTATGATGTACAGTACTTGTAATGCAAGTGAAGATGTTTTTTGGTTGATTGATAGCTATATATAATTATAGTAAAAAAGCGTAAAATGAGGAACATGCCAATCTCTTTGAATTTCATAACAAAATTCTGCCAAAAAGGTTAGAATTGGAAATACTTATCCACTGCATAAGAATACGACGAACAAGAACGCTAAATACTAGAGTTGTCAGGGGTTTGAATACATAAAAACAGAACAGTTTGCAGATCCGTAAGATCAGATAATCCACACACACCACAGAAAAGCAGTCGAAAACCATGTATGACAATAATTTCCACATATTATATTAAATCCTCGATTTAAAAACACATTTTCATGCAACAAAGTGGATCAATCGATTGATCGTGTACACAGAGGCAATATAGCTACCAACTAAATTACCTTAATAACGAGATCAAAATATCCAATTTCATCATCAGAAGTTACAGGAGTGTATGGTCGTATTACTAGGCTGTCGTTAACCTTCGCACTTAAATACATGTGCTTACCTAAAATGACAATGAAAGACTATTACAGGCATTTCTCAGTTCCGGGTCTATAGTCTATAAAAGAGAGTGAAAAATTGACAGCACATATTCAAATTAAATGTTCGATAAAGTGAAGATATTTTAGTACTTAAACCTGTAAAAGATAATGATGACAAATAATTGTGACAAAGTGCCTAGTCGAGCTGATAGTTTGAGGGGATTTTTTCGGGCGAGATTATTCTCTGAATTTTTGGACTTTTCTCCTAGGAATTGCCCCTTTGGATTTTGACCAATCGGAGTGAATCGTTGTCGCATGTGATCATTTTCGACGTTCTTACTGGCGTATTCGACTCGCTCCTTCTTTTAGCGAACCAAAGAAATTTTAAGAGCCAAGAGCAAAACGTTTTTGCTCCCAATCGCCCTACTTCGTCTTTATGGTAAGACTTTTCATAGTGAAATATCGAAAATAATAAAATGCATTTCCCAAACTATGTAGCAAAACTTACTATTTTCTTCTGGAAAGAGGACTATACATATTTCAAACAATATTTTGATTCTATTCCTATAGTTTCCCCATAGATATTTTAGGGGCCCCGGGAAACCCGGGGCAAATTGTTTTCAGTGTGTCTCCCTCACTCTTGGCAGCTCTCGTCTTTTTTGTTCAATTTAATTGGTTGCAGTTCCGCATTTATACTTCATCGTGTAGGACTCATTCTACTTTCAATGTTTTTCAAATTAACTTCATCAAATGTGGTATCAACAACTGCCAAAAATAAACTTCCCTGACAAAGGTCCCTACGTCAAAACGTTGAAATTGTGTCAATTTTAGGCAGTTGTTATACCGCAAATGATGCGAAGTTGTTTGAAGACACTACTTGTTATATATTGGAACGTTTTCCAAATCAGATGTCTAATTTAAAAAAGAAAAATGATTAAAGTCGAAGAAAAACGTGTAAGCTAGCCTCTAAAAGTGAAATCAGAATAGGCAATACTACATCCCTGAAATCGGACAACTTTTTAAACAAAGCAGGAAAGTTTAACGATGTAGCGAGTTCTCAGTCATTTCTCTTTTAGTCTGGAAAAAATAGACGGAACTAAACCTTTGCCTCTGAGATAACGACGCTGGCTTGAGAATGCTTCATTAATACCAAAATTGATCGAATATCGAAATTTTTGTAATCGCGTGATCAATACTTGAAATTGTGATATAATTCGAGATTATCCGCATTATTATCGGCGCAAGTCTCTATAGAGTCTGTCTGGTAACTTACCAACTGGAAGACCCAAAACGTGATTCGGTGTTTGAAGTGCAAATCTGAATCTTCTGGTATCATGGCTTATGGCCTAATTGTAAAGAGAGAAATTCAATATCTCATTGTTTCAAATTGTATACCAGGGATGGATTTTACCTCAGGGATGTACAATTTTGTGCATTCTGATAACATGCTAGCCTATGGCAAATGTAAGTTTCAATCAAGAAGTTATAAGTTGATGTTTACATATGTGGTATAGTTGTTAATATAATTAGGTTATCCGACTGGAATTCATGCCTAACAATCTTTTTGATACATTAGTATACATAATTAGCATATTATTTTTTGTTCACCTGGATTTAAGGCCTGTAACTAGAAATTTATTGTATTATTTTTTAGGAGATAGTCAATGCAAACTAGTGTTCAGCCAATGAAAGCTTTGAATCCATAGATACCATGTTAATTATGAAGCTTATAATGCAGATGTACTATATTTAAAAAGTGGCATAACCTTAACCTTCTTTGATTGTCTAAAGGGTGCAAATTTAAGTTTGATTTTCCTAACAAAGCTAATTTTTATATGCCTTAATTGGCTTGGTTGGACAACATGAATTAAAACCCTACTATAGTTGATGTAGAGTGACAAAGTTTTAAGAAAAACTTTCAGTCTACAAACTATAGAAATAGGATTCTGTGTCATCTTCTGTCACCTGTTAAAAATTATAATCCATTTTCAATTTGCATTCTTCCAACCACTTCGCCAACTTACAGCTGTACATATTTAAGTATGTTTAATTTTGTGATAAGTTCTCTGTTAACACTTAACAAGATGTACAACAATAGTAACTCCTGAAGAATAAAGTGAGCATTTTCATTCAACGTTTCGACTTTATCTAGTCATCATCAGATGACTAGATAAAGTCGAAACGTTGAATGAAAATGCTCACTTTATATGGAGTTACTATAGTGTTGTGTATTTTAACAAGATGTCCTTCTTGACTATTTATTACAAGCTATAGAATTGATTTGCTTTCTACTGTGAATTTTATTTATGCACACAGTTTCGAAGGATTCAAATAGACTGATGCTAAAACATATAGCCTCTGAATAAGGTGCTTAAAATAAGGTGATGTAGAAGTGGGGGTGTTGAATTTAATTGCTTGATTAAAGGGAGTGAGCAAAATTTAGCTGGATGGAGACGTAGCTAGAAGTTTAATTCAATATCAATATTGTTTGTTTTTAGGCGTGCATGATATGTGAGCATGAACACATGAAAATACCCCCTTGTAATTAAGCAGTCTACTGTAGCTACAGCACCGATACAGGGGTCTTTATTCCACGTAGGATATATGCACCCATATGAACCATTGAAAGTTCTTCTATGATTCTAAACGAACGTCTTTATTTCATATTTCAGTTTGCTCAAATATAGAGAAATAGCTACAAGTGGTACACAATAAATACATACAATAAATAGTATTTAAAAATACAGTGGGTATACCTCCTTCTCGACCATTTCAAAAGCAATCTTTTTATTTGGATTCAGCGCTAACGGCCTCTTCTTGCCACTGCTGTTGGAGAAATACTTTCGGAGAGCAACAAGAAGGACAGTAGTACCAACTATGCCAAGTCCAATAAACACTGCCAACTTCTAAAAATGGAGTAAAACTGTAAAACTCACTGTGACTACATGGTTTTGTATACTCAAGTGGTGAAGTATATTAAATTAATACACTTGTGGATAGTTAAAAACACATACGTTAGTCGAATCCATTTTAATTTCCTTGTAAAATGTTTAAAGAGACTCCAAAGCGATATGCACTGTGATCATATAAAAGTTTGCACCAGTTTGAACCAGATATGGTCCAGATCAGTGGTTTGAACTTTGAAGAAGAAACTGATAGACTTTAAGACCTTCTAATGTGTTTCCACTTTGTCAAAGAATTTTCAATAACTATTGTGGAATCTATTGTGGTACCTGTGGTTATTTGAGGTTGTACGAAGGCTGGATAGTGTCATAGTGATTTTATACCACATTTATACCACATTTGATGCTAAGTTGTTTGAAGACGCTGCTCCCTGGTTATATTGGAATGTAGAAATACTAGGATTTAATCAGATAAGAATTTGTCTTATCTGATTAGTCCTAATAATCAGGGGCGGCAGAATAGGGGGGGGGGCTAGGAGGGCTATAGAAACCCCCAGAAATAGAAGTGGGGGGGGGGGCTTAGCCCCCAAAAATTTCATGAAGAATGCCAGAATGGGAGATTAAATATACAAACTACGTTACCACGAAGTCGTCAAATTAATGCTCGCTGGCGTATCATGATCAAATGCTAATAAGATATTCTATATTGTGATACGGATCAAGTGAATGTAAATTGATCTTTCATAGTTGTCTTTAACAGCAGAATATTTGTGGTTGTATATTGTTATTATTATCGGACCGCCATTTTGTTTGGAAATTATTTTGAGAATTTAAGAGATGATTTTTCAAATGTAGAAGATATCACTGCGAGCGCTGTGCCGTTTTCAGTTTGTGTTTGTCCATGAAAAACTACGATGGAAGCGGCAAGTAAGACTCTTAAATGGCCATTTCCGAAGATCTAGAGCATTGAAATTCCAACAAAAATTTCACTCGCCGCCAACCATGGTGGCGCCTCGTGAAATTAGACCCCCCCAAGATAAACTATGTTCCGCCGCCCTTGAGTCCTATCTCTTAGAGATAGGAATTTGTGACTGAGAAGCCTCAAATTTATGCGTTTTAGAAGTGTATATATAGTATATAATTGTTGATTAGACATTACACAACCTCGTTTTAAGGGCCTTTTACCTTGATTCTGGGTTGGGGAAAAGGGCCCTGGGATCGGCCAGCCGATTCTGTCTTCTGATTGGTTAAATGATTTTTCCTATAAATTTATGTGTAATTAGGAATATTTTCTAATTATTCCGAAATAGTACAATTCCAATTTGCTTTAATGCGACAATATTATCCGTTGTACGTGACGCCGCCATTTTGAAAATACTAGGCAAATTTCATGATTAATTATGCTTATTCAAAATACCCACGGAATGTGGGTATTTTGAATGGCCGATCCCAGGGCCTTTCCTCTTCTCGCCCCCAGCCCGAACCCCCCATATAAAGTCCCAAAAGGCCCTGGGAACGAGGTTGGACATTACAGGCAAACTTTTGAGGACCTGTTCAATTAAAAATATTATTAGGCAGAGGAGTTAGACTACTTGTCAAGTAAGTTGAGCAAAATTATATTCTACCGAAGTTTCTGCGCTATTACCGACCGACGTCGCGTTTAACCGACCACCGCTTGCCAAAACTGGGGGTGTAACATCCCCACACGGCACACCTCCACGCACACTACCTGGATCTACATCAGAATATCTACATCAGTCAGTTGTTATTTAAGACTGAAGTTGAAGAGAGGTAGACACACAGTTGAGTGGTGGTATTTTTGGGCCCATTTAAAGGAAATCGTGCACAGGGTGGTCTTATCTGGCTTATTACTTTCCCTCGTGAGACCGATGACTTTCCACAAAACATATTCCACATCTGACGACTTGTAACAATCCTGCTGGCGGTATCAGTTATCAGTTCATGTTATTTGGCTAGAGTCACCTACGCTCGTTGAAAAATGCGATCTTGACTTTCATTCGCACTTTTCACTTTTTTCAGTTGATGAAATAAGTTCAGTATTTGAGTAATTATGACTTTGAAGAGACTCTGAATGACGTGAAGTTACTTTAAAGGCAGCAAAAATTACTTTTATTAGTAACATACATACGACAATTAAAGAAAATAGGTACGCTAAGCGTACATGTATCTGCGAGGTGCGAATGGTGGGATCGAACATGCGATGGAGAAAAGTGAAAAACTGAGATATGCAAAACTAGAGTACAGTTCAAACGTACTGTCTATAAGCATGTAATTTTGGTACTACAAAGCAACAAGAATTGAATGATTTATAAAAGTATCAGTCTGAGTTGATAATACAATTAATTGTTTTTCTGAAACTTTCACTTGAGGTTTCGTTCATTATTGTTTGAAATGAAGAAAGTTTTGATATAAGTAATGTTAATTTTTCTACTTTGGTTAAATTTATCATATGAGAGATGACAAAAGTATAATTTTAATTTTAATAGAAGATGTAGATAAGATATATGATGTACAGATAATTAAATGGGGAAGAAGACATGATAGGAACACCAGAACAGCAACTAACTAATTACAGCAGGTACCAGGATCTGTGATATAAATTCTTGCAGAAACTAATTCGACAACATAAAAATTTAATGAAACTTTATGATGTCATTGTTGTTGTTTAGATAATTAATGATGTAAAACGAACTATTTGGTAATTCAGGAAAACAACACTCTGTCCAGTATGTAAATTCCTCTATGAACGTTTACATAATACTGTGAAACTATGAAACAACTTTATAACAACATATACAGACAGTATCATGTACATGTGAATGTGAAAGTCCAGCTGTCATTATGTCTAATATAAAAATAATATTGAAAACATAGATCCATTGAACACAGCGCTTAATTTGTATACTTCACAAAACACTTGTTTACATCTAGTATTATATTTGCCATTTGGTAAAATTACTATACAATACATGTCATATAACTTTATGATACTTGCTCTTGTTTCAAGGTACTTGAAAAACACTGTAAGATCCAAGAATATGTCGTAAACAACAGCGAAGTATAAAGCGAACATCCTACTAAAAACTGACAATTCAGCTAGGCTATTTACCTTAAGAAAACTTCGTCCAAACAAATTGAATCTGAAATAAACATCGACTCCTCGTATCCGCCATTTTGTAAATCTAGCCTGCGAACAGGCTTGGTGTGCAATTACGTAATTTGTGGGAATATTAGTCGCTGATTGGCTACAAGTTAACAGCTAACAGTTAACAGTTACACAGTCGATAGCAATATATCTGCAAAAAGTCGGTCTGAACAAAGGGAAGACTCTTTCTCAGCCGGCGTTACTGCGCAAGCGCCTATTTAAGGAGGTTTTGCTTATCTTTCTTTCACCCTGAATCCCGTCTCGTTAATTTTCGCTTTCTTGAGGTGTCATCGTGTGTGAATTTTTGTTATATAGACACGAGTCTAGGGCGGGTTGCGCAGAAACCGAATAGCGCGCGAATAAACCGCCCTAAATAAACTTGTCCGTAGTTTGGTATTACCCTGAATAAATTTCAGCAATGAAAGTAGTGTCTTTCCACAATTTTATTTAATTTCAAACTTCTTTAAAAACGGTCGGATAATAGCGATCATAGCGATTGGCGGGTATCTTGCATGGTTCTTGCACTAGTTCCGTTTATACTTTGCCATTTAGGATCATTATCTGTTTAGTATTAATTTTGTATTCTACCGTATGTATTAATGAGTGATCCTAATAAAGTCGACAATAATAATAATAATAATAATAATCAGGTTGCCAGAGCGCTATCCAGTTAACAACTGGTCTCAGTAAATAGAAGATTCTTTACATTTTTCGCGGTGATTATTTTATTGACCAATCACGATGTCGGATACGATTTTGACGCGCGAAGAGATATAGAGCCTCGTTGCTTTCAAGACTTTAAAGGCATCGTGGTATAAAGTTTAGATGTAGACTGTTTAAACCTTGATTTTCGAAAGAAAACGCTTCTCTATACCTGATAGTGTAAATAAACAATCACATCTCCTAGTCCAGGCGATATTATACCAAGTTGAAAGAAAATATGCCATTACTTTCAGCGGTAAGTACACGAATATTGCATACATGTGTAAACCACTTGGGGAAGTATATCATGATTATCCTATCGCTCTATAGCTATCAATTCCCGGGTTTAAACACATCTATTGAGCGATAGGTTTTTTAGATACATTTGGACATCCATTTTAGTGTGCCGTTGGTCTATCTAAATGATTTACCTTTATATTAATTACCTTTATAGTTTATATAATAAACCTTTGTTTAATATGGTAGAGTAAAAGCTTTATAATATGTGTGTACTCATGGCCATGGGACAGGCGAAGCAGCCAAATACTAATTTGCTTATGACTTTGTGAGTGTAAATGTAGGTATGAAAAATGTTTCTTATATTGAGCTTTTATAATCAAACTTACATAAGAAGAAACTCAATAGTTATACCATTGGCATTGCAAGTATGCTTCACTGTGGAGGTCACATGTAGGGTCCACTTTGAGAAAACTGAAGCATTCGTTTTTTCAGGCTGGTGTCCTAGGTGTCATTTGTGTTTTGTGTAACATAATTTTATAAATAACTGGTTTCCATTACTTGTGGCAATATGTTATAAATTATGTGGCATGCATGCAATTTGCTCACTTAATTTCCAGTCTGCATGCTCCTCCAGTGAGTAACCCAAACTGGAATTGCAAAGGCTTTAGTTCTTTGCTGTGGACCTAAAATGCGTCTTTTTATTTAAATAATGAATGACCAAACCGTCACAAATTCATGATATTCCATTTCTGCCAACTTTCTGTGTATGCATTGCTAAAATTTAGTTCAGATTTCACACCTGTTCATTCTAAGGTCTTATTGTCTCCCTATACTGTGTTAGGATGCCTATCAGCCTATATAATGTATCGTAATTGCGGTGAACAAGTCATTTTTACCAATGAGAAATAGTCAGGTTGTAAATTTGTCTTTGTTTCTGTATTCTAATCAGTTATTGTTGTCTGCACACAAATAGAAATATTCTATCACATCAGCCACCTTGATATGTTCATAACACTTTCATCCCAATGGAAACCAGGTACTAGCTTACGAATTATTCGAATCAAAAGCTTGATCATGAGAAGTAAAGCACAATGGCTTTTAAACTGTTGGCTATTATAATTTTGTTACCATCATGGTGATTAAATAACTGTGTTGTTTCATTACATACATTGACTTCACCCAAAGTAGGTTTACTGGTCAGTAAACAGATCTTGCATAAGTTATCTGTGTTCTTGGAAGTATTCATTCACCTTATGGGAAAATTAGCATGCTCTGAAGGCAATATTTCAGTTTTTGCTAGGAATGTGATATGCTGAAATCTACAATCTACAGTGGCATTTGGATCCCAAAACCTGATATTCTTTGAGCATTGAGGGTAACAATTAGTAATAGTCCAATATCAGAGACACACAATGATCCAGGTATAAGGCTCACAAAGAGTGAAAAGGGTACTTACCACAGAGACATGTAACATACAAACTATGAATGTGGTACCTACTAAACCAGTAACACCTGAAGAGATGTATGTCAATTTTTTTCTTAGCCAACCAAAAAAATCCACTGAGAAGAAAGTATCTAATCGAGAACCTGTTTAGGCTCATTCTGTCATAAACCCTTTTTTCATAAAAACCTGCCGATACTGTGGTCCTGTGTTGAAAACCTAAATTTATGAACACGAGGTTTTAATTGTTATAAATACTCTCTCAATTAATTTTGAAAAACATGCACAATTTTGAAAAAGGTCCAAATTTTCTGGTGAAGGCTCTCCATGTCGTTATAGAAAAGTGCCATTTATTTCTAAAATACAAAAGACAACCATCCGAAACAAATTTACAAAATTAGTTAAATTTACAAAACGTGCGCAAAGTTAATTTCTTTCATAATTGAAAGTTTTGGCGACGTTTTGACCTTAAACAGACCTAAAACTGTAACAAAATTTATTGACAGTGGCGTATCCAACCTGAAGATTTTTGCCTGTATTCTAAAAGCTCACTCACATTCAAACTCATTGAGTGGGAGATCTTAATCTTCTCATAACGTTTCAATGGCGGTATTTCCAGCCGAACAGGAGCTTGATTTTCAGTGATTTACCTTATATATTTCCATTTATTCAGAAAAAACTTTCTCATTGATCAGCATTAACGAAATTTATATGTCACACTCGATGAGTGTGAGTGTGAGTGAGCTTTTTGAATACAGGCGTTTGTCTCGCTAATGTAAATATGAAATTATATAATTATTCATTTCTTTATAATTTCACTGCTCTCACATTCAACGAAATACTCCAAAATATTAGCATAGCGGGGACAAATCGTCATGCTTCTAGGCGACTGTTGATAAAATGATTCGTTCTTCGTGCCGCTTTGAGAGGCTGATGATGATTCTTTACGCGATTATTCACGTGAATTGCACGTGATTCTTCGCGTGGATTCACGTGATTGAGGATGATTCTTCACGCGCTGTACGATGGTACCTGTGGTCCTGTGTCGTATTGTATTGTTACTTTGCCTTTTTTTCCAATTGCAGATGGTGAAGTTATTTACAGGTGTTTATGAGTCTCCTTCTAGAAAGGAAAGTGAAGGTGAAGTTATGACTGATAGTGGAAATACATCACCTAATAGTGGAAATACATCACCTAAGACCTTAGTGTCACCGAAGAGATCACCACTTCTTCAAAATCTCAATAGAAATAATGGGAATTCTGTAGTAATGGTGCGTACAAACGTGATCGATACACATAACTGAGTGGGATTATATGCCTGGTCTGGAATACAAATTTATCCAGCATTTGATGAAAATGTATTCGGTGCTATAACGATTTTGAAATTTAAATGGAGTCATCTTTCGCTCTCGAAAACAACACAATTCCAATTGTACTTTCGTGAAAAAGATGTACTTTCGTGGCAAATTTTTGTCAAAAACACGAATTTTGCACACTTTCTTCTACACGTTATTTCTCGATGTTTTTTATCCAATTGATAGCTGCAATAATATGTACGTTTATTAAAACTGTGCATTTTTTTAAACACGCGGTTCATTCTTCAAACCTTCTTTCGTTTGTTCTTGAGCAGAAGGCAATTTTATTCAAAAGTTCTTGGTTATTGCTTTGTTAATGTTGTATTAACAAATACAACATAACATTGATTGTATAATCATAGTGCATACATACAGTATTTTATATTCAAACAAATCTATTAATATATACTTTAACATTTTGATAAATAGAAAAATACTGAAAATTCAAGTGCTAAAGACGAATGCGGTAACGAGAAAAAGAGACGTAGGGAAATTTCCTCAGATGAGGATGAAGAGGTAAATGCATATGTTCATTCGCCAAATTATGTGCAGACGTGTTTCAGAGTCAGACATTCTAAAGTCCTACTGGCTTTGACTGACAACATTTAAATTGGAAGTCAAGTCTGTTCGGCGCATCGCCTCTTTCGCATAACAATGCAAGGGCCCTCTGATGTAAAGGGCCCTCGTTTTTTTAACATGAATTCTAAGCGCAGCGAACCTAAACATGTGTTCAAAAGTATTAAAAGGTTCAAAATGTAAACAAAACATTTTTTACGTTTGTTTACATACTGTACAGACTTGACTTCAAACTTAATTAGCAGTCGTCGTCCACCACTACATGTCTTAAGGTCTGCTCCCACGTTCCAATTTTGTTGGATCCAATTCGCTTCGTTTTACAGTCTCTCGACATGTAATATATTTGGGCAGCAAATCAACTAAACACTAATGTCATGTTAATAATGAGCCTTTGTATATTTTAAGAATTTGTTAGGTTTTCAAAAGAAGCGAAAGGTCTGTATGTCTGCAGGCGATGATTTCCAGAATTTGTGTTCACACAACGCAACAAATGGAGACTTAGTTTCACGTGACGTATCATTATGTTTGGATTCAATGTTGGACATGGTACGTCAATATCTTAATCACTTTGAATTCAGCTTTTCAGCGCGTTAATTCACAACCACCCACAATGTATTTGATCGTGCACCGCCCACTATTAGATGTATAATGACAGAAGCAATATTTTTGCTACACAGTACAACAAAACTTTTATTCGAGCAACTTGATGCATGGCCTAGCTGGACTGTTTAATTGGGAGGACATATATTCCTATATTCATGTTTACATATCATAGGAACAATGGCGGCTTATGGCGCACTAAAGAAATAAGTGGGGCATACGACAAAAAAAAATGAATATTCACTCCCCCCTAATTAAGCTATTAGTTACGGCTGGAGTTGACGAGAACGCTTTGGTTGAATGTCAACTAAGTTTTAGTTTACTGTACCTTTTACTGTGTTTACTGTTCTAGTTCACTGTGTCTTTTGTCGAATTAAATTGTTGTTAGGTTTCGGGCTCAATTACTCCCAATGAAAATGGCAGTGATTCACAACAAAAGACTGAAAACAATGCATTGTCGAATGGTGTTGAATGTAGTAGCACAGTGATGTCTGAAGAAAATAGTAACCCAACATCCGAGTCAAATGGAAATGCCACCTCTAATAGTGTTGCTAGCATTTCTGACAAAGAAAACCAATCGACGGCCTGTCATTCAACGTTGGGTGACGTAATTGATGGTAATAATAACAATACAATATACATCGATGATGTAAACGGAAATCAACTTGTTCCCGATATTTTGCACAAGACGGAGGAAAGTGGGATTGTTGAGGACAGTACGAGTACGAATGATGCCGCGGGCGATCAGGTTGTTGATGGGAGTGAAAATGAGTCACGGGAAGAAGATGAAGAGATTAAGTTAATCGAAATGCAGATATCAAAAGGAGTTCTAACGACGTCCATGTTAGATCAAGAGAAGGAACTTCAGCAGCAACAATTGGAAGAAGAAAAGCATATCGTCTCAGAGGTATGTTAAATTATACAGTGAAAATAAGGGGATGTGTGAATTTTTGTGGTTTTTCATCCCGATTTTCGAAATTAGTGACTGTACTTTGCCAACTGAGTCGCTAGTATTTTTACAAAAAACACATGTAATAATTATTATTCTGACTTGTATATAGACATAGGATTCGAAATGGTGGCTTTTAGTCTAGTCACTGGAGGATGAAATTTGTCTAGATATCAAATTTTACAAAAAAATGAGTGTATTCCCCATCCCAGGTCATCTCCGGACGAAGGATGAAAACCTTTTGCAACTTTAACCAGATACTTCTTGAGTTAGCCCTTTTGACGACCAAACTAATATACTTTGATTTTGGTGTCGTGAAGATCTGTTCCACAGCTATAACTGAGAGCTTTCAAATATATTTTCAGGCAATGGAAGAATGGGAAACGACAGTCGAAAAACAACGTTATACTCGGCTACAACATTTATTGCAAAAGTCGAATATTTACTCCATGTTTCTTCTTAAACGGATAGAGGAACAAAAGGCAGAGAATGAGAAGAAAAAAACTCGAAAGTCGAAGGAACCTGAGAGTGGAAAGAGCGAGGAAGATAAAGATTCTCCACAGACTGTAAGTTGCCCATCTTTACCTGCACTCTATTTGTTTTTATTGTATGTTTTATTTTGTAGGCGACAATTTACACACGTCAGTCATTACGTCATATCATATATAATTACCCTTAATTATATATAGAGAATACCTCAATTTTATATATTAATACATCAAAATACATTTGTATGTTGAGGTCTGTTCACACATATACCAAATTTGTCGGGTCTAATTCATTTCTGACGGGTGCAAGTTTTATAGTCCTTGGATGTCCAATGTATTATAATGTATGGACAGCAAATCGACTATGCCAACGCAGTACTGCTTTAGCAATATTCGATCTGACTAAAGTTGAATCATGTGAACAGACACTAAATAGTAGAGAACTTAAGTAGCAACGTTTTTGACGACGGCAACGGCAAGCAGAAGTACGTTTTTCTTCCGGTTCACGTTGCTCGAGCTGCAGCTGCGGCGACGTAGAAAGGCTTCTATCGACGTTTGTCTCTGAAACGTTGAAAAATAGCTGTTATTTCGAATGTCAATTTGAAAATGGGTTGGACAGAAGGGCATGATTTGCTTTTGATGAAGGAGATGATAATCAAGGGTATTGACGACATTTGTTGGTTGTGGGAATTCGAAGATTTTCGAGCAGAAAAATCGTGTTTTTTTATTCGAAATTTTGCTTTACATTCCGCTTTATTCATTTCGTTAAGACAGAATAGGTACATTTCGAAGGGAAACTCAGGATTCCTTGACTCGTAAGCTTGGTAGATTAATAGAGATTCTTCCATTGTGATCTCACCTTCTTCGAAAAGCACGAGACAAAAATTCTCTTATCGTTTTGAACGATAAGGAAATTGGCTCCGTTGCATTATATTGCAATGCACTACTGCTTCACGTTTTCAAAGTTCCGCGGGAACGGCGTACTCGACCCAGGTTTTCTCGTCGGGCTACGTCGCCGTTGGGGCGGAAAACGATGCTGCTTAAGTTCTCTATTGATGTGCCGGATGGGGGTCAGAGATTGAGGTATTGCATGGGTAATGTTTAAATTCGCCGTGCTTCAATTTCCCAAAGTTTTGTGCCTGGGACTCTCATTCCCAAAGACTCAGAACAAAATTATTCGTATCGTTAAATTTAATTAGTAATATTGGCATACATATACATCTACTTGAACTTTTAGGTCCCGAAAAGGAAATCAGCACGCAAGGGTAAACAGAAGTCCACTACTTATAATATCACAGACTACGTCGATACCGAGGTGTGTATTTTCAATCGAAAAAGAGTTTGGCTCTGAGAGTTGCAACTGTATATACCGACCTCCATGTTGATTGTGTGAGAGACACCATATTCGTCGACGAGTGGTCAAATGTAACACAAAGATCATGATAGATCATGATAGGTCATTGTAGGTCATGATAAATCATGATGGATCATGATAGGTCATGATAGATCATGATAGGTCATGATAGATCGTGATAGGTCATGATAGATCATGATAGGTCATGATAGGTCATGATAGATCATGATAGGTCATGATAGGTCATGATAGATCATGATAGGTCATGATAGATCATGATAGATCATAATAGGTCATGATAGATCGTGATAGGTCATGATAGGTCATGATAGATCATGATAGGTCATGATAGGTCATGATAGATCATGATAGGTCATGATAGATCATGATAGGTCATGATAGATCATGATAGATCATGATAGGTCATGATAGGTCATTATAGATCATTAGGTCACGGAGATCACGCAGGGGCGACGAGAGGATAAGCACGCCCTGGGGAAATATTTTGATTCGCGCCCCATCTCAGAAAAAACTGTTTTAAAAATTGAACCTAAAGTGAACAATTTCCGGCGCAGCACAAACCACAGCGATTTAATTTGTATTCTACTATTCTACTTTAAATTAATATCGCTCTGTTTATTGTAGGCCTTGAAAAAAATCAGCAGTGAATCTGTCGTACCTCACGTGTCAGATAAAGATGATACTCAAGCAAAATTTGCCGTCGAACATCACTCTTCCAAAACTGATTCCTCTGAGGTATTTGTGTTATTATATATAGAGATGTTTAGAAGTATCTTCAGTGAGTTTCTCGGTAAGTTTTGTACGTAATTCAATGTGTCATATCCAGGTGACTTTAAGGGGTGCACTACAGAGAATAAGTAACCAAAGTTACGACCACCAGACACACCCAATGATTGTGTGTGTTCGTTGAATTGAATTTTTTTGCACCCTGAAACTTATATTTTTAATGCATGGTGCTATACCAAGGCCACAAATTAGAGCGACAATTGGGGAGTGAATTACCCTGCTCTCAGACTGAATTAGGGGGCCGGAAATTAAAGTGGAAAAGGTTAGAATTAGGGTTTTCCCTTTTTCCCCCTAGCCCAGTCTGCGAGCAGGCTAGAGGTGAATATTCATATATTCTGTAATTCTGTACTGCTGTACTTCTGTACTTCTACATATATATATAGGAAATCCGTCGGGCAGAACTAATATATAAATATCAATATATACACCCCCTTAATTATCGCATCTACTTTCGGCCCTGGATGTTATTCCGACTTACCAACCGAGCAAGCTGAAAAAATAGCTTGACCACGGTGGGATCGACTCAAACCCGCCACCTTTAGTTGGCTAGTCCAGCTCAGAATAGTACCATCACAATACTAATTTCGAGTCGCATCATTACAATCACTTTAAAAGACACAGTTATGAAAGGGACTAGTCGAGTTCCGAAATATCACATATTCGAACTTTACCTAGTAGTAGTGTAGCTCAGTTGGAAGAGCATTGGATCACAATATATTGCTACATGTACCTGAGTCATATCACTTTCACTATATCCTCTTTAATTTGTGATATTTTGTTTTAGACTGGGAATTATGAAACACCAAAACTTCTTACAGGTGGAACACTCAGAGATTACCAGAAGGAAGGAGTCGAGTGGTTGAAGGTACAGTCTTCTAGTTGCACTTTCACTATATTCTTGGGCGGGACGGATTACGCGATTTTTCTTATTTATTATGAAACAATTTTTCTTGGTAAAATATATGTCCAGGCAATTTTTTTGTCAAGTAACCTACCTGTTGTTATGAGCATATGCATATAAAAGCCACTGTAACCCTTAATGAACTTTAGAACTAATAATGCCCATTATTATATACACAAGCGCCAGATATGAGGTATGCTGCAATTTCATTTTGGCTGCTAGAAAGATATTAACTCATATCTGTCTAGTAGAGAAAGTAAACAAAATGGCTGAAAGATTTGGGGAGTTGAGTGACATAGAAATCCAAGCTTTAGTTGATAATAGCACACCAAAATGCACCGAAAGGGCGACAAAGTTTGTGTATATAATAAAACAGGCTATCAGCTCATATACGACTCGAGTTCGCTGAATAACTGTTAAATAATAATTCCTTAATAAACTTTGGCACTAATAATGATTTGGGCTATTAACACAGTCGATATTTGTAATGGACTTTATTGATAAATTAAGTATTTGAGTACATGTTAAATAATATAACGAGCAATAGATAATGTACATTTAAGATAATCGTACACTAGTGTTATATATACATTGTGCAGTACTTTCAAAAAACGTATGAGCTAAGTGTGTGGTAATAACTGCCTGAAAAGGTATGTAAGAAACTGTCTCGACCTGAGCGTCTTTGCCAGGAGAGTTACAGTTTGGGTTGTCGAGCGTAGTGTGTACTAATTTTGGAAAAGGTCGAACGTTTTTTGTCTACTTTGGGCAGTTATAACGCATTAGTTAAGAAGATGGAAGACGCCGTCATGCTGTTCCTAGGTTTTTTATACGTATTACGCACCTTGAACTATCCCTACCTATATATTCCTACAGATCTACAGCTGCTCAGGTATTTTGTGCGTGTCGTTCATCGTTTGATTCCACCTTTTTATTTCCACAGGTTTTATTCGAGAATGGTGTGAATGGTATTCTTGCTGACGAAATGGGTCTTGGCAAGACAGTCCAGTGTATCGCTTTAATAGCACATTTAATCGAGAAGGGAGTGCAAGGTCCATTTCTTGTCACTGCACCATTATCCACGTTGCCAAACTGGCTTTCTGAGTTTAAAAGATTCACTCCAGACGTAAGTTGAAAATATTGCAGTAATATTTGTATATTATATATATGTATGTGATATATTTGTATATATATAATATATATATGTACTTCCTGAAAACCATTACAAACATTCGTGCAGGCTCCAAGTTGAGACCTCCTTCATATAGCTAACTAATCAAAGATTTTGAAGATTTTGATTTAAGAAACCCAGATTTTGCACAGATATTTAAACTGCAATTCATTAATTTTTTTTCTTTAAGGAAAATCCTAACACATACTATTGCTGATATAATGTCTTCAAAAAGTCTGTTTAATTAAGAATGAAAATTGTTAATGGTTAAAATTCATTATTCAATTAATTGAGCCATTAATTAAGAAACATTTAAAAACCGAGAAAAGCGAAAACGACATGGAACGAGATATTGTATATTGATTTATTTACGTTTTAAAATTCAAACTTGATTTTGATGTAAACTTCATATATAATTAGCCCTTCAAAATTAGGAAAGGATGACGGATTTGCAGATTTTGTTGAGGTGCGCTAAATTCTGGGATGCAATGCACCACAATATCTGATCCTTATATAGCCAATTTTTTTCAAGAGTATTATCACTTTTTCGAGGGTGTAGATTTCTCTAAGGGGGCTACAAATTTTTTAGGAGAGGTGCAAAAAGGTTTTTGGACACACACCCGTGCACATCTCCAGAAGATTGGTCTAAAGGCCCTGTTACACAGTGCAATTTTTCTTGCAAATACCAATGCAATTCTACTTTTAAGAGATGTAAATTTTAATTAAATAAAATAAACTACAAAACTTTTTTGTTTATAATACTCCATGCATGTATACGTTTCTTACACTTACATTTTGACTGCTCTGCACTAATTTACATATCTTAAAAGTAGATTTGCATTGCACTATTTCAACAAAAATTGCACCGTGTAACATGGCCTTAACTAGTTATCTTAGCTATATGGGACTTTTTCTACAACGATTTTTGCTCATTTTACTCGGAGTCCCAGAACGACAAAATGTTGATTGAAAATTTGTTCACTGTCTTTAATTTGTTGAACGATAGCAACTGTTACCCAAGAATATCCTATATTTCTCGTTTGCATCATGGAGTCATACAGTGTTTCCGTGTACGACCGTGTATTTCCGGCGTTAAACCATGTTACTGTTTTCAATATAGATATGTTCATTGATCTACCACGGTATCCCTGATGAAAGAGCTAAATTAAGAAAAAAATTTTCTAGACTTCATGGCGAAGGTTCCTTGAAATCTTTCCCCGTGGCTATCACGTCTTACGGAATAATAATGAGAGATCGCGCACACCTGGTGAAGTACAACTGGAAGTATCTCATTGTTGACGAAGGGCATAGGCTTAAGGATACAAAATGCTTGTTGATACGGTGAGTGCATGCAATCAAATTTGATGAAGAGATGGCGCGCCTTTAGCCTGGTTTTCCACTAGCAATATTTTTCGCGCGAATCGACATTTTACTTTTGTCCCAGAACTCTCAACTGCAACCATCCGGAACAAATTGCTCAAATACAAAGGAATAAAGTCGCTTCGCGCGAAGAATATCGCTAGTGGAAAACCAGCTTTAGCCTGGTTTTCATTAGTCGCAAGTACCGAAGAACATGTCGAAGTGGCTGATGTGATTGAATATTTCTATTTGTGTGCCGTCAACAATGACCAATTTGAATACGAAATTGAAACAAAATTACACCGGACTATTTTTCATCGGTGAAAATGACTTGTTCACGACAATTATACGATTGAATGGAAACCCCTGCTTTAGGCCGGTGTTCCACTAGCGATAATTTTCGCGCGAAGCGATTTAATATAACAGGAACCCTCATGTGTAAGTTAACACTAAATTACGTAATGTCTCTGCATTTGTTTGAGAAAAACTGGCTAACACGGCTAACGATATACGTGTACTATTCGTGAAATAATTTACAGCTGTAAAAAAACTCGTTTGAGTAAGACGAGACAAGAATAGTTTTTTTTTTATTACAAGTAGCCAGTTGATTTGCGTAGTAATGTTGGACGGCATGTAAAGAATTACGCACTTCAAAACATGCCATGAAGTTTTCACGAAATTGATGCGACATACATGTATAATAACTATAGCTATAACATTTTGATTATAGCTATCTACTCGTATATATTACTGTCTCCAGCTTCCCTTTGTAAAGGTGTTTTTAATACTTTATATCGTAAATTTGTGTAAAATTCTGGTGTTCCAACGACAATTGCCAACGTTAAGAATGCTTTTTTTTTAAATCTATTTCCGCTTAATATTTTACAGTGAATTGAAAGCCTTCTCAGCCGCCAATCGTTTGCTCTTGACGGGAACACCGCTACAAAACAAATTGTCAGAGCTGTGGTCACTCTTGAATTTCATATTGCCAGATATATTCAACGACTTGAACAAGTAAGTCGGGTTAATACTATAGCTTCGGCTGTGTCTTGTTAAGCATGCATGCATGTCTGATTTGAACGAAAGGGCGTTACTAAACCATAATTCTTTATCAGGTGATAAAACCGAAAAAAGTCTGCATAATTTCACATTGCACTATTTTTGGTCTATATATTTTGAAACAATCGATTCATCTCCAGCAGATATTTACAAGATATTGCATACCTGAACTCAATTTTATTGGTGCCCAGGCTACCGTTGCACTGCACAGGGCGGTCACCAGCCTAGTCCCTAGGCCTCTTATACGTTCCTTAGTACACGCGGCGAGGCGGAAACTGAGAGGCCTGGAACAAAATGTTTCATTTTGGCTAAAGTGGGGACAAAACTTTCTGTATTGAGATAAGTTTACGATCTACGACGCGATTATCTGAACTTGTTCAACGTCGCTAGTCAAATATTTTCTTTGAAATAAGCTACGGGGAATTAATTATGCTGCCAGGACTCTGAAATATTCATACAAACGTTGCAATGTCATTCGCTGTCAATGCTATTGACTATGGAGTAACTTGAGTCCGTATGTACATGTTTATGATTATAACAAGCTTCAGTCCGCCAATTTCAATTATTCATGCTTCCTTTATAACGGTTCTTGTTGTAAATTGCGAACATTTACTTTGCGTGTTTCATTCGGTGACGTCACGGAAATATAAAGCACGCTCAATGAGGCCTAGGAACTAGGCTGGCCGGTCACGGATGAAATGGGCACGGTACCAATTTTAGCCGTGCTTATAAATTAAGTGCAGTGTAAATTACACCGTGTACAAATATATTTGCCGTCTTTTTCTCATCGACACAAATACCGCGCTATATTATTGTCGATATTCCATAAATTTGGCGCATGCACGCAACATGCCCCCTGTATTGTACAGTATAAGTAATATATGCGTATTTTGATTTTAGCTTCCAGGCGTGGTTTGATTTCAGTGCTATCTCGGAAAGCGACGGAAGTGAGAAAATTATCAAACAAGAACGTGAACATCACGTGTTAGAGCGCCTACACGCAGTACGTTATTTCCTTACGAACGAACACCATGCAGTACGATTCTAATTATAAAACATCCGAAGATTGATCTTACGAGAAATTGGAAGTGAATAATTGCAACTATACGATGGATAACGCTATTGCAAAATCTTTTTAGGATACCCAAAAAGTCAATTATTAAAAGTCAAATACCCAAAAGGGAACGTTATTAATGTTCGGTCCCAGTTCTCTCTCCATCTTCCACCTTTTGGGTATCCTAAAAAGCCATGCCTATAGCGCTATATGGACTTTGTACGACCGGCCCCCGAGCATTAATAACGTTTCCTCTTTTGCATCCATCAAAGAGAGAAAATTGCAACTGTATAAGCGGACCTTCACGTTCAATGATGTCATCTGTCTTATGTTATTTTAGATTCTTACTCCTTTCTTGTTGCGACGTCTTAAGTGTGATGTAAGCCTTGAAGTTCCACCCAAGAAGGAGATATATGTTTATGCTACCTTAACCCAGAAACAAAAATATTGGTATAAGCTCCTACTTGATAAAACTCGTCTCCATGATGTACTGAAGGTAATATTTGTACTACGTTTTGAATTTTGCGCAATAATAGTAGGCATATATCACAAAAATCGTAACGAGGATCAGAAAAGCGAAATGTGCATATGTGCGAATTAATATTGTGATGGTATTTTTTTTCTTTGAAGCACTATATCATACAACCAGGAAAATTATCTCAGAATAATAAGAAACTGATCTTCTGTGATCAGTTTAACTTATCATCACGTTTAACTTATTTCAAAACTCTATATTCACTATATGCAGTACGCTAATGGAATTAAAGCGTTCCTTCACGAGAGCTGATTCCACAGGCGTAGTGAAAGAAGTTTCACCTGCTTTTTTTTAACATTAAGTTAAAAATGCTATCGTAAAGAGCCCACATGTATATGTATTGTGAATTACTATTTAGCTAAATCCTACAGTATTTTTCTTTATCTCTTGTGAAATACAGGACGAGAAACAATCAACACCGCCGTCAACACCATCTTTAACACCGAGTGGTCGCACCCGACGTAGTTGTAGACGTAATACGGATTACAGTGTTTATGATAGTGACAAATTGAGCTACGATGAACTGATGGAAATAATGTGTGAAGAAGATGAAAGGTAGACCTTTTTTCTGTTTTTTTTTTTAAGGGAACGAAGGTAGAAACCTACGATTTTAAGACCTATCTGGGAACGTTGCAGGAAATGCAACTTACCCATAGATTACACCTCTGCGATTCTAGCGCAGTGCTCTAAGAAGAGCATTTCTTGTAGGAGGTGTTAAACAATCACGTATATAAAGATAATCGGGTAGTGCAGGTTGTAAAGGGTATACTCATAGATATGGTAACTGCGTTAACCAGATAATTTGCGATATACGTTTTTCCTTTAGGCCCGTTTACACGTGCGATTTTCTTAGCGATTTTATTGCGGTTTTCCTCTTGATAAATTTGGACGAGTGGATAAGTTACAGATGTGCAAATATAACCGGCGGCACTTCAGCAAATCAGAACTGCAAACCACAAACGGCAAACCAGAGCCTTCGAAACTGTCCAATCGTTTACATCTCTCAAAAGGATAAAATCGTAGCATAAATCGCACGTGCAAACGGGCCTTTTTAAATTATAAAAACCTTAGCTACAATTAAGGTACTATATGAAGAAGTATCAAGACCAGGGTTTAGTTACCCGTGAGGCAAGTTTGAGTTATTTTGCTTGTTTTTCTTAGGAAAAAAGAGGCTAAAAGAACAGTTTCGACTCCGAAAACGTGTGAAAGAAACATCAAAATCATGAATATTCTTATGATGTTGCGAAAGACGTGCATGCATCCATATTTACTCGAGTATCCATTAGACCCCGTAACCCAAGACTATCGTATTGATGAAGAATTAATTGCATCGTCTGGTAAAACTCTCTTACTCGATCAAATGCTACCGGAATTGAAAAGACGAGGACATAAGGTATTTATCATTTCCTAACATCTATATTTCCATATCAGACAGGCGTTCCAGTTACCCGAGGCAATTCGGTGCGCTCCACGGAATGAAAATCACTCCGCTCTGGAGGTGACATGAAGAATGAAGCGACAACAAAACAAAAGTTTCTTTCAATTGAAATTTAGAAAAATAAACGAATGATTTTAGAATTTTGACAGTAGAAAACCTGACTAGCCCCGTTTTGGTGTAACTCCCAATAGGCGCCTTGCTCTTTTTATTATAGGTCTATAGTTTTCAGTCTGCTAACCCGGGCCTTCATGCAGTTCAATAAAATTATTATTATTAATAATAAATTGTGGTAGCTTGTATTATATTTACAACTTTTTGGAGAGCGCTTTGCATGAATGTTACATAGTAAGTCCTTCATTAGAATTGCCATGTCGTGCTTTCTTAAATAGGCAAATAACACAATATATAACACAATTCTGGAAGATTGATTCCCCTTTTGGTCCAGTTTTATTAACACTCTGTGTACTTTTTATTTGTATAGATTTTGTTGTTTAGTCAGATGACAAAATTATTGGATATTATGGAAGACTTTTGTTATCTACGCGATTACAAGTATACACGAATTGATGGCTCGACGACACTTGAAGACCGACAGATAAAGGTACCTGTAAATGAATGCATATCATAGATTCACAAAATTTAAGCCCCGTTTACAATACACTCAATTTATCGGCACGGCTGAAATGGAACCCGTACCAACTTTACCCATGCTCGCACTTTGTATTAATGGCATGAACACTGGTAAAACTGGGTACGGGTACTAATTGCCGTTGCAATAAATTGAGTGTAGTGTAAACAGGGCTTCAGTGAAATGATAAGTTGCTAAAGCTGAACTTTACTGGTCTGGTGAATTAGTCATTCCATATACCATAGCTCGTTCCTAAAATAGATTATATAATTATTGTTTATCATGATGTATGATGAACAGCAAAAATCGTGATCTGATGTACTATGAAAAATTGCGCTCAGTCAAACTGGGCTTTAATGAAGTAATTAACACTCGATAGCGCGCTGCATGTAGGTAGAACAAACCCTGTATATTGCTTGGTACGACGTTTCACAAAAAAGAATGCCAAAAAAATACCCCTATTTCATGTTTTATTGACATTGAGGTGAAGGTTCGTGTTGAATGAAAGATTCCAAATCCTGTCTGGCGATTATGTCCGCAAGGTTTATAAATTCAATTCGTGCGTAACTTAACACCTGCCAGTGTTGAAATTTGCATAGTGAAATAACCTATTCCTAGTGGAGTGGATAAATAGACTGTATAGAAGAAATAAGCCAGCGCAGCAAATTTCTTGGTATTTGAGACTTGTTAGACTGAATTGTGTCGTCTGAATTATTTTTTTTGGCAATTTCTTCAGATTGAAGATTTTAACAAAGAGCCAGATGTCTTCATATTTCTTTTATCTACTCGTGCTGGCGGGCTCGGTTTGAATTTAACTGCTGCAGATACGGTGATTATATTTGATAGTGATTGGGTAAGTAAAAATCATCGACGTTCCTGAATAAGATAATAACGCCTGTATTCTAAAAGCTCACTCACACTCAAACTCATTGAGTGGGAGATCTTAATCTTCTCACAACGTTTCAATGGCGGTATTTCCAGCCGAATAGGGGCTTGATTTTCAGTGATTTACCTTATATCTTTCCATCTATTAAGAAAAAACTTTCTCATTGATTAGCATTAACGAAATTTATATGTCACACTCAATGAGTATGAGTGTGAGTGAGCTTTTTGAATACAGGCGTAAGTCTTTTTAATAGACTACAACACCTGCAGTACAACAAAACGTTGTGAACTTGCATGGGTGCTATAGTTTGGGGGGGGGGGTGACCTGGTTCGCGAAATTGTGCAAAATAGTTTACTGTCGTTGGAATGGAAGTGTCAATAAAATAAAATATTGCATCAATTCAGTACCTAAGTTCATGAAGACATTCGCTTTAAATTGATCAATTTTGTTTCAGCTAATGATCGACCAATTAGGAAAAAGCATATTCGTAAACAGGAAGTTGAGGATTTTATAAAATTTCGCTAAGAATGATTGCAATCGTGCTGGTGTTTGTTAATTAATGGCCTAGTGTAGAGCACAAATTGCCCTATTATAACATCCGTCTCTTTTTTGTTTCCAATCCCTACAGTCAATGTTTTATGTAATTTATAGTCATTTCGTACTTAGTGTGTGCGATTTTCTTATTTGCTTTTATCAAGAATCCACAGCAAGATTTGCAAGCACAAGATCGATGTCATCGTATTGGGCAAACTAAGCCCGTTGTTGTTTATCGACTTATCACCGCCAATAGTGTTGAAGAAAGAATCGTCGAAGTCGCTTGTGAGAAACGTCGACTCGAGAAAATGGTGATTCATAAAGGTTTGTTGTATTCTCATCTCTTGAATGGATTATGGGTAAAACCTAGGGTGTCAAGGTCTTTAATATAAAATTACGAGTAGTAACTTGTAACATGAGAAATTTTGCGGTAGCAAAATTGTATTTAAGATTTTGCCTTTGTGTCATCAAACAGAGAACACATTTTTACCTAAAACGTTCATTATCATATTTGTTTGTTGCTGCAATTGACCTTTTTCATAACGACGTCAAACGCGGAAAGTCTAATGTTACACGAAGTTTGATTGGCTCGATAGTTTTGTGGAACCAATTAAATTTCGTGTAACATGAGACTGCGCGTTTGACGTCATTCTAAGAAAGGTCTATTGAATCGAAGTTTTTTAACTATTTACAAAAATATCGAGTTAACTTATGGCTTATCAGTTGGCTTACGGAGTTCTATTAACTAATCCTATTGGATAATGAAATAGACGCATGCATATGATTGGTCAGGTCGAAACCGGAAGTTGAGTTTTTTAAATATTTGATGAACTCCGTAAGCCAACTGATAAAGTTCATCACATGAATTCCTCGATATTTTTCGGAACGCTTCTATTGCCGCGAGTGTAAAATGTAGTTATAAGAGTTTTATACAACCGGTCCCTGGCGGCAGTACCTCTCCCGCAGGTTCTTAATTACCATTCAGTAAATATATAGGTCAGATCTAGTGAAAGAAAGTCGTATTTCCACAATAGGAAATAAAATTGAGAAAAGTATTCGATAGTATTCTCCCCTTTTATCAACCAAACCAAATAGTGTGGGGACGAGGGTAGTTTTCGTAAGATTTGACTTTTTTGAGTGTAGCTGGTGGGATTTGCAGAATTTGTGAAATCATTTTTGAGTGCATTGTTGGCGTTCTTTTACAGTGGTTGATTGAAATTCGTCAAACGAGAATCAGTTAATTCTATTGTGTACTTCTATACACATGTTTTTAGCAATATCGTTACTAATATCAGCATATTTTTTAAAACAGAAAGGTTCAAAGGAACTCGAGATGACACGAAGCTGAGTCCGAAAGAATTGGTGGAATTATTGCAATCATCAGATCACACAGCTGCAATCAATTCAGATGATATCAGTGACGCACGTGTGTTATCTCCTGAGCAATTAGACAAGTTATTAGACCGAAGTGATATGATCTCAGGAGACACAACTGTTCCGGAGGCCACTGATAAAGATGACAAACTTTTTAAAGTCGTTTGAGTTGATTTCTACAACTATTGACGACAATTGCGTTACTTAATTCATCATCCTTCCCTCGTTGCCAGGACGACTATAATAATTGTTTATATGTTGCGTTGACATTTTCTTAATGACATTATTACTTCTGTTACTGCAGTTCATTTTTGTGACAGGCCTGTAAAAAGTCAGTATGAAGCTGTTCACATAATTCCGCTTAGCCGAGATTTAACGAAGCGTAAAATGTTTTTAGGTATTGAAATGAGTATATAACGTGATCCTGGCAGCTGTCGTGCGGTCGTCCTAACAATAGCATGTTTTGTTTTGTTTCAAGAAGACCTTTTTTAATACCTCAAAATCATCCCATGCTTCGTTAAATCTCGGGAAACCAGGCTCACGTGAACATCCCCGCTATAAATTGTTTGTATAAAAGACTAGAACGTTCCAGCGTGAGACAATTGTAATTTTTTTACTTGTATTTATACTTAATACCATCATTATAACACCGCTTGTTAATATGCCACATGAATACTAAAATGTTGATGCAAATACGTCGAAAATATTTAAAAATAATGTTTGAAGAATTTATTGTAAATATATATTAAAAAAATGAATATATGTTTGGTTATATGAATACGCGTAATGATTGTTACATTCTACCGATTTTACTGTTTTAGCCTTGCCGTGGCAAGAAATGAAATCGGCTTCTCGATCGCCTTCTCACTTCTCCGTAAGTTAACCAGTTTAAATGCGATTGTGGTCAATTGCGAATTTGCCGAAGTCGCCTTGTGCAAGTCTAATTAGTGATACTATTAGTGATACTACCCGGTGGATAGCGTAGTTGCTGGGTTTCATACAACCGGGCCCAGGACCGTACGGAGAGCATTCCTGTTAGGGAAGGGGTGATTTCAATAGTTGACCGACGAAGTTAACAAAGCCTCTTAACTTGGCGGATTTTAATACCATAGAACTTAACTTAGCTAATGCAAGGACGCGAAGCGGCAACGCGACGCGAATTTTCAGTCTTCATAAGCATATAAATCAAATTCTGAAAGCAAACAGGGGAGCACCTCGATATACTTTATTATCACAGCGAAACTGAATGAGAAAATAAGTGTTTTTTACTGATTAGATTCACACAGGTCAAAAGCAGCAATTTCCGATGTGTTTTAGACCTGCACAAAACAAAAGGCAATAAAACTAATTACTAATACATGAAATAGATGAATGAGTAAAAAATTTAGGAATGATCTATGAATTATATTTTGAATTATATTATGAATGATATAATGAATATTGTAACATAATTATATTGATTTCACCACCTAAGAGACTAAGAAAGTCCCAAAGAATTTACTTCGACGATACTAAACCACATATTTTGCACAGTTCCATTTTAGACCAATATATAATGATAATACTAATAATAATGATATATGACTGATATATTACGGTATGATCTAAAAGCTAGTTTCCACTCAGGAAAAATCTCCTTTGAATCAGAACGGACAGGAAAATTTCCTTTGTCGGTGAGTTCTCAGGCGGCGTTTATACAAAGGAAACTTTCCTGTCCTGTCCGATCCAAAGGAGAGTTTTCCTGAGTTGAGACTGGCCTTAACTCTAAACAGTTCCTGGCCATTCATATCGACAATACTTTGACTGTATACCATTCTGTGCTGGAATACCGCGCATCAGGTAACGACAACGATGCTCTCTTAAACGATTTTCTGCATCCGCTAAATCAGTTGTGTTGATTGAACTCCACAACCTCTCGGAAATGGACAGTGATCTTGGCCAGCTTCTTGCCAGGAGATTTGTTCCATCCACCCATTCACCCCACATGCAAGTGGTACCCCCAAGGACTAGCTTCTTCTGCGCACTTGTGCCTTTAAATGCAGTGGGTTCAACTCGATAATATTTTGGCCAATCATTGCCATATGAGATGTAGTTCAAATACCAAGGAGAGGATAGAATAACGTTCAGGTTCTTTGCTGTAATTTTGGCCAGTTCATGTTTCCAACCACGTTTCCAAACATGGACCACAGTATCGGATTTTACAGTGACTGCGTTGTCGATCACTTCTTGCCAAATCATGTATTTTTTTTTCAAACCACCAACGATATCAATTAACTTCTGTTCGTAATACTGTTCCAGAAGTGAAAATTTCTTGCCAAATCCCATTTTATCCATCCAAGCCACCACATCTGGATTGCGCTTCCAGCAACTAAAGGATACTTCATCTCCGCCCAAGTGAATGTAGTCATCGGGAAAACGCTTTGCAACTTCCCCGAAAAACGACTTAAGGAAGGTGTATGTGGAATTCAATGTTGGGTTAACAGGACCAAATGTTCCAGTTGGTTTTCCTCTGGAATAACACGGTGTGAGAAGATTCTTGATGCTGACCCATGATTGGGTGTGTCCAGGCGTGTCAAACTCGGGTATTACACGAATACCTCGCAATCGACCGTACTCAATAACTTTACTCACATCACCCACGCTATAGATATGTGTAAAATTGTTATAAGCACCAACATTACTGAGCGAAGGAAACGTTTCACTGACAAAAGGAAATGACGGGTCATCAACAATATGCCAGTGCAAGACATTATACTTCGCATAAGCTAATGCATCAATATGACGTAATATCACCCTGACATGAATAAAATGTCTGGATGTATCTATTAGAAAACCACGGTGATGAAATCGAGGAAAGTCAGTAACTTTGCCTTCTTTAGCCAGGAAGTTGCCATGTTCATCTTGGTACACGAGTTGACTGAATGTTTCAAGTCCTCGCAGTGCCCCCCAAATCGTATTCGCGGTTAAACTCGATGCCGGAGCGCTCACTGTTAGTTTGTACGATTCATCGCTCTCAAAGGTCATAGGTGCATACTTCTCCTTCACTGATACATCCAAGGACGTCAGAGCAGACAGATCACGGCGATATCTCACTGCATTCGAGCGAATCTTGTCAGGAAACGTAAGGCCTTGATATCTTTTTAATGCTTTCCTCAAAATGTCACTTTCCTTGCCTGATGAAGTGAATTCGAACCGTTTGGGGTTTAATGTGAACGTTTGTTTGCCAGAAGTATATTGTTGCGGTTTTGGCCAAATGGAGCCACTTGCGTAGCCGCTAGGATCCAAATGTCCTCCAGAACTTCGTTTTTCCCGTATTTCAGCAGCATTACAACAAAGAATGGAGGCCCAAAAAAGTACAGAATAAATCATGATTTCTGCCATAAGTTCGTTCCATACGTTCAGTTAAAAGACAAATGCGTGACTGATTATCCTTCTGATTCACCATGGAAACCAGTCACATGAATCATCTGCGCCTCACTCTGAAGTTACTTTGAACGCACCCAGAAACTGATATGATCCACTTTCTGATTTTGACAAATTAGAAATTCTCCTTTGTGAATAGCGATCGAGTACGAGGCGATCTTATCATTGTCATTGCAATGAAAGTGTTAATAAAATATCTCGTCAGTTCGTTACCTGACCGGTTGATCAATAAATTTGCTTAAAAATTGTTCAACTTCCTGTTTTCTAAAAAAACATTATCCTGGGTGGCAGACGGTTACTTAGAAAATGCAACACATCAACACTTCCATTGCAACGACAGTAAAAGCATAAAAAACGAAGAAAAGACAAAACAAAGTTGGACAAACCTGCCACCTGTAAACTTTTGTAACTGTCTTTTTTTTAGTGCATGATAGCGATGACACGACGTGAAAATAAAATTAAATAATGACATCTTTTCAATGTAAAAGAGTTTTTATCAGTGACCTGTATTATTATTACAATGTTATATTATCTAGTATAGCTATCAAATAAGACTAGGCAAGGTTGGCGTAGTTTTCCATATCTATTACTCACTCTGTTCTATCCGCATATGCAAATATGAGGACTGCCATATGCAAACTGATAAGTTGTGGAAACCCTGGTATTCGCCTAGCGTTAGATAGTGTCAGGGTACCAAAATATTTCGGACGAAAATTTCAAGGAGTGAGACTTCTGGTATAATGTCAATTCTTTGTCGTGATCGTCAAGATTTTGAGTGCAAGTTTGTTGATTAATTTCGTATTCAAAAGCCCAACAACTACGAGATGTCGTGTAGGTAAAAGCACCGAGTTTGGCGTGAAAAGGGCCAATCTTCTACTCGTAATCAGCTCCCTAAAGACCTTAGATGTTAAGTAATAAAAATTATAAAATAACATGTATATAACGCGTGTTCTGATTGGTTGAAGCCCGTGTTTGGATCAGGCCATCCAAACACGGATATTTCGCGGGAATTTAAAAAAAATTTATTATGGTTTGTTATTTTATAAAACAGTTACTTAATGATTTCCGTGTTTGGATGATCTGATCCAAACACTTGGGAATGTTGCTCGAGTTAAGAAAAGCTCGCAAAACACTCGCCTTCAGCTCGTGTTTCGCGCGCTTTTCTTAACTCTCGCAACATTCCCGCGTGTTTGGATCAGGCCATCCAAACACGGAAACCATTAAGTAATTGTATATTTAAAAGCATTTAAAATTTTCCGTACGAATGAAAAACGCGTAAGCGCAAAGCGGCCTTAATAGCCGCGTTGTGAGTAATTTCCAATTTCCAGTCTGTGACTGAGTTGCCTATATTATGTTTTAATTCATTTTAGAGGTATTAATTAAAAGAGTGAATCATCACTTCGAATTTAAGGCTGTTGAATTAACGGGACTTGTTGTTAAAAGTTATCGCTAACCCTCAAATTTTAATCCGCTGTTTTAGTCTACGCGCTTCTGCACCGCCGCTTTCTTCAAAACTTTACAAAATTTTAATTCTATTGACCTTTCGAAAATAACGTCGCAACATTATCGTTTTAAATTTAGAACCACCTTATTAATAAATAAAGATTCAAAACATCCTTTTTCAACACACATGAAAGAGAACTTTTCATTTTGACAAACAAGTGACAAGGTTCGATTTTTTGTATACTTTTGCACATGGCTCGTGAGAGTAAAACTTGAAATCCATCTCATTCAAGGTTGTCCTAAATTTAAAACGATAATGTTGTGACGTAATTATCGAAAGGGTCTATTGATCCAGAAAACACATTGAAAAAGGGATTATAGAAATTGATGCGAAGATTTGCGCATGCGTAACCGTCTTTTGAGCGACGTTGTTGCATGTCCTTATGAAAGATTTCTTTTCAATTTTTTGGGTAATGGTCGCAAGGGTTGGTTTTGCTGTATTTTTTTGTGACGTAAGCAATCACCCATGCGCAAAATGTAACTATATGAAATATGCCTGATTCAATGTAAAAACATTGACACTGCTTTGATTCCTATATCACGTTTCTTAGTGAATATGGATCAGAGTATATACACATCTGCCAAAAAGAGCTAAGAAAACTTTTTTATGATACATCTATATAATAAGTACAACTTTAATTAACTTTAAATAAGATATTTGTTCTTTCCTGATTAAATTAAGCCGACAAACCATGTCATTCTTTTGTTATTATTTACAATACAATATATTAACATCTGTCAATTTCAATAGCTTTGGCTGACGACTGCAATTAATGGGAGTTGGGTGGCGACTTTACCCAGGTGAGAGGGCGGTTGAACAATGGATTAAAGAATATTGAGAGGTGTAGAAGGCACATCAAAGGTTCCGACCAAAGTCGGCGTCTAGATCTCTGAGTGAACTATGATTTTCTTGCCTCTATTAATAATGGTCAGATCCGACTAAACTTGAATTTAAACTTCATGCATGTTAAAAGCAGGCGTTAATATTAATAGCGATATTCTTAAATAATGGCTTAATTACGTCCGCCTCGAAGGTTAGGCATATTTAAAGGCTGTTTTCCATTACATTCGCCTTGAGCGGCCTTTGAAAATTTTTCTATACGGCCGTGAAATGTATAAAAGGCGGCTTTCTATTAGGTCGGCTTCACCAGCGTGGTCGGAGTTTATTCACTAGACGAATTTATTCGTGCGAACTCATAAAAAGTTGGAAGCGATTATACTTTTTCGCGGCGAATTATTTTCCAAACCAGATATCGCTTCGCGAAAAAAAAAGTGGGAAATGGACGGATGCGCAGATATTCGAAGGTCGGACAGGCAAAGCGAATGTGGTGAAAAACAGCCTTTACATCCGATGCCACCCTATAGAAATAATAGATATATAGAATGCATGTTTAGTTATCATGTCGTCATGTAATTTGTTTGTCAGGTTTATAAATTCTCCGCATAGGGCAATTCATATTGCCATTGTACACCCACACCTGACATCCTACCCTAAAGAACCCTGAACCAGAAATATCCGCCATCTTGTGGAGTGAGTATTAAGAGCACGCATTCTATATATCAATTATTTGTTATGATTCCTGTGCACATTGCGCGATGTTTCACCATCATATTTGTATAGTTTGTTCATTTTTTTTACTTTCCTTATCAGGGGAGTCCAGAACTTCTCCCTCACTTTCATTGTCTGATATAACATACGCGCCTGATATTCTTGGCTGTAGTTCTTTCCTTGTTGTGCCCGTTTCAGTGAAACTACCACCAATACTTCCTCTTTTGTAAGTCTTTTCCGGAGAGCGCCCAAAAGAAAGCAAAATGGCCTCGAGTTTTTCACAAATTTTTCTGAATTTTTGGGAGGAACCTAAATATACAGCACAGATAAGAGGTAAATATAAAAGGTGTATAAAATTAGGATTTAAATTGATCGCTTTAAATTTATATATAAAATTCTATTAAAATCAAGTGTTTAACAACAGAAACATGCTAGTAAGTAAAAAATTATTTTCTTCGTAAATAAACTCTCTATACCTAGCTGTCAAGCGGGAAGTAATGCAAACATACCCGAAATCAATTTCACATTCACGATGTAAACATTTTGCGTTTCCTTGCATTCTTGTGGGTCGTTGGATTTCTCGATGCTCACATCAATCCTTGCGGATTTTCGGAACACGGATGTACCTTGAGTTAAAAGAATCCTCATGATTATTGCATAGATGAAAGATGGACAGATGTCTATCTCTGGTTCAATTGTCTTCCAAGGTAGCAAGTGTTTATTGTGTTGTATGGGATTATTGACCGGTTTTGAACCCCCATGCAATATCATGATGTTCACCCTATAGACCTAACATGTCTACCTCTGTACCGTGTCCGCTTTTTAGAAGACGATAACGCACAGTCTGATCACGATACCTTTGTGTTTTCCGTATTCGGCTGTGAATGTGGTGGATGATATGACGTGGTGCGTAACATTTGGTATCTGAAATAAAAAATACAGGCCTGGCTTCAAGTGGGAAAATAAGACAATTGTTTATTGACGGGATTTAAGTTACCCTATACCGATAAAGAATGCCAAAAATAAAGATTTTTGGTAATCTTATCTTTAAATTACTCAATGACTTATTACGAAATCAATACTCAAGCCTACTGTGAATTATGGAAATGAAAACAAGGAGGAATTTCGTATGGAACTAATTTGTTTACATTTTACAGGTTAAGCCAATCAGAATTCCTCCATTTTTTATACTTCGTGTAAAACGATAAATAATGTTCCTTTTTACAGGAAGTGGTCAACATTTTTGCATTCTGATTGGGCCACTGAAAATGTAAACAAATTTGCTGATTAGTCTAAAATGAAATTCCTCCCTGTTGGAAATGCCAATTGTGCCTCAAACATTTCTTCCCTCATTCCAGTCATATTCCGGAGAAATAAAGAATGCGAGAGTTCTATAACTAAGCATGCAATTTCAACCATTTGGATTAAAAATCAAGTCGAATTCATGTCAGATTTTTATCTCATAACCGTCGTTTACTGATTTCCATATATGCGCCGTAACGTAGTTTCTCGCGGATGCTCTCAAACATTGTACCGAAGCAGAAATAAAAAAGTCTATCTTCATGAATTAGTCTATTTTTCAGACCTATCAGCAAATCTGTTTACATTTTCAGTATCCAATCAAAATGCATTAATATTGACTAAGTTTGGTAAAAAGGTACATTATTTACTATTCTACATAAAAAATAACCAAAGAGACCGAATGAAATTTCGCCAAAACAAATTTCTGTAAAATCTGAACGATATATCTTCAAAGCATATTTTAATACCATAAGCAGACTGATTATATGCAGAAATGAGGACAAATTTTCATCCGGACTATTTCTCATCGGTGAAAAACACTTCACGACAATTACGGCGTAATGGGAACCTGGCTTAAACCCAAAATAATGAAAATAAAGGACTTCGGTCGTATTACCGGTAAAGAAGGTCGCGAGTTAATTTCTGAATATATCATGCACTGTATCTTGTTACCAAGCGGCAAAATACTTCTGAGAAACTATCACGTGATTCTTTTATACATCTGCCATTCATACAATAATTTTTTATTGACAATTTTTATTTACAATTAATATATCTGCTCACCGTCAAAAATGCATGAACAATGTCCGCTTTGATGGTACCCAGCGGCTTTCCTTTGATTAAAATAAAGAATGGCTAGAATAAAAGACAAATACGACGTTACCATTTATACGTGATATTTACGCAGTGAATTGCAAACAAAATATTACAAAAATCATATGATCTCGCATTAGTTCAATTTCAAAGACTATCTTCGTCACAATGACGTCACAGTATGCATTTGTATATAGGACGAATTAAATGTATAGCATAAATTTCGGAAGGTACAAATTTTTAGTAAAATACAAAAATATATCATCTAAAAATAAGACTTTTTATTGTTTTTTAGCCATATAACGTAATATAACGGTCGCATAACAACTATTTTTGCTATTTTGGGTATTAATTGAATAATTGTGCTGTATAATCGACTTTGACGAGTGCCGTTCGAATTCTGGGGCAGTAATTGTAAACATCTCTCGAAACCGTCGTCAAGAACGGAGTCTGAAAGTATGGTATTTGAGAAACGATATTCAAATTTACCTCTTCTTTATCTGGTGAGTGAGAATGTCCTAATGGAAGGTAAGCGAACCATGATTTTTTCACATCACTGAAATACAATAACAATATAGCAATTTTAACATGTTTAGGAAAATTTAGTGATATTTGCGTTTAAGCTGGCTCCATACAGTTTCTTGAAATATTTTATTTAGGTAAATTAATTATATATTTAGGTAAATTAATTATATATTTAGGTAAATTCGCTAAAGGATACCATATGTGCATATATCTACAGGCAACATATAAAGAACTAAAAGCTTTTCAGAACTGGTGCCATGCAACCTTTGCTATGGCAAGAGAGACGTTTCAAAATGGCCGCTAAGCTGGGTTTAATCGTGTTTATATCGCGTTCGGTGACCACCAATGCTATAAGTATGGATGAGCATTTATCGATTTGAAGAAATTGCATTAAGCCACCTTAAAGCCATTTAATTCTCTTCATTCGGCTATCCCCAAATAATGACCGTCCAAAATTCTGGGAATGGCCTCGTCCAGTAGAAAATAGATTTGTAATCATTTATCCATACCTAGGAGAAACATCCAGCGAAGTGTTGGGGAAGTACTCTTTCTCACCAGGCGCTAAATTGATACAAGTTGGATATTAATTTGGTAAGTTTCACCCAATTTATGTAGTCTCATTTGATTCGAATGCATTTCGTAAGGCAAATATACCTGCATGTTTAAGGTAAAAACGAGCGAATAGTGGTATAAGGCTTAGTGCGAATCACAGCTTGAGGTTCTCAACGCAATGGCTATATGTAGCTATAATATTTATAAGGGTTTTTTTTAAAGGGTTTTTTTTTAAAGGAATCTGCTTTCATACAAAATAATATTATATCAATTAATGAAGTGGGTGCCAAAAAATAAAGTCCAGTATTAATTACATTCCGTTTATAGCACCAAGTCACGAACAAAGCCAGTTTTATAAAATTTCAAAAAACTAACCAAAAAATTGGGGCAGACTCGTACCATTGGTGCCATTTCGACTTTCAAGTAGTCTATTATTTCAACAATTTCACACGAAATTACTCACATAGTTCTGGACTTCGTTGACGTGGATTATCTTCTAACGACTTCTTCCTCCATGGTATTTTTGACCACCAAGGGCTCCCAGGTGGAGTTTTACTTTTTACCGGATTGCTGGCAGTGCGGCTTGCTGCATAGCTGTAAACAAAAAACGAATACTTTTTTATATATAACAAAACTCTGGTCAAAATTGCTAGTCTAAAATAGTAGATTCGGCAAGTATAATGTTCTACAATAAGAGTCGACTGGATGAATTTTATATATTGGGAACAAGGGGGAATTACGTTTTAGACCAATCAGAGAGTTTGTTTACATTACAAATATACGCTGTGAAGTGGTTTGGGGACTGATGATGTTTCGTGATTAACCAAATTATGAGCGCATTGGCGAAATGAAAGCATGGTGGTTTTTTTTGCAGATAACGCAGATTCTTTATAAAGGTCTATACTTCCAAGAAGATTAAATCACAAATGCAATACCTTTTCAACGAACTTATATCCGTACCAGCACGTGGTCGAAAAGGAATATGTGGATTTCGTGGATTATCAGGAATATCACTGCTGCAGAATTAGAAAAAAGAATCAGTTTTAAAGTTGGTGAATTATAATCCATGTGTACTGTCATTATATAGACCACAAGGTGTATAAAAAATTGGACAAATGATAAATTTTGCAGCTCACAAATGATTGAACGCATGTTTAATATAAAATATGAATAATGCATGAATTATTACCAAGTGAAACAAAGATTATGCCGAAAAGACTAAACATAGTAAGAAAGTCAAAGTTCCAGAGGCCGTGCGGCGGATTTAATTACTTGTTTGTCGACCAAATTTTCTGGAACTTTGATAGTTTATAAAACATTAACCAAACTTTCAGTCTATGATAATGATTTAATATTGAAGCTGTTCATTTTTGTGCGCAAAACTTGTTTTAGGTGGTGTTTGAAAATAACCCTTCCTAAACGTCGGTACAAAATTTTTTCATTCAATTTCAGTGGTTAGAGTGAAGAAATCCTAAAATACCTATATTAACACAAGTTCTTCAGACATTTTGCAAATTTTTCAGTTTATGGACATTTCAACAATTGTCTAATTTTCTTTTATACACCCTGTAGTAGCACATAATTCACTTAGTACATGCATGTGCAATCGTAGGCCTATGAAATGTTATTTAAGTAATGGTTAATTTACAATAAGAATCGTTGTAAAGAAAGCAAGAATAATTGAAGTCGGTGAAGCTTATTATAATGACAAACATGTACGACTTGAGTCAAATAGTGCAATAATCCACCAATAAATATATATTATTTTGCTTATCCTGTTACGCTTGTTTTTACTAAAGGCTGATTTAAAAGTCTGTTCACACGATCCAATTTCGTTGGATCCAATTCACTTGTGACGTATGAAATATATAAAGAAAACAGGACTTAAACAAATTTGTATGCGCGAACAGCTAACAACCTTCCCTCCTCCCCATGAACCTAAGAGTGAAATAACATGAACTAAGACCCTACCTATCCCGAGAACGATTCAAGCGAGGCGAGCCACACGAGTCTACTCGTTTCCGTGGAGGATCTAAAATAAAATTCGATGCCATGAATACATGTTAAATGAATTTTCTTGAAATGGTAGCAATTTGTATACTTATAACATGTTTATATGGCAATAAATATTATACTGTTCAAAGAATTAACGCCGTTTCTATCGAAAATCGCTTCTAATTATATTAAAATTGTCTGTATAATATATACATCTAATTTTTGGCATTTCCCTTGATTGAAATACATATCAGAGGAGGTTTTGGTATAAATGGAAAATCCTAAAGAATTTGTATATATGCTGTTAAAATTCAACTATTGGCCGTCTGGCAGAAATCGTCCAGGGCGTTGCTGGTGAATTCTGCGTGATCTCGCGCTTATATTTTAGCAAATCAGCGCTCAGAAAGTGTGTCGAAATAAAAATCCATTCTGCAATTATATCCTTTGTTATTCACTATAGAACCAGTCAAAATTTTGTGATAAATTTGAACCAAAATAAAGCGAAAAAGTGTGTTAACTGAAAATTGGAATTTATTATTTGAGAGTTAGTCCCAGGCCTTTCCCGCCATTTCTGATCGCCTAGTTATGCTATGGAGTTACCTGAGTTACGGAGAAAGCTACCAAGAGCGAATGTCAGATTCGTAATGTCAGAATAAGTAAATTTGAGTAGAACTAAATACAGGTTACTTCATGGTTGGGTAGTGCGTACGATTTTCATGCACGAGTTGTGAAGGACGAGTGGATATCAAAATTATATAAACGAGCTAACCATGAAGTAATTTGTTTAGAGCTATGACTTTCTGTTCCCCGTACAATTAAAATAATTATACTCCATTCGACCAATCGGCATCCAGTAAGTTTTACTACGCTAACAATCAATGAAAACACAGCCTGAGTATTATAGACTGGAGTTTGCGCTCCATTATACCTCTAGCGTTCCTCTTTGTTCACTGCCTACTCTATATATAGCTTTTTAAAACATCTATGATCGAGTGAAACTCACCTAAGACACGATCATGATCCTTCATTTGCCGTATCGCCTTGGGGACAACATCAGCACTGGATGGTCGACGCTCTTTTCTTTCAAGAAGAAGATAATATATTACTTTCTCCATGTTGTCTCTAGGAAATACAAAAAACAAAGAAGGATATTTAAAATTAGATGACCTATACATTACCTTAATTTCATAGTCTCATTTTATTCTCAATATTTGTATACTCAACATGACGCAATTAAATACAATATATATATACGGCAATGCATGTTCAACTATACAGGCATATTAAACTGTATAGGCATAGGAACGATTCTGGACAATTATTTGAAATCTTAATTTGGCTTTTAGCACGACTAAAGGCTGGCTTCCATGACTCGATCAGGATTTATGAATATAACCCTTTGGTATGAACGCTCCCTTTGTGTTATAACGCCGTATATTATGGTTCTGGTTGTGAACGCATAGACAAAGTTTCTTGTTTTTTTTTAGTCGTGGAGATTCTTTCCCTGAATCCCAAGGTAGCTTTTTCATCACTCCATATTCTCGATAACATGACCAAAAAACTTATATAGCTACTCACTCCTCTTTTAGTAATTTCTCGACTAATTTTTCTTTATCGTGAAAACATCCCAAGCTGTTGATGGAAGCCAAAACATCAGGATCAATGTTGTCACGACCAGATATCGCTTCCGTTTTTACAACTCTTTGTACTGGAAGTTGTTCATGAATATCCATACTAAAAAACAAAATATAATATGTAGATTATATATTTAATGTAATTGGAACGGTGCAATACTCTAAAGCCCCATTTACACTACACTCAATTTATTGACACAGCACGGCTAAATTGGGCACAAGTGACTATTTTAGCTGTGCCCGGCCTTAGTTTTGGTAGCCTGAGCACTAGTAAAATTGGATACGGGCACCCATTTTAGCCGTGTCGTTTTAAGTTAAAATCAAATTCTTTAAATATCACATTCTTTAGACAAAAGATAATTGTATAGTAATGATTCTTCAACTCTCAGAAAAAAGGTATAAAATTTATAACATTTTATAGGACCCCCCAAAAGTTGTGACTTGAAATTCTAATGTGACTTGAAATTCTTCTGGGACCATGCATGGTCGGATACAGATGCTACATCACATCACAACATATCACAACACACATTTCTGTTTAGCCACTGCATGTACATGCAGTATATACAATGTCATTTAAACCAGCGCACCTTTTTAAAAATGGATGGTTCAAAATCTGCTTCATCTGCAATTAAAGAAAAATACTATGAACAATTATAACCAAGGGCGTGTGAATCGTAACACAAAAGGGACAATTAGTGTGCAAACCTTATAGCCTATAAAATGAGATTATAACACTGTTTTGATATAAATTTATCATTAATATATATTTACGCACCGATATTCGTCTAATTGGATCAACCTTGATCATCTCTTTGATAAGATTATGGCATTCAGAAGGAACATTATCTGGAATACGGAACGATCCTTTCTTAACCTAATCAAGAAAAAAATAATGAAAATTCATTTTATTTTTTACAAATCAGCAGCGGGGTAATCTTAGCCTTTCCTGCAATCTCATTGGCTGTAGCAGCGGGCGGAATTTTACGATATCTGATCACGGTCCAGAAAGCGTATTTGTTTTGTTTTGTTTTTCTAAAAATTTATTCGGGCCAAATGATTATCACGATAATTTGAAGTGAATTTAATAATTTAAACAAATGAGGTTTTGATTGTTAATGTTTTTCTCGCCATTGCTCAGTCTGACTACACAATTGTAATACGACCGAACGCTGCATTTTGTAAAAAAGTAAATATGTTATTTACTGTTTTAGTCGGTCCCGATAGAAAAATATTTCCACTCGGTCTGCGGCCTCGGGTCGTTTTTGCCACCTTCCATGCAGAAAATATTTTTCTATTCGGACCTTGCAGCCGGTATATGTATTCAAAAAAGGTCTCGTTTATCTGAACCTAATAACTAAACATCAGTCCTTTATCACTAACGTTCAACGAAAAGGTAGACCACTGAACTGATCTTTGTCAGCGGCCGGTTGTTCGAAAGGCGTTTAGCTTAAACGGTGGATAAGTTCAAAATGGAAAGCAAAACTATTTATTTATTGAACAACTGAGCTGAAATATTTCGATGTAAATAGCTTAATTGTCAATGGAAGTACATATTTAATGCATAAGTTGCAGATTTAGTCATTCACAAGATGCATGAGAGTAATTTTAAACTTTGGCTTATCCACCGTTTAAGCTAAACGCATTTCGAACAACCGGCCCCAGGCAGCCAGTCGAATGGTTCGAAACATGCGACAAAATCGAATTCTTGTAGGTGAAGAAATACGAATTTGCACTGCAACTAACACGATTTGTTAATTAACACGAGTCTGTTCCCTTTATACAATGCATGTTGATTTTGCAAATCAAGCAAAGCCACTACATACTGCTTTATCAATAAAAGGTAGGTTGTTCAATACGTCAGAAGTGAACTGGATCTGACAAAATTGGATCGTGTGAACTGACCTTATTAAAATGCCATCACAAATTATACTCTTACTAATATATATTTACGACTATAATTTTATAGTTATTTCGTATCAGTAACACCTAAAATAGAAAAAATCCCACTTTTGGACAAACCTTTTCTAATAAATGTCTTAAATTGTCGTCGTCAAAAGGTAAAACGCCCTAAGAATAAGAAAACACATTTTATAAACAATTACTGAATGAGGTAGAGCGTATGTACTTATCATGGTCGATGCCTGGTCATTTGCTGAAGCGAAAATGATGCAGAAAACATGGCTTAGCCTTGGAAACTCTGTATACACGCCTATATTACGTGGGAACTGAACCAATATTTGATCAGCAAATTAACTAAAGCCCAATGCAGTACTGCTTTATGAATAATAGACTACACTTCATACGAGGAAAGTGCATGAAATGGATCTTGTGAACAGAGGGATTCGTTTGGGAGAGGCAGACAACGAGAAGTACACTCTATTCAGCTACTCTTAGGAATGGACTAATAATCGTTATTACAACCAAGATAGACATTTTTAAAAAGATTAAAGCAGTATAGGTAATGCGTAAAGCGATTATTGCAAAAAGAAATTATCTTAATTTCCCATATAATAGCAAATATCTTTTTGAGAAAATTTATTACTGAGTGAAACAACGTTTTAATCGTTGAATTAGGTGCTGTGTTAAATTCGATTGACTTTACGGATGGGGAAATTAAAAAATATAGTTCTACGGGTCATTATCATGCTTACCACTACAAGAGCATATAAAATCACTCCACAGCTCCAAATGTCAGCTTTTCTACCATCGTATTTTACCCCCTACATATGATGGTGTAAAAGTGCGGTTGTTATAGACGACAAATTGGCGATGTATCTGTGCGGTAATAGCTACTTCACTGCTATATAGGAAGTTCGTATTATTACCTTAACCACCTCAGGACAGGCGTAATGTGGCGACCTGACAATGGAAAATTTAGATCTTCAATACATGAATACATCTACTCGGGAAATATGAAAAAATAAATTAAATGCAGGGAAGAACTTAGGTTAAATTTCTAGTGATATAATTTAGTCTAGTTTTTTAGGCCGATTATGTGCGAAGTCAAAAAAAAACATGCAATTTGGGTCATCTTGATGGTCCAATAACTCGATTTTCTTATACTGATCTCCATACAGCAACTAAAGGCATTGAGGTTTAATGCTAAGTACCTTCACATGTACGAGGCTGACTCGTCAAATAACAACACATTTGTCGAAGTTATTAAGCAAAAAACAAATTTCACATGTTTGAAGAGATGTCAGTTTAACCCAACATTACAATATCGATACTTTATTATTATCATACTTACCCACAACTAGTCTCCAACATCAAATTTTCGCCAACCTGAAGAACATGTTTAAAATATGGCACATGTTGAACATATATTGCGAATAACGCGAAAGCGAGGTCATTCAGATTTCCGGCCACCAAAATTTGAAAATCTCTTATTCAGTTTTCAATCTTGACTGGACAAGATTGCTGGCTTCGTTTTGGTTTAACTTAAATTTAGCTTCAGCGAAGATTTCAAAGAACCAATGGTTTCGGAAATTTTGGCGGGAGAAAAACAGTTTAGAAAGAGCGTTCTCCTTGATCAGTATAATAACAAAATTTATAGATGTCACACATAATGAGTAAGCGTGCGAGTGAGCTTTTTGAATACAGACGTTAGTCTCTAGGGTCTAGTACAATTCTCTAATCCATCTGAAAAATTAGCTTGACTACAATTCAGCTGGCCCAGTTGGTAACTCGAGCCATATCACTATAACTTTACGACACCGAAATACGGATTCCGAACTGTCTTGACCAATAGAAGCTCAGTTGGAAAGGTAATGGTCTAGCGAACCATGCATGGTGTATATAAAGCTAATTTTTCAGCTTGCTCGGTTGGTAAATCAAAATAGCACCATCACAATTCTCTAATCCTGTAAATGAACCAAATTCAATTTAATATGTCAGCTCACCTGCAATGATGCCATTCCAAAGTCGGCGACTTTTATATTATGTTTTTCATCAAGTAAAAGGTTTTCAGGCTTCAGGTCACGGTGACTATACGCAAGAAATAAAGCATTCAAATTTAGCAACATACACTTGAATTGTCTTTGCTCTTCCATTAATAACGGCAGTTAATTATATTGAAAGCTTTACAATGCAGATTTCCAACACTACACTATACACTACTGTCACTACACTCTTCTTTGTCACTACACTCTTCTTTTCGAGGTAATAGTTTACAACATTACACTACACTACGTTCACTACACTCTTGTTTTTGAGGTAATAGTTTACAACATTACACTACACTAGTGTCACTGCACTCTTGTTTTTGAGGTAATAGTTTACAACACTACACTACACTACACTATACTGTCACTACACTCTTGTTTTCGAGGTAATAGTTTACACCACACCACACCACACCACACACCACACCAAACCACACCAAACCACACCAAACCACACAACACCAAACCACACAACACCACACCACACCAGTCACTATACTCTTTTTTTCGAGGTAATAGTCTACAACACTACATTCAATTCATTGGCATGTCACTGCTAAAATTGGCACCCGTGTTCAATTTTTATCCGTGCTTTGGCACCAATACAAAGGCTGAATACGATGAAATTGGTCCTCCTACCCAATTTATCCGCAGTCCCATATAAGTGTAGCGCAAACAGGGATTTTATTTCCATGTTTTTCTGAACGAATTTGTTTATTTACAATCACATGCATGCAGCTCAAAAACAAAAGTAATTTCAAACCCAAAGAAGCACGATCGAAACAAATTGAGTGAAATGTGCAACAAAATTTTCCCGTTTAGTTTTATGGTTTCGTTGTAAAGACCAACAGCTGCGTGCACAAAAACTATAAGAAATATATGCAATAGACCTAAATTACCATTTATTAAAGTGCCTATGTAACGAAACTTCACCCCTGATTTTCATGGTTGCAATGTAGAGAAAATTTAAAATGACTGAATATTAACTTTTTTTGCAGAATTTTGTTATACTTGCTTCCTTTTGAAGATATTGAACTTTGTAAGATATCTATATAACACAACTATGACACTGAATAACGAGTTTTTTGGAAAATTACAGTTGTCTCGCAGAAAAATTACCCAACCCGAAATATTATCCAACAATTACTCTTGTATACAATGCAGGTGCGAATTTATAACTGGTTATAAAAGATGAATCGTGTTTTAAGTTGAAATACCACTTTATATTTAAACTCTTAAATTTATGCATGCAGTGTGATGTGATTAGTTATGTGTTAGAACTCACAAAGTTAAATATCTTGATAATGAATAAAGTTAACAAAATGGTACAGAAGTAGATATCCAGTCAATTTAAGTTTTCTTTATAGTGCAACTATAAAAATCAGGGGTGAAATTTCGTTGCATATGCACTTTAATAAACATTTTTAATAAAATTTATTGTAGCATAAATTTTTTATAGTTTCTGTTCATGCAGCTGTACACCTGAGAAAAAATACAATATAATGCTAAACACAGCCAAAATTAACTGCACCACAGGTAGCAAATAGATAATTATTAATTCGAAAACGAGAGAGATATGCAAGAGCCACCTCTGAGCATGTTTTTTTGGAAAAATTCAGGACATGCATTTTGCAAAATGTTTAGTAAAAGCAAACGTGTATTCAAAAGTTTCGGGGAGTTTTTGTTGGAGATCGAGATAATATTCGTATGCGGACTGCGGTCTGGTTCAGCACTCCGAATAGGGCAAACCGGTCGACCGCGAGCAATTTGATTGCCTAAAAAGCGTGGATACCGCCCCGGAAAAGAAAGATCTTCGTGATATGGCTTAGCTGAGATTAGGCGAGTATAATGAATATGATCAAGACAATCGTGTATGACCAACAATACGGTGCTTGTTTGCCTTCATAAAGACTTATTTCAATACCTTAAAACCATCTCATATTTTGTTATATCTTTTTAAACGCACCTCGTGTAAGCGTAACTTGTTTTTGAAAGCGAGTGTGTGATGTTCAAAATATAAAGCTCTAAATTGAAATCTGTACATATATAGTGCATGATCAACTTTTGAAGGCAAATGCCTTCTAAATTGAACACTGTTAAGCCTGATCCTATTCATAATTGTCGTGAACAAGTCATTTTCACCGATGAGAAATAGTCCAGTTGTAAATTTCACTTTATTTTTTATCGAAATCGGTCATTGTTGACCGCACACACATATAGAAATATTCTATCACATCATCCAGCTTGACACGTTCATGACACTTAAGACTAAATGGAAATCAGGCATAGAACTGAATCGTTATCGTTTTTTGAATTTCAAAGGTGCTAGCTAGCTTAATTATCAAATGCTAGCTTAATTATGTCTGAAATTTAATGGTCCAAGTGTAAAACATTAATCTGAGGAAAAGTCCGTTAACTCGAAGCGCAAAATTAATGCAACCATGCATGCATGCATGCTCACACATACCAAACACAGTGCTTGTGACAAAAGTCCATCGCCGAGATTATCTGAGTAAAAAATCTCCGAGCCTTTGAAGAAGAGAGAATAATCATAAAAAATCTAATCTCAATAACATGTAAATATTAATATATTGTATAAATGCAAATATAGAAGCATATTACGCTTGTTAAAAAAGTATATACAATCATTTTTTAATCTGCAAAGGTGATCGTCTCGTCCTAATTTCGAGGGTTCCATGCAGTATATACAGGGTGTCCCAAAAAAAAGTCCCCGCTATTGAAATGAAGCTTTTGTTGGAATTTGAATGCATGATCAACGCAGTAGTGTGTAAATAGCATATTTATTAGGTTGAGGCATTCAAATAAAGCGTCTTGCTTTCAATTGGGTTTATCATAATATTAAGGCAATCAGATTCGAACAAAAGCTTGATTTCAATAGAGGGGACATTTTTTTGGGTCCCAAAAAAAAGTCCCTTCTATTGAAATCAAGCCTTTGTTAGAATCTGATTGCCTTAATATTATGATAAACCAAATTGAAAGCAAGACGCTTTATTTGAATGCCTCAACCTAATAACTATGCTATTTACACACTACTGCGTTGATCATGCATTCAAATCAACAAAGGCTTCATTTCAATAGGGGGGGCTTTTTTTTGGGACACCCTGTATACATGCACGAGTTCTTAGTTCTTAAAAACGATCTTAATTCTTTTGTTTGGTGATGTGCAACTATTCCCGTGAGACTGAACAAGGCCTGGTTTACACTTGTCCTAAGAATCTGGGATTATCTTTGTCTGAGGTCGCTGGTGCGCAAAATGCTTTGTCTATCGGAAAGTAATACAATGGATCCCCGATTATTAGGAGCTAGTGTGAATCAGGCCTTTTAAGACAAAGAGATTTTCAGGACATTTGAATAAAACTTTTTCATAATGACGTCAAACGCGGAAAGTCTGATGTTACACGAAATTTGATTGGCTCGATAGTTTTGTGGAGCAAATGAAATTTCGTGTAACATCTGACTTTCCGCGTTTGACGTCAAAATCGTAAAATAATCCAACATGGCGACGATGACGTACGAAACTTGCACATGCACCACCCATACGAAAATAAAAAACACTTTCACATACCTCCTTTATCGTTAACCTTCCTCTTTTTACAAGATAATCAAATAATTCCCCACCACCGACATATTCCAGTATCAAAAACCTATAGTCAATACATATAGAAAAATTCATGAATGCATGCATGATACAATTTTAATATGCGATCCTTTTAGGTATAATAACGTTTTACTTTCCATAGGCATGCAGATTTATAGGGCTGTTTTCCACTGTCGCGTTTTTTGAATAGATGCTTATAGGGTTGCATTCCGATGATTTGGTGTGTTTTTCTGGCAAAAAATTAATTATACAACAACTTAGAAGATTTAAGCTTTTATATACGTGCGTGTACGTACGTGCAAAAAACGTGACGGCGGAAAGCAGCCCTTAGTTTGAAAATACGAACGTCAAAGACGATGTGAAAATGGCGAATAAATGGCGTACGCGTGGCATGTCTATAGCTATCAACTGCATGGGTGTCCCAAAAAAACACGAAGCCCGTGTTAATTACGTATTCGTTGAAACCATCATTTATTGTAATCAGTTTATTCCTTGACACCCTGGTTTAATAAATTAACTTGGCATTTCTCTGCCTCTGGGTTTTCGTATAATTTGTACTGTAACAATGTTAGTGGAAACAAAACGAACCAAACGTATAAGAATCTTTTCAAATAACTATAATTATATATTGTGTACGCAGGTTCCGTTTTTTTTCGTACACCCTCATCACGCTATTTATTCACGACCACTTCATGCTATATAAATCTGTCTATAGATTTCCACGAGTACGATTCTAACAACACATTCTGAACAAACACTATCTGATGGATGGATAGGATATATAATTTACTTACAAATGCGTGTTGTTTTCATAAACGTCGTACAGACGTAGAACATGTGGGTGTTCGATTAACTTCATTATGGCGATTTCCCGTTCAACCTAAAAAGAAATTTATCACAAGTATTTGAAATAAGACAGTATCTTGACATATGACAGTATTTTGCGGTAAACGTCTTTTTAATGAATACGGTAATTTTTATTTCAATGAATTCAAAAGAAGCTGATAATAAGATTGTAACATGGGGGGGGACCTAATTTTCCTATTTCCTTAGAGCTCGCGGCTACATTCTCATAGCGAAATTCTTGTTAATTTCTACGTTACGTTGCATAATTTATCTTTCTTGAGTTTGTTCACGTGTTGTTTAGCTCTGGTTGTTTGAAGTAAGTGGTGTAAAGAAGCAATATGGCAATTTGCTCGCGTGTTTAACAAACGGCGGTAAATCCAGCTTTGCAGTATGTCTTTTACGTTTGTTTGCCGTGTAAAATTTCATGTTTAAATGGCTGTGATTATATATGCAGTCGTTCAATCACTGAATTTTATACGGCAAACGTGAAAAACATACTGCAAAGACAGTTTTGCTAAATACATCAGCACTGTCCTATAAACCATTTCAGCTTGCCAATAAAATGTAACCATTTCAGAATATGTGATCAATTTACATACAAGCTGAAAAGGTCTGTTGCTTACTGACATCACCGCTGAATATCACCAGCTTAATGATGAACGTTTATGAGTTAAACTGTTGCATATCCTAATTAAGATAGCGGAGATACACCCAAAGTTCGTTTGCGAAACGCGGTTTGGCGTTTGCCGCGTAAACGCGAATCTTAAGCCCGTTTCAGATGTTAAGCTTTTACCGCGTGTACTTACGTGCAAAAAACCCGACAGTGAAAAGCAGTCCTTAAAGCTGCTTTCCACTTACGCGTTTTCTATACGCACGTACACGTACGGAAAATTTTAAATGCATGGTTTCAAATTTATATTATTTAACATCTAGGTCATTAGTAACAGGTATAAGCCGATTTAGACTTGCGTGCGTGTACGTGCGTATCAAAAACGAGCAGTGGAAAACAGCCTTTAAGCCCCTTCTCCACTAGGCGAATTTATTCGCGCGAACAGATACAAAGTAGGAAGCGATTCTACTTTTTCGCGGCGAATTTTTTCGCAAACCAATCACATCACTGGATTTCAGATATCGCTTCGCATCGCGCGAATAAATTCGGCTAGTGGAAAACGGGCTTTACGCGTTTTTTATATGTGCATACTAAAATATGCGGAAATCTAAGTTCTTTCGATTTATAGACCAATTGCGAAACTTAGTAACCGCGCCTTCGCATAACATGGAAGCGAGGCTTATTATGCAAAAAACAATATTTGTATTTTTTGCCGTACAAAGCTATCCGCCGAGTTATATCCCGGTTTTCGCCTTTGGTTTACATATTTTTCGATACCTTTAAAGCTCGGTTTCATCGTTGTTATCATAGTTTTAAGGTGAGGGAGTTTTGCCTTTCATTTGAGGCGTTTTTGTGATGTTTTCATTAATTTTTTCGGCTGCTTTCGTCGGGGAAATATGGAAAAGGCCGACACAAACTCAGGTAAAAATTCAGTTTTTTCCAAACTATTTCGTCTCAAGTCTTGAAAATTTATTTCATTTTTCTTCCTTTTATTTGTGCAAAATTTGGCGATATATATTTGGTGCAAAATCTATGTTTTGTGACAAAAATTGTTGAAAACTAAATGAAAGTGACAGTCAGATTTTATAATTTCACACCTAATGACTGAAATGGTTCAAATTTATTCACAAATATCACTATATTTTTTATCTTTATACCAGAGTAATACTGTGAAAATGGCAAAAAGTAACTAACTGAAATGTTTTTGTTTATTTAGTTTTAAAAAAGTACAGACGATGCATGGCTTGCATACCGACATGAAAGCCGAATTTTATTTAAAAGTCGAATTCGAACGCATCTGACGTTCTGTATATTTTGTGTCACTACAAAACACTATTCTTTCTATCTACTACCATGCAATAGATGTTTTAAATAAGGGTTAACCAGGAATACTTTAAAAGGAAAGGATTCCGTTCACCATCGCATTATAAAACGGAAAACACTTCCGAACTTCGGGGTTGTATATTTTTTTCGCTTTCGGCTTTGCCATCATGTAAAGGCATATCTTAAAAAACGCTGCTGCTCGCATTGTGGCTACCTTTATAGTATGACATTGTGGGAAAAGAAATATTAAATGGTAATTCAAAATAGAGAATGATATTATGTCTTGGTAATAAGTATTTTACTATCCATGTCATGCATGTGTGCCAAGTTGAAGAGTTGTTTTGCTTTTGAGTCGGCATGACATCACATGTACTGTAGTCTATATACACAGGGAAAATAAACCAAAAAACTCCGTTGTATATTTTATCTCCGATTGTTTCTGTCAACAGAGTTCTTCTAATTTTTCCTGAGCTGTAAAATTGCTGTAAAATTACAGCTTATCGATCGATAAATTGGTGTAAAATAATTTAAATGAGAAATGTAAACATGGTGGTGGTTCGACCGTGACTTTTCAATAATCCTTGTCACAAAAACATAGATTTTGCACCAAATATATATCGCCAAATTTTGCACAAATAAGAGGAAGAAAAATGAAATAAATTTTCAAGACTTGAGACGAAATAGCTTGGAAAAAACTGAATTTTTACCTGAGTTTGTGTCGGTCTTTTCCATATTTCCCCGACGAAAGCAGCCGAAAAAATTAATGAAAACATCACAAAAACGCCTCAAATGAAAGGCAAAACTCCCTCACCTGAAAACTATGATAACAACGATGAAACCGAGCTTTAAAGGTATCGAAAAATATGTAAACCAAAGGCGAAAACCGGGATATAACTCGGCGGATAGCTTTGTACGGCAAAAAATACAAATATTGTTTTTTGCATAATAAGCCTCGCTTCCATGTTATGCGAAGGCGCGGTTACTAAGTTTCGCAATTGGTCTATTTACTTAGTTTTTTCAAAGATAACATATATAAGGATTTAGACTTTTACGTGCGTATGAAAAATGCGTAAGTATAAAGCAGCCTTAAGTATATTTCCATTCATTACATGACACATGACACGTCTGAAACGTCATATATAAAGCATGGAGCAGAAATTCTTTCTTGTGCTGATTAAAGCCTGTTCTCCACCAGGCGAATTTGTTCGCGCGAACAGGTAAAAAGTAGGAAGCGATCCTACTTTTTCGCGGCGAATTTTTTCGCAAGCCAATCACATCACTGGATTTCACATATCGCTTCGTCGTGCGACTAAATTTGGCCAGTGGAAAACGGGCTTTATGAGAGACCTTCGAGTTCGGCGAGTGATTGCTGCTTCCAGTTACATTGCAAAATAATTCAGGCAATTTGTGCGAGTTAATTGTTAAGTCTTGTCACGAGCCGGTTTAATTACGCGGTTTTTAATGTATAAAAAAATATTGAAGAGGGATTACAGTCTCGAAATAATTAAATTTTTTTTAAAGAGCGAAAAAAAAGCGTAACAGGAAATTGTTCAAGAGACGTGACTCTTCAAAAAGCGACTTTTTAATCAGACTGATAAAAAGATAATCCCTACTTGATTTATGGCGCAAAGTAACCTGAGCCTCGTTTTATTTCCATCGTCACCCGGCGGGAAATGCGAGAAAGCTTAAACGGAATGCAGGACTTGACAGAAAAGGCATGACTTGACAGAAAAGGCATGACTTGACAGAAAAGGTATAACTTTACGATGCAAAATATAGATTAGTAACTATAATTAGTATAAAATAGGTCGTATATCCACAAGCAATCGCGTTGTGAAAAAACAAAAGGATTTAACTTGCAACTTGCAATGCAATTCTATTTTTCAGAAATGTGAATCTGGCGACCTTTTCGTGTTTATACACTCCACGAATGTTTTCGTATATATGCATGCATTTCGAAAACTCGCCACTAATTTACATCTCCTAAAAGTAAAATCACATTGCAAGGAAAATTGTATCGTGCAGCACGGGCTTAAAGCAAACTGTAAACAAAATATGGAAACAAGGGTACACTATAGAACAGATAAATATCGCAGCTCACAGGAATAAAGGAAAATAAGTGAATTATTAGTAATATTCTTGTATGTTTGCATGGTGACATCAATAAGTAAATTAGCTTGCAGGTACACCACGTAAGTGTTTAATACTGCAAAGCTTTCGTTCCGACCCGGGCCTTCATCAGTGCAATGAAAGCCAGGGTTATTGGACCGAATGCCTTGCAGTATTAAATACTTACGTGGTGTACCTATATAAGCTAATTTATTTAAATTATTAGTGTTGTTATATAGGACTGGGTAAAAAAGCTTTCTCCTCCGCAGAGGCTTCGAATGCAAATGCGCTAGCTAGACCTTTAAAGATGACCGCTGCTGCCGAAATTAGAAACGCGGGCGAGGGTTGGGGAGGGAAAAAATTTTCTTAAGAGGGGTAAAAGTGGGATGATATTAATTCAAAACAGAGGAAACGTTCGTGAATATGATGAAAGTGAATGGTGCTACCTCACGAAAAGTTCGTATTCTGTCCTGTCTTTTAATGCTATCGCTGCCAGGCTTCTACCCAGGCGCTTTTTTTTGTAATGATTATAACGGTTGCACTCAGCTACTATATAGAGATCAGTTACCAAAGAAAGCGCGAGCGCGCGGGGGTGCTCGGGGTGCTTTTTTAAGGTGGTTTTAATCTTTATAACCTTTACGTTTCCACCAAAGCGCTTGGGTACGAGGCTGTATCGCTGCTCCCTTCTACCAGAAATCGTCTGGTTTCATTCACGCTTGACAGAACTATAAGATGCACTCCAAACCTACTACCTTGTATTCATTCCGAAATGGAGCCAGCATTATTTAGTCATTGGGATTTGAGCATACGCTGGTTAGTCTAAGGACTATCAGTAATGGCTATTGTATATGTCTTTAACTAAGTCAACATATTTGTAAGATAATTTTCTTATTTACCTTTCCCCTTTTAGCTCTCAAGCGCGCCATGCGTGACGGTAGTCGATTATCAAGCAACTTTGAGTTGCGATATCACTCTGCTTAGAAGCGATTTTGTTTGTAAGAAAAGCTTGCCGATTCTTTTTGCTTCCTTGTTAAACTAAATCGCTCCTGAACATGGCGAAATCACAACTCAAATTTATAATCAACTACCGTCACCCATTGCGCGCTAAGCCGCGCTTGAAATGGCTAAAGAAGGAAAGTTCTATTGTTTGTTATGCATAGTTGTTTGGTAAGGAAAATTTTCAACGCCTCATGCACCCGCCCTGCACAAAGCGGCTAAGGAGTGGGGACAGGCACCCGCTCTTCGGCCGCCTCCTCGGTTAGTCATTCCTGTAGTCTGTAGCTGACATGCATAACTATTTCCAAAAAGTCATATTGTGATTTCGAATATTTGGAATAGGTTTAACTTTTATATAAACTCCTCGACTGCATGTTTTATAGTTACGAGGTAAGACCGTATTCAAGGCGGTTTCAATTTTTGACATACAAAATATATCTTATCTTGTGCATGTGCAGTATAAAGGTACCGCCGACACCGAGCGGACGCGACGCGGCAAATCCTCGCAAAAGCTATCAAACACGTCTTTTTAAACTCAACAAAAAGAGAGTCATTTTAGAATTGACATTAATCCCTGGTCTGAAACAGTATATAAAGAAAAACCGACATTTCCTGTGGATGTTTCAATAAAAATTTTACGTGCCATTAGGGTAAATGAAGTTGTTAAGCAACCAAGATAAAATTATTATGTTTAGATTGGGGTAGATGTCTACTAAATATGTTACGGTTCTTATCACTATCAAGTTTAGTTTAGGGATAGAATTAGTATTAAGAGTATATTCATTGGTGTAGCCAGCCTGACGATCTAGTCCCTCAATCCGAATTTTACGTTTTTATAATTAATTTCTTTAGAAATGCATAGATTTCATAATTATGCCAACACTGCATGATATTAGTATAACACTATAACGGAATAAATTTGTCAGGCTGGCTTCGCTATTAAGTGTATATAGCTAATAATGCCGGATACTTCTTTTTTTTGTTAAAAAACAAAAGCTTGTTATGAACATACATACAGCAGGGGCCAAGGGATTATTCTAAGCAAATGTTATATTACGTGAAATAAAATTTTAAAATTTTCTAAATAAAATTTTCTTAATTTTTCTATTTTGGGACACGGCCAGGTGGTTTGTTATAACAAAATTTTCAGCTTTGCAGCCTTTGATAGCAAATATATCAAGTTGTTTGTGATCCTTAAACCTTATCATTGGGCTCATCAGTAATGGAGTGTGAATCTATATATAGTTCGCAATTTTTTATTCTACTCCAGAAATATCACAGCTAATTAAAAAATGGAATAGAATCGAGCATAGAGTTATCATACTGACAAACATTATGACCTAGTATTAACTAGTATGTATTCCCAATATATGGAATGTTTAGCATGCTTAACATTACAACAATTAGAAACGAGGCTAGATAGGGCCGCGGTCGCTAGAATATTTTACTTGTGGACAGGAGTGCTTATTCGTTAACTCATTTTCAAATATAGCCTCTTGGGCTTAAGCAGTCAGATCGTCGATCTTTGCCCAAAAGGTTTTTTATGTTATAACAGCTATTTTTCCTAATATTTTAGTTTGTTTTAAAATGAATAAGCAAAGATATAACTCAAGGCAATGTCACACGATCAGAATAATCTTGAACTTAAGATCTCGTAAATTATTGCGACTAATTCTAATGCTTGGTGTTATGAACAAGACACGAAGTGACGTCTAGCTAAAACGCGTCAAATATGGCCTGGCCAAATATTTTCTTTAATATATTTTCTCATAATATTTATATTTTTTCATCATATTTTTTCAAATATTTTCTCATGTTATTTCAAAGGTTTTTTAATACGAATTTCAGCAGACGATAAATTCATTTTAATTTAGTCTTCTCCAGGTGTTGCATAGCACATCTTTATAAACACATGCCAGAATTGCCTGGCATGTTGCAAAAAATATCATCATTTAACATGTTTAGATTCTCTGGGCTGGTCTGCATGAGGAACCTTCATAAAATCAATCTAATTTATCTGCCCTGTAATTAATATTATGCCATATACTGAAAACATTACAAAATATATTGTTTTGTGACCCTATCATTTTGTGCCGGTAAATACTTGTTTTGTGTCAAAGCAAGATATCTTAACATATCTAATACTGTAGCCAAGCCAAGGGTATATTATACAGCAAGAGTTACAGTTGGTGTGACCTACAGCTTGACGTCAGCCTAAGGCTACTAAGTAGTCATGTTTATATTATCACTACGGCACTACCAGTATTTCAATTTATGAACCTGCTATCAAAATTGTCACACAACATCTAATTATTACAATATAAATAGACTGTATAGTAAATTAATATTTAAAATTTTAAGCAATCACAATTATTTTTTAATTCAAAGAAAAATCAGGGAGTATATATAAAATAAAGCTCTTACATTGACAGTTCAAAAAATTGCAATATGATAATTTCATGTACCCTTCCTTGCTAGGACTACAAATTTAAATTGTCTATAGAATGTCACCTCTCGCCATGCAGTGGTATAGCTTATATATAAGTACACCGGCCGGCCATTAACTCACAGGCGAAAATGTATTTTTTTGATATGATATAGCATTATATCATGATAATGTTTCAGTCATAAATGTAGTTTTAGCCAGACTCAGAACTATAATTATTTTAGCTAGAAAATATATAAACACATGCATTAATCTATCCATGCATGCACATGCATGCACACAAATATATCATCTGTGTAATTATATATCATTACTGCATATATAGCAAATTGAAATTTGTTTTGGATTAGGACTACATTTCAGCATGGCAAATTGCTCATTTCAAACTGCAAAATATTGCAGTTAGATATACTTATAATATTCTAACTTGCATTAAATCAATAAAATATTCACGGCATTGAACTTTTTCAAGTGTCATATTACAATTTTTAAAAGTGTTAATTTATTAGGCCAGTATAGGTAGACAGAATTTAGGTCATTATACCTTTTCCTATTGGTAGCAATTAACAGCTGTAAGAGGGCAAGAACATGAGAGCTCTGAGAGGAGCACAAGAGAACTCTGTTGCCGAGCAATATAATGAAAATTAAGGAAAATGCCTGTGAAATACAACCTGTGAGAATGCCAGCTAGATTGTCATATTATGTGAATATGCATGCTTATTAATTTTTTTATCCAAATACACTAAAATGTAATTACAAGGAGTTTGAGTGGGGGGACCCAAATCCATAGAAAAAAGTATGTATATGTAGTGCCCTAATGGCCTGAAGCATGAAAAATAAATGTGGGGAAAAAAAGCTAAGAAAGAAAATTAGTCTAAATAGCCACACAAAACAGCAGTTAGAAACTGCAGGGTGAACTTGGATACAACAACATACATGCAATTTTACCTTGTTTTGCAATATTCAAAAAAGATGATGCATGTAATGGCTGACCATTAATATTTAAATATGTACGTATTCCACTTAAATCGGAAAAAAATTAAAAGTTTACTACAAAAAGTTAGTTGTTTGAAAATCAATGATGTTAAAGGTTAGCTTGTATTGCTTCAATTGTTCTCATCCTGAGTTCACGGAAGTTTACAATTTTGAGTATAATCAAAAATTCAAGACTGCTACTGCTAATGCCGTAAATATTTACATTACAGGTGCAGAGTGCAAACAAATTCACACTTGCTTTTATGCGAAATTAAAAGCTACGCATCCATTTCTTTCAAACGTCTAATGCACGTTCTTCGTAAACGAAAACAAAAGTTTTGAAAACACGAGATGATATTCGGGAACAACGTATTGACAGAGCTGCAAGATGTCTTAATTAAGGCATCAGGTTAGATTGAGATATAATTTTAGCAAAGCTTGCACGCAATATCTTGCAATAATTATTTGTATTTTCATATTAACCGCAAGGTACTTGCGATATATCATTTTAGAGCTGAAGAAAAAAGCCTTTGGTGAATAAAGGCACAAAGGCTTTTGGAATAAGAAGTAAAGAACGAGATTCTAGATTATATTTAAAAAACACAGCTGTTGTATATAAGTATTACGCCTAATTACAAACCGTTCGCAAAATTGCAAAATTAACACATCCGTATCTTCTAAATAGCTAGGTTCTATTCTTACCTTTGATAATATTTGGGGACTTAATTTTGTCCGGTCTATAATCTTAACGGCGACTTTTTCCTTCGTCGTACAATGTATACCCAGCCGAACTATCCCTGGAATATTTAACAAAACAAATTTCAAAATAGATTTGATATGCTTATGAGTTTTTTTTCAGATACTTATACAAAATTATCCTTTGGTTTGTAAGGTTTGTGTGGCTGAACTGCAATATTGATACAAAAGCCGTCTCCTCTCAGCAAAATATGGGTACAACAGTACAAAATGTACTAAAAAAATAAAAGTACCTGTCTGGCCTTTCCCCAAAGTTTGATTCAGAAAGTAAGGCCCAATCGTCCTCTGCCTTTGGTGGTCCATTGCAGGAAAACTCTGCTATATTTCAACAATAATCATCCACGCAAATTTATATATTGAGATTGTTGTATTGTGAACTATTATCGAAATATAAACAGTCGATAATGGCAACACAAAGGCAAATTTGCTTGAAAACATCTGAAAATTTGAATTCACGTCCGGTCCGAATACAAAGTTTTGTATTTCCGGTCGTGACGTATTTCCACTTCCCGCAACACGCGTGGGAAAAACATGGAGCATTAAATTCACTAAAAGGCTGGGAAACAGCAGCAAACAATGGGTTATGGGTTTCACTCAAAAAATTTAAGAGCTTCATTAAAAACATGTCAGAGTAGTGTCAGTGGAGCGCCGAGGAAAGCCGGGGAATGTGCCGAACTCGGGAAACTTCCATAGGCGTAGGCGTAGCCAGCCAGCCAGGGCGGGCCGCGGGGGCATTAAGTATTAGCAAACTGAAAGGCTTTTTGCCAACTCATTTGGAAATTGAAGCCGTGCTTTGTAGATGCTTTGCGAATCCTTGTTAGTTTATTTTTTCAAAACATGCGTGTAGTTTGCATTTTAACTAAATTCGCTCCCTAAATCCTTCTTTGAATTAATACTTTTTACCCGTATTAGTTGAATCCAAAAGTATAAATGATAATATGAACTAATCTGACAAAGACATTGATAAAGACGTTCTTCGTCAAAGAATCTGACACTCTGTGAGAATTTTATTTACTTTTTCTGAGTAATCGAAAGTTCACAACAAAGGCCAGTTCACACGTCGCATTTTGCGTCGAATGCAATTCAAACAATAGATAATGAGCTTGTAAACCTTATTCATTATCGTCTCATTATCTATTTGTTTGAATTACATTCGACGCGACCAAAATGCAAAATGCAACGTAAGAACTACGCTTAAGTGTTCAAACCACAGAATAATTTTAGTTAATTTGAAATACATGTATAATGCAGGCGGTATAAAAATTAGACAGCAATGCACGAAAAAAATAGCCCCCGCAAACATAAAAAAATTATAGTTCCGTCAGTCCTGTTTTTATTCCAAAGTGATAAATTTCACATAAATATATTTTGATAAATATCAGTATATTTTTGCATTGATATATTCGTCTTATTCCTGACCAATTTCTTTAGAAACCTATTGTTTCTAGTTCCTATAGTATATAAATATATATGAATACGCACCCCCAATTTAGCCATGGTCTTGAGTGGGCTGCACGTTGAGTACCACATACGAATCCATGGTCACCAAGCTAGGCAAGTTCAAGCCCGTTGAAGGACGACTATATGTTTACATAATTTCAAATCGTTCACTGTCACATGTTAAATTTCGGTATAAGTGGTCATATGATAAAATTTGTTTAAAATATGCTAAAAATTATGGTACAATCCAATAGGCACACCTGCGTAATTACATAATCTTCAGGTAACTGAAGGTCCGATGTTGGGTGATAAATTTTTAACGCAACGTTAACAGAATGTCAATTAGCAGCACAAAATATTACGTTCTTCTGCAGGAGATGTCTTTGAATTCCTGGATGTATGCAATGCCGGTGCCGCAAATCTAATAACAGCTAGCAAGACCACAGTTACTTTACTAGAATGATTGACAGAGGCACAGAGCTTTTGATTGATCAAGGGTACAAACAACCTAAGCCTAAACAAGAGCCTCATCAAAAGAAACATGGGGACCTATGCATAAGTCTCCTATCCTTAAATATATCTACGGCAGAATATTTCCTGTCATTGTATTACTGGGCGGGGGCCGGATTAGAAATCCGCCCCACCTGGTAGCTACCCTCGTGGGAGGTTTCAGGTATATCCTCCACGTCACCACCAATTTATTCGAACATAGCAATTTGACCGGTCCCAGAAGCAACCTCGTGACCCAGGGTCTTTACTCCCCACGAGTAGAGTAAAGACCCTGGGTACGAGGTTGTCCCAGAAGACCGTTTAAATGTGGTTTAAACCTATCCAGTGTTTCGCAAAATTTCAAGCGGCGAACAGCACTAAAGAGGCTTGATATACAATGCAATTTCTCATAACTTAACGGGTGTAATGCAAACCTAAACGCCTTACAACCATTCCCAACCTCTATCGATGTCAACCGATTGCAGTGTTCGTTTGTAAACTGATTTACTTTGTTACTTCACTTGAGAAAAACTGAAAAAGTACAGTATCTACCTGTAAAGAAGTAGTTATTTTACTTTTCACTTGTGACGAAGTAAAATTTTGATAAGAAATCAATATAATTTTTGTAATTTTTATAATTCTGTAATTTTTTTGTAAAATTTTTTGTTAAATTTTGCACACCGGCCATAACCCTTGCATTAGCAAGTTTCTTTCGTCAAAATTAATGGTGATATAGAGAGAGAAAATAAATTATGTTATAAATTTGCCGGTTGTAAGGTTGTTATATATTTACCCCATAAAGTTATACCTGAGAATAGACAGGGGTCTTCTATTTTGATACTCCTATGTACAGGTTGTAAAAGAAAAACGCAACACTAAATATCTATGAATATTTGATCTTTTGCGACAAAAGGTCCAATATTTAACAGTTATTCTGCGAACTCAAGTCGTATATGAGGTGATAGCCGACGAGGCGCAACGCGCCGAGTTGGCTATCGGCCATATACGACGAGAGTTCTGTTTTATTATATACGCAAACTTTGTCGCCCTTTCGGTATGATATGCTATCTAAAGCTTGGATTTCTATTTCATTCAACTCCCCAAATCTTTCGGCCATTTTGTTTACTTTCTCTACTAGACAGATATGAGCTAATATCTGTCTAGTAGCAAACCAATGAAATTGCAGCATACCTCATATCTGGCGCTTGTGTATATAATAATCAAGAATATTCCAGTAGTGTTGCGTTTTTAATGCACCTGTACTGTGGTATGCGGAAATGTGGCGCAGGCATTCATAGTTTTTTTTCCTAGCGCTCAGTAGCTTCCTCGTTTCATAAAGGACAAAATATGTTGGTTATTTCATCGATGGTTAGTTCTTTTTGGTATATCATTGTTGGTGATTAAATAAAGGTGAGATTTAAAAAGCTATATATCGAACCATAATGCAATTAACTGATTGAGACTTTGGCAACTAGTCGTGATTCGTAAGATTTACCGGTGATCAGAGGTTAAAGGCGTGGGCTAATTAGCCTAATAGTTAACATGCACAACTGAACGAAAGCGTACGAACAGCCTCATTAACTCAACGTTATACGCGTTTAAACTGGCATAAGCTCGCTTGCTTATTGGTCGAAACGACAAATCATGAATTTTTGTCAAACATACAGGGTGTCCCAAAAAAAAGCAACCACTTAAATATGCAGAACATTAATACAGCTCTAAAGAGCAATAGATAAGCACCTCTGGGAATTGAAAATGGCTCACATTGCTGTAGTTCATTAAAGACATTGCGACCACTGAACGCCGAACGCACAAAATCCGGAAACAATACTCTTTCCATACGTACTCTTGGGATGTTTGCTTGAGAGCATACTGATGTCAGGAATAGTAATCTGAAAAAGCTTTCAAGTAATAGACTCGCGGTTAACAGTGCATGGTTTCTTTCTTCATTTGACCTGACATAGCTTTCTTCTACCAATTCGTTGCCTGCACTCAACACAGGTGTATGCACGGAGAATAAAATGTTACCTACATTTGCTAAACACTGCAGAGTGATTGCAATCACATGTAAATCGTCTGCCATAACTGCGGTTGATATGATTTAAAACGTACAAGTATTTGCATGAATATAGAAAATGGGCAAGGTCAATTTCCATACTTCATTGTCCTTCATTGTTATGAATGACAAATCACAAAGTTTGTTCACATAGATTAGTTCTTGGCGGCCCAATTACTATTAGCATAACTGAATATTCGTACGTTAAAGTTAAGTTGTGCATGTTAACTAATAAGTACGATAATAACAGTGAGTCATAGATATCAGACGCTAATCAAAACTGCGCCACGAAATTTAACCTCCATGTGGGCAGCTATAATGTATGTGTTAATCCCAATGGTAGAACGAAACGATTAACTCTTAGCAATAACCAATGAGACAACACTTGGGTTGAACGGTGCGCAGACAAATCGAACTCGAAGGAATTTGAGTATCGAACAAGTAGAATATTATAACTTTAATCCAGACGTTCGTGGGTTTGATAGACGTGAATTGACACAGAATTGTGGCAATTGTTAATCGTGGAAATCGGTTCGAACTAAATAACGTGACAATGCAAAAATATCTATCTAGTACTTAATATTAACACAATAACTCATTGTTCGTGCGGTATCATAAAAACATGCGACTATATGAATGGAAGTAAATCTATATCGAATACACTATGAATTAAGTCTAAATCTATACGTGGTAAATCATTTGACCAGTTCAGAATACCAAATTAAAACGCAAACTACGAGTAACCTAACTAACAAACAATTGTACTAGTACTGAAGAAAGATCAATATGTACTTACTTTGGTTTCCACGCGCACCGACGTTGACTTTATTGCTTTTGTGTAGAACGTGAAACCGAAACAAGTACACAAACGAACGTGAATAGAAATTTCTAAATTATACTAAATCCACCGACATAAATTTTGATGTCCTCTTACTAGGAGTAACACGTTGAATAGTGCCTTGATCTTCCTTGAGTCACGCAATTTTACTATTATCTACTGCCCGCAGGCATTTAATTTTACGAGCATGCTGATTGATATTAAGCGTTAGATAGCGTGGCGTCAAGGTGTTAGGACTAAACTTGCCTACAAGTAGGTGTTTCAAAACTAACATTCCGGCCCCTTAAAGGCGGAACCATGAGCAGCCTTTACCTATAGTTCTAACACATAAAGTTTTGAAACAAAACACAGATTATCTACTAGAGACAAACTGGACAATATTGATCTAATTGTGACTATTAGGTCCATGCATGTTATAGAGTCTACTTATCGTTCTGGTTGCCATCAGCTTCCTCCAACAACACAATCTTGTTCACCGGTCGTATGAGCTCACTCGTCCTTGTCTTCAACTTCACGGAGCGTACGAGACCATCGTTGAGGTTGGTATAAACTTCCAGAACTCGTCCAAGTGGCCAGAAGTTTCGTGGTGTCTTATCATCCAGGACCAGCACAATGTCATTGACTGCGAAGTTCCTGTGTCGTTTATTCCACTTCTGCCGAACCTGCAAAGTTGGAAGATATTCCCTGATCCAGCGGCGCCAGAATACGTCTGCTAAGTACTGTACTTGGCGCCATCTCCGACTGTATGCATCTTGCTTGGTGGTAGTTGTGGGGGGAAGTGTGGGCCCGGCTCTCAACAACAACAGGTGGTTAGGGGTCAGAGGTTCCATGTCGCGCGGGTCATCGGAGAGCTTGGTGATTGGTCGTCCATTTACGATTGCCTCGACTTCGCACATCAATGTATTAATGCCTTCGTCGTCCAGGATTTGTTCTCTGGTCACAGCCTTGATCACCTTTCGTGTGGTTCTGATACACCTTTCCCAGACACCACCATGATGGGAACCAGTGGGAGGATTAAATGTCCACTTGACATTCTTTTGTAGAAGAAATTCGTTGATCTGTGATTGGTTCCATTTCTTCACAGCTTCACGTAGCTCTTTCTCTCCCTTTACAAAGTTTCCTCCGTTGTCCGATCGAATTTCGTCTGGTTGGCCTCTCCTCGAGATGAATCTACGCAGGGCATTGATAAAAGAACACGTGTCTAAAGAGCTTGAGACTTCAAGATGGATAGCACGGGTCGTCAAACACGTGAAGAGGACGCCATAGCGCTTCACTGTCACTCGTCCACGTCGCACTTCGAAGGGGCCAAAACAGTCTACTCCGGTGTATGTAAAGGGGGGTTGGAAGGTGTTGTTCGATCCTTCGGAAGATGAGCCATTTTCTGTTGACTCACAGGCGCTTGTCGTTTCTTGCATCCAATGCATCGGTTGAGCACCCGGCGTACCGTCTGTCTGCCGTTGATGATCCAATAACGCTGACGTATTAAAGACAAAGTATACTCTAAACCAGAATGCCCGGCAAGATTGTGATGATGATTCACGATCAACGTTACGACGTGGTGATTCTTCGGTAAAACAACTGGGTGCTTTGCTTGTTGACCAATCGGTGCTCGATCTAGGCGACCTCCAACGCATACGAGCCCATGTTTCAAGATTGGGTCGAGCTTGAAAATTTTGCTGCTCTTCTTTAGCGCCCTTGCGTCCTTCGGACTTGTTTCGCTGTTGACTTCGCGGAGAATCTTTCGTTCCTCCTCGAAACACTTCTTCTGTACGTGCCTTAGAATCACAGATTCAGCATTCCGTAGCTCCTCTACATCGATGGGAGTATATGTACCGTTGGAGTCGTTCGCTACTGGCTCCCCGGCCCTTCGTCTTTTGATCTGACGTTGCAAATTGGTCTTGTATCGAAGGATCCATGCCATGATTTTTCTGAGGTGATTCCAAGATGAAAAGCGTTCAATGATCGAATCGATAGGATTTTCATCGGATTCTTTGGCGACTGTCGAGCAAACAGAAGGCTTCTTCACTTCTAAATCTGTATCTTCAGCGTTATTGAAGTCGGCTGGTCTCGTTGGCCAGTTTTCGAATGGCTTTAAAAGGAACGTTGGACCATTAATCCATCGTTCGAGGGCATCCGGTTGAACTCCTCTCGACGCATCATCCGCGGGGTTGAGCTCTGTGTTCACATAGTGCCACTGAGACGGGGAAGACGAGTTGTGAATAGCAGCGACTCGGTTCGCTACAAATGTTTGGAATCGTTTGTCTTCGTTCTCGATGTACCGTAACACGCACGTGCTGTCGGTCCAAAAGAAGGATTGATTGATATGCAGGCTGAGCTCTCGTCGGCACATTCCGTCTAATTTCGTCGCTACGACTGCAGCTGATAACTCCATTCTTGGGATAGTAAGTGGTTTGATCGGTGCAAGTCTGGACTTGCCCATCACGAAGAACATTTTACCTTATACCTTCGTCTTCGATTCTTAGGTACGATACAGCGCCGTAACCGTGTTGCGAGGCGTCTGCGAAATGGTGTAGTTGGATTGTTTTAATCTCTCCGTGATCTTGGGATTTAAAACAGCGGTCGACTACGAGTTGCTCTAACTTTGGCAGTTCTTCGAGCCACGATCGCCAGCGATTGAGATGTTCTTCGGGAATTTCTTCATCCCAACCTAGCTTCATGCGACAAAGGTCTTGAAGGATAAGTTAGCTTGGAATACAAACGGGGCGGCGAACCCGAGTGGATCGTACACCGAGCTAATGATCGACAATATGCCTCTTCTCGAGGGAGGACGGTCCTTTATAACGATGCTGAAGCCAAACTGATCGGATGATATATTCCATTGCGTTCCCAGAGCTCGCTCGACAGACCAACAGTTGAAATCGAGGTTCTTGACGATAGATGCTCTTTCAGATTCGGGGATCGCTTCGACGACCCTTCTTGAATTCGACAGCCATTTCGTCAACTTGAAACCTCCTCGGGCCAGCAGCTCACGTAGTTGCTGTGACAGATTAACAGCTTCTTCTTCTTCGCTAACTGACTTAAGGCAATCGTCGACATAGAAGTTCCTTTCTACGGTTTCAATAACCTTAGGATCAAATTCAGCCTGGTTATCTTTGGCGGTCCTCTTGAGTGCAAAGTTGGCACAGCTTGGTGATGACGCTCCGCCGAAAAGATGCACTCGCATTTCATACTCCTCTGGGTCTTTGGAGAGATCGCCGTCGGGCCACCACAGAAACCTGAGGGCGTCGCAGTCACTTGAAGGAACGCGTACTTGATAGAACATTGCCTCGATGTCCGCCATCATCGCCACCGGTTCTTCCCTGAACCTCGTTAACACGCCAACGAGCGTATTCGTAAGATCCGGCCCCTGTAACAGCTGGTCGTTCAACGAGGTGTCACGGTACTTGGCAGAGCAATCAAACACGACGCGAATCTTTTCGGGTTTTTGCGGGTGGAACACCGGGTGATGGGGAAGGTACCAGAATGATTTCAGCGGACCGATATCTTGTGTAGTAGCCTTTCTTGCATAGTCGTTCAAGAATAGATTGTCCATAAACTTCTTGTACTTTTCCAGAAGTGATGGATCTTGTTGAAGTCGCCTTTTAAGAGATCCTAGACGTCGTTGGGCTTGAGGCATATTATTAGGCAGGTAAGGTGGGAACTTTTTCCAAGGCATACCAATCTCGTAGTGTCCATTCACTAACTTTACTGACCCTTCCATTATGTTCAAAGCCTTTTTGTCATTCTGTGACATAGTCGATTCGAGTTCACGGTTCACGTCATTAAACTCCATATTACAAAACTCTTCGAAGCGCTGCTCCAGTGTGCTGTCTGCTTGAACGGGATTTGCTGTCGGGACGTCGACATCTTCTCTACCCAGCGGTCCATTCAGAACCCATCCGAATAGTGTTTTTGTGGCAAAAGGGCCCCCATTCTTGCTCATCCGTACCTCTTCAGGCTGTAGCATCTTTGGAACGTCGCTACCGATAAGGAGGCCTACGTCAGCATCAATGTGTCGAATTGTTATGCCCTTTAGGTATGGCCATCGTTCGATATCTTCTTGCCTCCCAATGCATTCTGCGCGAATGGGCAGGCTCTTGGTTGAATAAACCTTAGGGAGATCGACATGATTTCGTTGATCCAGATCGAAAACTTCCATCTCGACGAGAGAACATTCAACTGGGGCACCTTCGCCGAGCATCGTTGTCAGCGACAACTTCGCTTTTCTTCCTTCGTTGTTCAATGCCTTCAAAAGGCCTTCTGTACAAAAGGAGGTGTTTGAGCCAGAGTCCAAGAACGCGTAGGTTTCTACCATTTCGGTGCAACCTTTCACTCTAACTCGAACCGGAACTACAGCTAGACCCGTGACCGAGGACTTCTTCAACTGTTCCCTATTTGGAGATCTCCTTACGTAACCGTTGTTGGCAGAATTCGTTGATCCCTCAGTTTCTTCCTTTGTAGCTTGATTTGAAAGGGGTTTTTTGTCTTCGTGATCATTCGGTGTAGGCTTGGGATGTAGAAACGTTGAGTGTTTACCGGTGCATCCTTCTATCTTACAGAAACTCTCTTTAGGGCACGAGCGTACAAAATGTCCAGCGTTGAAGCAATTCAAACAAAGTCTCTTGTTCTTCACGAATTTCATTCGCTGATCAAGTGACATCTTCCTGAACTTTCCGCAACGAGCTAGCCAGTGGTTTTCATTGCAGGGACATATATTCTTGCATGTCCTGCCGTCTTGGTCTTTGCCACCCGCTTTGTGGTCTCCTTGGGTTGCAAAACCGTTTGCTCTTCTGTCGTGCGTTCTCTTTCCCTTTGTTTCCTCTTGTCTTCCCTTGTTTTCGTTCACAATCTTCCCGAAGACTGGGTGGGTAGCTGCTCTTGCCTTAACCGTTACGAACTCTGTGACATCGTTTATCGTGACATCTCGGCCTTGCTTAGCTACGATCCCATCGACAACATCCCGCCACTTCAGTCTCATTCCAAACGGCAAGCGGTTAATAATCTTTCGTAGGTTCTCGGGATGGTCCAGTTTCGTCAGGGAGCCGATTTCTTTCAAGGTGTTGGTGCAACTTGTCAGTTGGATTGAAAACTGGAGAAGCCCATTTCCATCTTCAGCCTTGATTGGTGGTCCTTCTGTCAGTTTTCCTATATGCGCTGCAGCTATTCGAAAACTCTGTCCGTACCTTTCCTTGAGTAAACGTCTTGCTTCGTTGTAACCCTTCTCTGGTTCCATGGACAAACAACTCTTCATGAGTTCCTGGGCCGGCCCAGACGTGTACTGTACTAGGTAATAGAGGCGGGAGCTGGAACTTGGCGTTTTCGTTTCGACAAGATGTTCGAAACTTCGGATGAAGTCACAATATTCGATAGGATCTCCGTTAAAGATCTTCATGGTAGGTTGTGGTAATGTTAGCGCTGTTACGCCTTGCATCTGTTGCTGAATCATCTGTTGAAGAACAACGTTCTGGCGGTCTTGGGTTTCCATTAGACGCTGGAACGAGTGATCATGAGGGAGCGCACTGGCTGGAGTCCACTCCGGAGTAGTCGGGTTTAGCTGCTGACTATTGAACGCTTCCCTTTGTCGTAGGCTATTCTCTGTAGCATGTGGTTTGAGAGATGCCGGTTTATTTGCGCGGACGTGTTGCTGAATCGACTTCGCCGCAACGTGACGCGAACGGGCAGATCGGTTGGAGTTAACATCACTAGCTTCAGATTGTTCATAGACATGTTTCTCTGCTTCCACGGCAGCTATTTCTGCTTGAAGTTCGACTTGGGATTTTTTCTGTTTTATTTTGAGCTCTTCCAATTGAAGTTCATGCAGTTTGTTAAGCGCATTCGCTTTCGCTTCAAGCGCGGCTTGTTTTGCGGCAGCTCTTGCCCTTGCGCTAGACGAACTCCTAACTGAGGTAGCAATTGATCGTGTTTGAAAACGCGACGACTTGTGTGATCCGGCAGTGGAAATAGAATCCTCTGGTTGAATTTGGTTTTGGCTTTCTTGCCCAAGTTGAATAGCCGGTTGTTCAAGCCACGATTGAATTTTCGTCCTATGCTCCGAAACGAGTTCGTTAACCGAATTAAAATACAATTTAGATTCCTCGACTTCATGTTCTTCCTTGAGCAAATTATGGTAAGCTTCATGCGCAACTTCGAAATGTTTTAAAACTTCATCTAGTTCCTTAGCAATTTCCTTTACAGAATCGACATTGTCGCATGATGTCAGTATCTCATTGACTTTATTAGCCTTTCGCGTTACGTTTCCTTTTGCAATACTTCTCGCCTTTTTTAATTGATCCATGATATGTTCAATATCCGAGTCCATTAAGACGCGTTGAGTGATTTTGACGTTTTAAATTAAGATAAAGTTCTCAGGAAATAACTGGCATTCCTTCTCAGTGCCCGGAGCACGAAACGAGAGGTAAATTCTTCAAATTCTTTCAGTGTGAAACAAATTCGAACTTAAATGTTAATCCCAATGGTAGAACGAAACGTTCAACCCAAGTGTTGTCTCATTGGTTATTGCTAAGAGTTAATCGTTTCGTTCTACCATTGGGATTAACAGTATGTAGCAAGTAGGGGTCGTAATTTTAGACAGAATTGACCAATCAGAGTTGTGTATTTCCAAGCTAATTAGGAATTACCTTTGGGTAGGAATACAACCCTGAAACTGAATCGCAGAAACAGAAACTGAAAGCGGGAACTGAAACGGGGATAAACTCTGAAATGATGCTGTCTGTACAACAGCTTGGAACAATATTATGCTGATCTATTAAATAGGCTGCAACAATGATGAACAATATTGTTTAATAACTATGAACAGCAGGCGTAACACAACATTGTTGCACAATACAATACAAGATCATGATTTTACGCTTTCATGCTGGAGAGAAAAAAAAGTTTCTGACAATTCCGGATCCCAGGAGATTCCAATGACACTGGTTTCAAATCCAACCGTATGGAAATGCCCAAATAGTTTGCTTTTACAACGCAGGCTACATTAATTACAATTTAGCAAAGAAATTTAATTAAATGCAATTATAATAATATCCGTAACTTGCCAGCCTAGTTGTGTATGAATAAATAGCGTCATATATAACTTCCAGAACTACCAGACTGCTGAGTGGAAGTGGTCGAGACATCATCATCTTGGAAATCTCTTTCTCGATAGTCTATGGATCTCGTTTACCCCCCATTCTTTTATCAGTTTCTTCAGATCAGCATTGAAATTTTCCTGAACTAAGTCAATTTCAGTATTCTTCTTCTCTCCGCCTTTTAAATTTGCAGTGGTGCCCAAGTGCAATGCTCAGCTTATTTAATAAGCTTTAGTCAATAAAGCTTCATTCTGAATCACATTGACAAACATCTCAGTTGCATAAGCATTATGGCCATCGTTTGTCTTGAACAAGTGCATGCAACAATTGTTTGTGTAGCTGGTTTAATCTCAGGCCGTCCATTTCCTTCTTTAGCTGCATCTTTGAAATCCTCGAGTAAAAAGAGGAACTTTAGAAAGTGCATTGCATCGTTTGTTACCATGTCTGTATTTGTGCTGTCATTAGACGAAGAATCTGCATGGTCATCAGGATCTTCCACGGGTGGTAGAATGAACTCATCTATAAATTAGCCCAACATTTGATCCCAATATGCTTTCTTTAGTTGTTCATCTCTCAGCAACTGGTTGGTAAGTCCATTTCTTCTGGGTCGATCTTTTGAACAAATTTAACAAAGCTTCAACAGTGTAACACCTACCAACACTTATTAAAGGTTGTTAACAGTCTTCAAAATGCTTCATATCTCTAAAATAACGCAATGTTCCAACATCACGAGCTGGATTCTTGTATAGCTTCTTGAAAACCAACAAAATAAGAACACACCGAACATATGCAAATAATATAACAATTTTGAAAATTATGGAAATGTAAAATAGTGATATATAGGATAGGATGTTCCCAAACACTAGTGGCCTTAGATTACCTGTAAAGTGCCACATTCCACTATTTTCATATTACTTCAGTCAGTAAAAATTTGTGTTGCACGATGTTATATACTTTTACTTATTAGGGGAAGAACATTGCATCTAAATCAGTTAATGAGGCATGCATAAAAGGCTTAAGCTGTGACTATTTAGGGCATTACACTACACCGTCTACCTCAAGAAAACTTCACTTAGTGTGCCAGTTTACAAGTAAAGAATAGATACATTGGACCGTTGTCTGTTCAGTTATAGATACACGGATGGCTTCATTTGTTATTAGAACAAAAAAATGGCCACTAACCGCCGGGGCGAGTTTAATAAAATAAACCCCCGAAATTAAACAGCCAAATAGTTTCCCCAACACTTGGAAAATTGTCAAAGTAAAAATTTTGCAGATACCACGAGTACATGATCTATAGTATAGGATTGTAGAAATGTTATTGGCTAGCTTAAGACAAGTGCTAAAATATGATTGGCTGACAAAATGAACAAGCGATGACTGATCAAATTCGTTAAAATATTCTGTGACGTCATTCCGTGCGTCTGTCCTTTTAATGGCGGATTTCACGTATTGTTTTCAGTGATTTGAGTGGGGTAAACCTTAATTGCTTCGAACCTTATGTTGAACACAAGTGAGCAAATATAATTCTGAATGGATAAAATATGGTCGAGTCTCTCTTTCGCAGTGGGATTTCTAGGACGAGGCGAAGGTCTTGCAACCCGCCATTCGTACTCTGATGAGCTGGTCACCATAACCAGGAACATAAAATCATATTAATGAGAGAAATTGTTTAACAGAAAAATTCTTACAAGCAAAAAAATTACACATTGTAGAATAGTAATGAGAATCTGCCTTGAACATGCGGTTTAATATCAATGTGGTTTATTCTATGTACATTTCATCTTAACCCAGCTATACAATACAATACAATACAAAGATTTATTAGTATATCCCAGGAGGGATTTTCAATACTAATTTACAAGATAAAGTGGTATTACATCAATAAGATCTAAAAATCTAATTAAGAAGATAGAATAGTACATATTACATGAATGAATCAAGAAGTATAGACTATAAATTCTGTATAAAAAACTTGCAGGATAAAACCTTGGTCAGTAGGTTATATTATGTCGTATAGAAACAAGACCAAAGTTCGATTCTTGCAGAGCGTTTAAAACGAGCAACATTTGCACAGTTTTTTATTTCTTCTGGTACATTATTCCCATGTCTGTGATTTATGGGGTGGAAAAAATATACATGTGGAAAATTTTTTTAAGGAGAGTTTTTCCATTCCATGCAGCATTTATTTCATAGGAATAGTGAGAAAGCGGTTAACTACAGTATTTACTCACAATATATCACAAAACTTATTATGACAAAACTGTCACATACAAAATGTACAAATAATACAAAAACATTCCTGTCCACTACATAACACTGGAGGGGGCATTGAGGAGAAATAGGGGAGCGCGTTAATGGGGGGCAAATTCAAGTCCTGGATGTTCACTCATTCACGATGTCCGAGGCCAAAATAAGTCGTTTTAAACGAGTTTTTTTTTCCAAATGATTTCCCCCTAAAAATAAAATATCATTTCAGGATGTCTAAGGTAGCAAAGCCAGTTCAAAAAACACTGTTTTTCCTCAAAAAGCGACCTAGGAAACGAGTGTAAATTTTTAAATGCAAATTTTAGTTGTTGCTAACGTGGTTGCTAAGGAGGCATTGATGTAGCTATAATAAGCGCGTATCTTGTGGGACTTGAATTTGTCCCCTATTATCGCACTCCCTTTTTCGACTGATGTTTCCTATACCAATACCTCCTCTAGTGTTATTTATAATCTCTTGGTCTACAAGCATCTCTCGTATTCTCTCAACATTCTCCACCGTGCATTATTACACCACAAAGTCACACCACTTGTTTTTATTTCTTAAATATTTGATAGATCTGCCATTTTGTGGCGAAAATGGCGAATTTTAGACCGGTCCCAAATTCGTTCAGTACCGCGTAAACTTAGCTAAATTAGTGTTCAATTCAATCTATTTTATCGGTTTTAAAGGTTTTTCGATTTTAGTGAAACAGTTGATACTATAGCGCGGTATCGACAGTGGTTTCGCCAGACCGTATCAGATTCATCGTATCTTCAATATTGAAAACATCGAAACCCGGTGGGCCAAGGTGGAGATAGACGTCTTAAGGCTAGTTTCCACTCAGGAAAAATCTCCTTTGGATCGGAACGGACAGGAAAATTTCCTTTGTCGGTGAGTTCTCAGGCGGCGTTTATACAAAGGAAACTTTCCTGTCCTGTCCGATCCAAAGGAGAATTTTCCAGAGTGGAAACTAACCGTTACAGTTTACCGGATATGATTCTTTGTGTGCATATACCACATTACTCGAGTGTATTTGAGCAGAACGCGTTCGTTTCAAACAACTGCTGGCGTTCTCGGTTACTTTTGCCTTATGTTAAACCAGTTAAACTGCTTAATTGTAGTTCTCCGAATACATTTTGAGTACGTAGGGATCCATTTCCCCCCAAATTTGCTGGGCCGTCGCGAGAAGCTCAATTGGAGGAGTGCATAATCGTATATTTGTCTTATACCCGAGTAACCCGACTGATTTCCTTTGTTTGCTATTGTTTCTACGGTTGCACGAACATAAATATTTGACACTCCCCAATTAAGCTTCCAGCGACGGCCCTGGATAGCGCACTATCCCGTTTTGGGCCCCTGATATTAATCATTCACCATTACGTGATTTTATTGTCATGGTCACACATTGTGTCTATATACTCATATAGGCCAAGATTCTTACAAGATACTTGAATGTAAAGATACTTGATATTTAAGGTCAATGATGATCAAACCACGCGTAATATTACTTAGTATCGTTGTCAAGAACAAGAAGAGACGCTCAAAAATATTTAGTTGAACACTTCAATTTCTGTTGTTAAAAAACTGTACTGACCAGCAAGAAGGCTCGTTGTCTGTGTATTGCCAGAGACATAACCAGGAGGAGGCTGATATGTGTGTCCGAAATTGCCGCATGATGGATTCACGTGAGGGTTGTCACAAGTGTACCAATCTTGACCTCCACCAAAGCGTGGTCCAAAAGAAGATTGGCAGTAGATTGCATACCTTTCCATACCTTGCCTGATGTTGGCAATAAATGGAGGAAGTTTGTCTTTATTTCGGAGTGAGAAAATAAACGAAGAACTGGAATATTTATAAGCACAACCTGAGAAGAAAATAAGATATTAAATTAGGTGACGTTTGAGAATTCCAACTTTAAATTATAAATATATTTATAATTATCAGAGTTTGAGGTAGTTAACCAAAGCGCAATAATTATATATACGACCATTGACCCGTTGTTCAAAATATACGATTTCGTTGACCCATGCATGCAGGGTTATTGCAACAGTTATTTATCAAGTTGAATAAGTGGTTTTTAGAAATCTTCTCTGGTTTAATAAGGATTTTATTTTTCAAACTTCTAAACAAAACAACCTTTCATAAATGCGTAAAAAACAGCTAAAGAATTAATTAAAGTTTAACCCGCAGAAAATTGTGCTGTATGTATCAAACTAAAAATTTTAAATTATTAAAATTCCGAAATTTCAAACCTAAACGTAAAAGGGATTATATATTTCAACTAATTTGCCAATTTATTTACCATTTCTATTTAGTATTGTAATAGTGCTACTCTGAGTTACCATTGAAGTAGGTATGCTCTGAAAAAAGGCCCAGAAAACTAATTGGCTTAACAAATTTATTTAACTTCAAACATACGTGTCCACGTAAAGTAGTGCACACCTCTTTTGTGAAGCAGTGCACACCTCTTTTAAAAACCAGCTTTATTGTTTGAAAGATTTTGAGTGTGTACATAAAGTTTGAATGAATGAATGAATGAATGAATGAATGAATGAATGAATGAATGAATGAATGAATGAATGAATGAATATCATACCATGCAGTTGCTGTTAGGCTTGAATGCAGGATAAATCTTTTCCGCAGAAATTTCCAGAGTTGCAAAAAAGCTGCAGGTACGTGGGTACCACCCGGGGGAAGGTTTGCATTGAACGAGGTTTGTGAGGAAGGTTCAAAGTTGAACACTCTAATTGATCACGTGCATGTACCAAAAACCAAATATTTCTTCATACTGGTTCTCACTTGACTCAGTGACGTAACGTCATTTTGAGAAAGGTAGTCAAAACTTGAAATTCTACCGGAGGAAGGTTGAACTCTTTTTGCAACTCTGGAAATTTCGTAAACAAAAACTGGCCTTAATAAGACGATACTTTAGTGGTATATGTGAACAAAACGGTGGAATGTCGACCGTCCATGCACGGTCCACCGTCAATGTAATTGCTTCGGGGTGAGGATGCAGTTTATTTCTATAATTTTCAGCTTTGCGCATGCGCGACTAACGACTGGTAATCTACAACGTTCTGATTGGCTAAGACAGAAAGTTTGTATTTCAATGAGAACGTAAGTAAAGAAAACCATAAGTATCCGTCTGTGACTCTGTCTTCGACTACATTGTTTACGCGTGCGGACAGCTTTATACTGATTGTAATATAGAGGTTGAATGGGTCTTATTTCGAGTGGATTTATACACACCACAAATGTATGACTCCACTCGATCAAATTTGAAATTAAGACCCTTTCAACCTCTAGAATTTACCTACATCGAGTGAAGTGCCAAAAATCATAATTGATTGACTGCAAAATATATTGTTATATTAATTTTAGGTGAGGGTAAATCAGTTTTGATTTTTGGTACTTCACTCGATGCAGGTAAATTCTAGAGGTTTAAAGAGTCTTAATTTCAAGTGGATTTATTACAAACTTCAAATTCAAGCGAGAAACAGTTGATGGAAAAATGAATGAACTGTATAGGTCCCCCGGCAGGAATCGAACCTACGCTTTTGTGATGCCGGTGCAATGCTCTTGCCACTGAGCTACAGAGGTAGCTAACAAGAGCAAGTGTGGTTAATGTGCATATCATGGTAATGCCGCGAATAGGTGAGGGTGTATAATTCCACTCGAAATTAAGACCCTCACCTATTCCCGGCATTACCATAATATGCACATTAACCACATTTGCTCTTGTCAGCTACCTCTGTAGTTCAGTTGCAAGAGCATTGCACCGGTATCGCAAAAGCGTAGGTTCGATTCCTGTCGCAGGACCGATAGTTGACTCATTTTTCCATTCTCGGCTTGAATTTGAAGTGTGTATAATTCCACTCAAGATTAAGGCCCTTGAAACCTCTATGTTATATATATATATATATATATATTAATATATATATATATATATATATATATATATAACGTTTTTGAGACCGAGGAAAAGATTTCCCTATACGGGCCAACTAAATTGGTAAATTTAGATTTACTTTTTTCTTGCGGTCCGAATTCATATTTTAGAGTTGGCTCTGTGCTTTTAAATCTCGTCCGGTCTGTACGGCCTCATACGGTCCGCTCGCGACTTAGGCCAATGAACGAAGATTGTATAATAAATTATTATATTATTAATATTATACAATTACTCCATGGTTTCCGTGTTTAGATGGCCTGACCCAAACACGCGAAAATGTTGCGAGAGTTAAGAAAAGCGCGCAAAACACGAGCCGAAGTAATTGTTTTATAAAATAACAACGACAAGGCCTGAATTCAAATTCTTTAAAACTTTATATTTCCGTGTTTGGATGGCCTGATCCAAACACGGGCTTCGACCAATCAGAACACGCGTTATAAACATGTTATTTTATAAATATTATTAATATATATTACAGTCAGTAATGATAAACGCACGTAAACTGTAGTCGAAGACTGAGTCACAGACAGATTTCTGCGCTACTTAATATGATATCACTACACAGTACACACTATAAAACTGTTAGGGTCGACTGGAATAACAGAATAAAATAGGCCTTTTCTTTGCTTCAAATTTAAACTAGCTTTATGATTGTTTTTGTATCAAATGATGGAAACATTAGCTATAATATACTCGATAAAATATAATAAGACCTTTGAGTCATTCTATAATATAAGTTTAGGTTAGGTTAGCTCAGGAAATTACGTACTTGGTTTGAAATAGCGTGGGGTTGCTGCATGCATGTACTTTTAGTCTGCATAGAATTTATACTAGTCTACTTTTCGGTGTGTTTGGGGTCTTTTTTAAGTGATTTTGTCAATTATGTTGGCTATTCGATGCCATCAACAAGAAAGACAATGTGAACCTAACCTAATTCCCCATATTACCTAATTCTATGCGATGTTTTGATAAAAATATTTTATTAAATATTTTTAAAATTGTCCACTTTTTTCTGATATTGAGAAGATTTACATACTTGTATCCCAGTTTTGGTCAGTGTATCCACCAAAGATATAATCATCAGCTTTCACTAATACTACTGTCGGCCCTTTATTGTCACAATGTCTATGAAAATCTTGGCTACTCCAACCGTCTATGGAAGCACGATAACAAAGATTCCATTTACATTTCTCTCCTAACCATTTTTGTAATTGTTTCATCAGAGCAATCTCTCGATCCAAAATACTAGAGGACATTCCTAAGGAATAAATTCCAGGTTAAATTGGCCCAGAAGCATTGAAGGAAATATCATTTCCAAAGTACAGCATCATATATTATGCAGTGTATTAATATGCATTCTCCAGACACAAGATGTTCCATGTGGCACGGATGTTCCATGTCGTTTCATCAAATACTCTAGAACTTATTAAAAAAGGTGTTTTCATTCTGGATTAGAAATTATATTAATCCAAAAAAAGAACTGTTCAAATATTTCATCCGTAAATACAAATTATCCCGTCGAACAAGATGCGAATCAAGATTTATTTTTAGGCGCGCGTTCACAAATCGTACACTAGAGAGTTTATATATGATTCACGACGCGGCTAGGGAAGACGTGTTAGTTAGAAAGGCATGGTGACAAGCGCAGCCAACGCGTCTTGTGTGATTCCGACGCGTACGTTGCGAGCACTACGCTACGAACTTCAAATGAATATCGAATATTTTTTTCATTCAAAATTGGAATTAAGTTTTTACCTTTTATTGCTTGATTAATTTATTCCTTTAACTACATTTTCTATGGTATTGCCGTATTCAATCGTTAAATTTCGTACAAACCAATTTGTTTATTACATAGTGTTTTAATATACATCAGTACTCACTGCCACAATCTCTCCTCTGTGTCACTGCTAAAGCTCCCTATTAAAGGTGCTGTTAGTAACGACTTATTGCTGGTCAGAAGAGTTATAAAGCATGTTGACGCTCACTTGGGTTTAAACGCTATGCAGCATGCCCATCCTCTAAGACCAGAAACGTTTTTAACAATAAACCCTCGCCGAGAAGACAAAAGGCCTTGGTTGTTAAAAACACTTGGTAAACGTCATAAACGTTGCTCAAATGTATTAACCATTCTCACAATGACGAATATCCGTCATTTGGGGTGTTTAAACGCATTTCTTTAATGCGTTTCAACAATAATTGTAGATTATACAAGGGCTGCTTGCAGCCTGAAGTGTAATATTAATTATACGAGAAATACGAGGCGAGATTTAACAATGCAATATCTCTTTATTCACTCCAAAATACAGTGTTTAAAAGTAAACTATTAACATAACATCAAGTAACTAAATGTCTAACATAACACCGCTGGCTGAACCTTGGGCTTTGTCTTTGGAATGAACGACGTACCTGAAAATAACAAAATAACAATGCAACATAGAAGGGTGGGATATAAGGGTGGGATTGCATTGTTAAATCTCGCCTCGTATTTCTCGTATAATTAATATTACACTTCAGGCTGCAAGCAGCCCTTGTATAATCTACAATTATACTTCAAAATACTCGGCTCAATTTAACAATGCATGTTCAAAGCCCTTTATGTGTTAGCTGACAAGACAGCCCTAGCTGGAGCGGTATTAAAAGTTGGGCGATAATAGAATTTGATAAAAGTATTTTGTTGAGACCAGTCTGCAAATTGCAAAATCTCGGCTATCGAAAAGCCTTGTTTAGCTGCTTCGGTAGTGACAGCCCCGCGAAAGGAATGTCCCTTAAAAGTATTAGTATCAACACCGGCTAGATGTAGGAGTTCTTTCAACCACCTTGCTACAGTTGCAGAGGTAACTGCTTTGTGAGGATAAATGTAAGACAGCAACAACTTGTTGGGTTTAGATGAGTCAGTTGATCTCCATGCTGCTGTACGATTCTCATATTCAACGAGACATTTGCATACACATAAAAGGTCATTATCGGGAAAACTGGCATGAAAGCAACATTTTAAGCTTTCGCCCGATTTTGTATTTTTCGTTAGGTCAGGTAGTTTAAATTCAACGCCTTCGGGGTGCATGTACCTGAACCGTAAATCCCTGGCTGCAAGCCCCGAAGCTCTATCGGGAGCAGTTAGGGCTAGCAGGCCTACTAGTTTGTAGGTTAATATTTTGACAGAGAGTTGGTCATTAGGTCCCAACGAGCTGATGTACTGTACTAGCTTAATGACTGGCCATGTTTGAGTGTAGCGTGGCTGGGGTGGACGAAGGTTATACACCCCTTTTAGTAACTGGGTAACCAAAGGATGGGAACCCACTTTGTGGCCATCTATTAGAGGTAAACATGCGGAGAGCGCAGACCGGTAAACATTAATAGACCGATACTCTCTCCCTTCGTGGAACTGTGTTGTGAAAAAATCTAAGATGTCATTGATAGATGGTGAAAGGGGATTGATAGTGACCCTTTCAGCACACCAGCTACTCCACTTGTTCCATGCAGAGGAATAGGAGCTAGTGGTGTTTTTTCTCCAAGCCGCCAAGAGAATTTTTCTAGTTTGATCCGAAATTCCTCCTGTTTGGTAGCCACTGTTGATAGTAGCCACCCAGCTAGCTGGAGTTGATCCAAAGGGTGGTTGTTGCCCCTCTGGGTTAACAGATCTCCCTGATTTGGTAGAAGAAGAGGGAAGTCTATGCACAGTTCCAGTAAGAGGGGGTACCAAGCTTGGGTTGGCCAAACTGGTGCCACTAGCACAAGGTGTTCTACTTTCTGGCTCTGGATTTGATGTAGACACCGACCGATCATCGCAAATGGGGGAAATGCATAGCCCCGAAATGTCGCCCAGTTGAGGGTGAACGCATCCGTATGCACTGCCGAAGGGTCTGGTCTCCAGCTCACATAATGGTCCAACTGGAATGTCAGGCGGGATGCGAAAAGGTCGATGTCCAGAGGTCCCCACCTCTGATACAGGCTGTTGAAAACAGTTTGGTTCAGTTTCCAATCGCTGGAGTCTAGGAAAATCCTCGACTCTCGGTCGGCCTGTACATTCTCTATCCTGGAATATATTGGGCTGAAAGTAGCACATTGTGACTGAGACACCAGTCCCACAGGTTCTTGGCTAGTTGAGACAGAAGGCGAGAGTGAGTGCCCCCCATCTTGTTTATATAGGTCACCGCTGTGACATTGTCCATTAGCAGGAGTACCTGAGCTGATGCCCTGGATTTGGTAAAGCATTTGACTGCTAAGGATCCTGCTAGGAGTTCTAGGCAATTTATGTGGAGACTGCTCTCCTGTAGCGACCACCTCCCCCCTGTTGACACTCCTTGGCAATGGGCCCCCCACCCCTGGAGGGAAGCATCGGTTTCTATTGTTAAATCTGTTGATTGTTGGAGCAGGGCCTTCCCGTTCCATGCAACAAGATTGTTCTTCCACCACTGGACCTCCTGAAGGGCCTCTGAATCTAGGTTGACCAGAGCTTCGTAAGATTTCTGTCTTTTCAGAACCGAATTCTTGGCTTGCTGGAGGTATCGATAATGCAGTGGGGCCGGAAATACTGCCTGAATTGACGAAGATAGTAGGCCCAGGAATTTTGACAATTCCCGCACTGAGGTTACAGGGTTGTTTAAGAGTTGTTGACAGTTTTGAAGGACCTTCTTTATTTTGTCCTTTGGGAGACTCAAACTCATGCTGGCCGAATTTACTAAGAACCCCAGAAACTCGATCTGTTGGGATGGAATTAATTGCGACTTTGGGTAGTTTACCACAAACCCAAGTCCCTCCAAAAGATTGAGTGTTGTCGCTGCATGCTGTAGGGTAAGTTGCCTGCATTCTGCCATTATGAGAAAGTCGTCCAGATAAGCTATGAGTCGAATGCCCCTCTGACGTAAAACTGACAGAACTGGTTTCATAAGCTTTGTGAACACCCGTGGGGCACTTGCAAGGCCGAATGGAAGGCATGCAAACTCCAGAAGTGAGTCCCTCCAAAGAAAGCGGAGGTACTTCTGGTGGTCCCTCCAGACAGGTACTGTCAGGTATGCATCCTTCAAGTCTATTTTCACTAAATAATCTCCTTTTCTTAGCAGGTCCTTTAACATATGTATTGATTCCATTTTGAAATGCTCGTAAGGTATAAAATTGTTTAGGGGCTTTAGGTTTATAACTGGCCTGTGCCCCCCCCCCTTTTTGGGCACTACAAACAGGGAACTGACAAACCCCATATTGTTCACTGTGCTGTCTGAAATATAATGAACTGCCTGTTTTGTTAGCAGGTCCTGAACTTCCTGGTCTATCAAGAGTTGATCCTCCTGAGGAATATGACCAGTTATGGGGAATTTCATTTGGACAGGATTGGAAGTGAATTGTATTTGGTAGCCCTGGGCTACTTGCAGGACCCAAGGGTCGCTTGTTATTTGCTGCCATGCCTTTAAAAAATATTTTAGCCGACCTGCTACTGGTTGGTTGCAAAAACTTATAAGATTTTGAAACATACCTGGTGGCAAATGACGTGGGCGTTGTGGTGTTACTGTTTTTGGTGGAACTGTCGAGGGGAACTGAATGTGTGTGCTCTGCCTCGACCTCTGAAGTTGTTGGGTGGGAATTGGTTCCCTCGCATTGAATGAAAGAAGCTTGGGCGTGTCTGACTTCTGCCACCCCGGAAACGCCCTTGAAATCGCTGGGGGGCAGCCCTTGGAAAAAACGGTCGTCCCGCTTTCTTCGCCTGAGCGACAGTGTTGGCTGTCTCTGTGCGGAGCTTGAGTCTGGATTCAAACCCCTGACCAAATAACTCCTTTCCCGCCTCAGGGAAATCTTCTTTGCCCAGTGATGTGAGATACGGGTTAAGTTTGGTTAAAACCTGTTCCCGGCGTTTTGCTGACAATTGAGCAGAGGTATCCCCCACTAGAAGGATAGCTTTCTTTATACAATTAAACATTGCAGAAACTGAGGCTTTATCCAAGGTAATGTTATCTTCGGTAGATGATTCATGTAGGAGATTAATGTTCTCATATAATGTGCACAACGGGCCCAAAATGTCAAGAACCTTGTCTTGCGTTTCTCTGGTCGCCGTGTCTGACGTTTTAACACCGCTGATCATAGATGGTAGATAACTATCTAGACTTGGAGTCCATGCTGCATCACTAACGGGTCTGGGGAATTCACGAATGATTGCCCGGCGATCAAAACGGGGCAATGGTTTGAGCATAATGTTAAGCAAAGCGTCAAGTTCTTCGCTTGCTTCCCAACGTGAACTTACAGCACTAGCAAAGGTGCCGTCCAGTTCGCCTTGATCAGGCGGAGTATGATCATCGTTCTGCGACTGTGTGAGGTCGACTGTATCTGAGAATTTTCTCTTGTTATTTCTCTGCACCGTTTGGTCCAATGACACTCCGGTGAGATTATTTGCCGGCTGGCCCATAGGCGCTGCGACATTTTCTTCGTATGTATTTTGTCCGAAAATGTGCTCTGACAATCTTGGCTGAATTTGGCTAAAATTGCTTGTGAAAGAGTGGCAAGAACGGTTTGGTCAGCCACAAGTGTCTCAACCATCGATTTCGCCGAAGATGGTTCAACGATACTTACGTCGTCCGCAGGATTAACTTGGATTGCTTGAATTTCGTCTGTAGGATTTTCTGAACCAGCCATCTTGGACGAGGAGTGAATGAAAAAGACAAAGCCCAAGGTTCAGCCAGCGGTGTTATGTTAGACATTTAGTTACTTGATGTTATGTTAATAGTTTACTTTTAAACACTGTATTTTGGAGTGAATAAAGAGATATTGCATTGTTAAATTGAGCCGAGTATTTTGAAGTATAATAGCAATGTAAGAAGCATTTTTTAAGAGTCAATAGACCATTTGAACAATCGTGAGAACAATCGTCATCGTGAGAAAGGCTAATTAAACGAACTGAATGATGAGGTGTATTAACAATATTGTAGGTATTAACATACGTTTTAACAATCCCAAATTCCCAACAATGCCATCGACATTGACGTTTCCAATATCATCAGGTAAATACTGAATATCACCATCATTTACTGGGGTCAGATCCTCTGGTTGTGCATTTTTCAACTTCTCAATACTTTCATCAATCCTCTTTTGTAAGGAGAGAATTTCTTCAATACTTCCTCTCTTTAGGAGGTTTTTTGGCAAGGCTACTGAAGATTGGACTTTATCAACAAAATCCGTAATTTCATCACGTTGTTTGCTCAGCTCACTGTGTAATTCATCATAAACCTCATCCAATTCCTCGTTCATTTCCTTTGCTCTCTCATCAAGTTTCTCCGTCACAATCTTTAAGATATTTTCCTTTTGTACTTTGATTTGATCTTTTGTAGCTTTAGCATTTTTGTTAAGAGACTTCAGCGCATCGTCGATGTTACTCAAAGCTACTTTTCCTTCAGATAATTTCTCATCAAGTGTTGTGCAGCTTGATTGCAATGTTTCCTTTCGCTCATTTGTAATTTCACTTACTGCTACACATGAATGGTTTTGTTTCTGATGATTTAAAACCAAGCAGTGTATACAGCAAAGCTCCTTGCAAGTTTCGCAATAATACTCGAGAATTTTGTCTTGGTGTTTCCTGCAATAAACCTTCTTCCTTATTCGTAATTGACTTTCGGGATTGCCCAGTTCATCTACTGATAGTACATCATGGTTTTTCAACCATCTTCCATGAGACGCTGAACATTTCTCACACATAAAAATCTCACATGATGCGCAGTGACTAATGGCAGGATCTTGGCAGTGCGAACATGCAGCAGACTCTTTTGCTTTTTCTTGGATCTCTTTAATTTCTAACATGTTCTGGATGAAACAATTGTCTGGCATCTCAGCGATATCTTGGGTTGATTTGAGCGTAAACTCTGAGCGACACGTAGGACATGGAAATATCTCGACGTTCTCCTCACCACCACTGAGGCGTTCAACATACTTTACTAAATAATAACAACAGAAGTATTTATATGTGCATCATACAATGATAAAAATGCCAGCATGAATACCACAGAGAGCAAGTAGAAATTGAGCTGCTTAATCTGGCTAAAATTTCTAAAATGCATCTAAATTATGATAATTGTAATCATAGTCATTGTCTATGACTCAAGTCAAATCAAAAGTTTCCTTTTCTCTATTATACTGCTTCAGAAATATTAATATAATAATATGGACAAGCCAGTGAAAATGCTGTTTGTTAACAATTAAAGTTAGTACATGTGTAATAACAGAAAAGTTTCTTAATAAAACATAAAGTTATATAAAGTCATTCATGTGAAGGCGTGACAACATCTGAAATGTCCCACAATTAATATAATATAGGAAACTGTATATATATAGGTATTTCCTTCTCAACATATATACATTTGAATTTTCAATATTCTTTGATAAAATTTTATTCCCAGCTATACGCCTATGAGATTGAAGTGTTTGCACCAATTATCCATATTGTCTAAAATGCTGGATGCCAAATTCCAATGCATTTAATGCAATGAAAGGATATAACTATACCCCAGCCGCCTCGGATATTGTCCCAAGACTTTACTTCTCCACAAAACTATTTATTATATTGCCTCGTTACACGCCCAACAACATATTTCATAATGCAGGTGTGTCTTTAATTATTCACATATATTAACATTTGAGTTCCAATTGGTCACTACATGTACTAATAGACCATCTGAAATGGTTCAGATGTTGTGACCATAGAATAGCCAATAAAACTTAACCATTTCAGACCATGTGATTTGAAATGGGTTAATTTGCATACAAGCTGAAATGGTATATTCGGCCTAGAGATTAGGAATTACACCAGGGTATAGGAGAATCCAAAGTTGTCCGAATTCTATGTTGTGGACCTAGGGCCGGATTAACCATATGGCAGAAGCGGCATATGCCACAGGCCCCGCGGTTTTGGGGGGCCCGCGCTTTACTCAGTTCAAATTTTTTTTCGGTGCGTGGCAGACAGAAAAAGGGCCACAAAGCCGCAGAGCAACAAAATAAAATAAAGTGACTCCAAAAAGGGAGGCCCCATAAATAAATAAAAATGCCTTTAAAGCTTATATTAATTAAGCTATCGGAGCAAAATAAATAACGCGAAGCCTTAGAAATCAAAAGTCGAGGCCCAATAAGGCACGGCCCTGCAACCAAGGGTAATGGGAAAATTTAGAAATTGAAAAGGGGAGGTCAGAGGGGAGGTCAAAGGGGAAATTGGCCCCTTGCCCAGGGTTGTAAGGGTCCCCAAAAACCTGCAAGAATAAAATTAAACTGCATGTTGTTGGAAATATATAGTGGCCTCTTTCAGAAAACGTCTTAGGTTATTTATAGTTTAGGTAATGCAATATTATACTCGATTTTGCAGAAATCTCACCCCCAAAACGTAGGAAATCGCATTTGCTGCACACTAAAACTCAAAATTTTCTTGGGGAGGATGCCCCCAAACCCCCCTAATACTGCTATAGCCCCCAAAATTGAATTTTCTTACACCTCTCAATGTTCTGGTCATGCATTATCGTGCTACAGTAGTACAAATTAGAATTTTTTTTGCGGGTTTTACCCCCTTTTACCCGAGCCCCAAAAATTTTGATGCTTTACGGGGTTGAGGGGCCCCGCGCTGAAAAAATGCCACGGGCCCCGCGCTGAAAAAATGCCACGGGCCCCGCGAAAGGTTAATCCGGCCCTGCAGTGGACCGTGGATGTTGAACTTTCAATGATCATGGACTCATGGTGTTTGTACGGATGCACGACAAAAAGTTTGTATTTTAATAAAAAATGTCAGCAATATAACTGTCATTTTGCAAGCTATTTTCTTAAAAAATGTTTTGCGAACTCAAAATGAAATGTGGATTCAAATAAAATCATAAAACAACTGGAAGAACACAAAGGAAGTTCAAGACTAGCAGTGAAAAGAAACAATCAACTCATAGTTTATATATAGTTTATCCTTAAAGTGGTAGGTGACAATTTTGTTTATTTCATGTTTGCTATAAGAATGCATTTTATTTCTATAAGTATATGAGCTTTACATCATCATTTTAACTTCCAAAAGAGTTCTTAAGAGTGAAATTTGGAGTTTTGATCTAACAAAGGTCACTTTAAAACTCTTAGAGAGCCGAGCCGAGTCAGCCAACCGCAATTGCTGCATGAATTCAATAATAATAAAAAATGAACTTTCAATGTTGTTGAGGATTTAATTTGTGCTGTTTTGAAGTCTTAAAGCTATAGTGAAATATTAACTCTCACTTAAACTATGAAAGTCTATAAACTGCATGCAATGTATGTAGCAGGAAAACAGGTGATCTTACTTCATCTCTACAAATTATGACTGTGTTTGTTTTCGAGCTATTGGCTTTATATTTAAGTCACTCTAAGCTTAGAAGTGTTGGAAACTGACAGATAAGCTGATTATAGACAAATGTTTCCTTTGCTTAATTATATTCTAGTTATGTAACAGTGATTGATCAGATGAAGGTGTATGTGGTGTGGTCAGGAGAACAAGAGAGTTAGTTGGACCAGGGCATACATAGTAAAATCTATGTGTTTCACTACGCCCAGGTTGGACTGTGACTTTCAGGGAGTGAGCAGAAATTGTGAGCTAGCAAATGTAAATAATAGCCTGTGTACTATCTGATTGTGTGAGTGGTGGGATTCATTTGGGAAATTGTTATATACTTTTAGAAATCGTAATTTAGTTAAAATAAATATGTAATTTGAAAACTTTGTAATTTGCAATATGTAATTTGTTGAGGGATCACATTTGGAAGCAAATTTTCAACAAGAGGGTTACATATTTCTAGTTACAGGAAAATCCCCTGTAAGAAGGCTAATAAACATCCTAAATTTTACCAACATATATCCTATTTACATATTTTAATTTTTATCCTATTTACATATTTTAATATTTTAATTGTGAATTCAAACTTGTTGGGTCTGGTTGGGTCATGTATTTATTATATTAGAGCTGAGCATCGATGGCTCTGCTGTAAATTTTTTCAATTGAACGTTTTGATTTAGATCATATGCATCACGTAAACATGAGAAAGACTACAAAATATAGATATATACATACATAGACATCCTCGGCAGAAGTTATGAAGACAAGTCAAGCTTCTTGAATCATGTAACAATTTTGAGCACAAGGAACAAGTAAGAAGATTGTTAATTTCATCAACAGGAACATTGTCGGAAGCAACATTTGCCATTTTTATTCCACGATTTTTAGTTCACCATAAAGATAACGCATGAATTTCTTCTTTCCGGGAACTTATTAGCCTGCACCCTGCCTGCTTCCGCCTGCACCTAGCCTTGGATAGCGGAGCTTACGGGAAAAATAGAGTAACTAAAAATACATGCATGCAGTATCATGATGCAGTATATATCCCCATTTCAGCGTTTTGTCCCCATTTTTGCGTTTTGTCACTTTTGTGCTCTACCATTTTGCTGGGGCAGATAATAAATTAAGCAACTAGAAATACATGCATGCAGCAACCCCTCGCTATTTCAAACCAAGTACACAATTTCCTGAGTTAACCTGACCTAAACTTATATTATGAAATGACACAAAACTCAAATCAGTCCTATTATATTTTACCGAGTATATTATAGCTAATGTTTCCATCATTCAATACAAAAATAATCATAAAGCTAGTGTAAATATTGCCCGTTCAATTTTGCTGCATTATACCATGCCAGCAATTAAGAAACGGTTTAAAATCGAAGTTTCAAACGATTAAAACAGTACAAAATCTTCACAGACAAAGAAAAAACTTCAAATGTTATTTTATTCTGTAATGGCAGTCGACGCCGGCGGCTAAAAGTTTTATACTTTATAAATATAGTGTGTATTTTTGATACCAAAATTCAAATTACACTTTCAAAAACACTTTTTGAAGTTAAAGCAAAGGTGTAATAGCCTTTCACAGGTTTATGCGTTTGCATAAAAAGCTGAAAATTTAACAAATAAACGGCATACAAAGCCGAAAAGTATACAAATACGGCTCATTCTTATCGCGAAACAAATACGAAATAAACAGAGTAAACACGTACCCTTTGTCTTTGAAAACATTTATAAGTTTGCAGATTATGAATTATTCCTCTTACACAGCTTTGTCTTGACCGTATCCACGTTCATCTTTGCTAACTGTCATGCTTCATATATCTTGTTTCTTCTCGTTTTACTTTCTTTGCACAAAGTTTATGAAACGCTTTTACAAAAATGTTTACGAAATGACAGTTAATATAAATTGCTGACGTTCTCATTGAAATACAAACTTTCTGTCTTAGCCAATCAGAACGTTCGTTGATTACCAGATGTTACTCGCGCATGCGCATAACTTACAAAACCACCCAACTTCGACCGGTCCGTCGACCGTCCATGACAAAGAATTTGGACAACTTTGGATTCGGCTATGTTCTACCGGGTTCCGGGTGTAATTCCTAATCTCCGAGCGGAATTAGTACCCTCGGGGATGAAGGATCACCTTAAATTATCCCTGGAATTAATTGAGACACGTTACCCAAATAGTGGTATAATTTTGGCTGGGGAAACTTGATTTTAAATCAACTGCGAAACTTTTTGATTTAAAACCATCCATAAATTTCCCTACAAGAGGAAATAACACTCTTGACCAGATTTTTACGAATCTTAAAAGTTATTATGAATGATCTAGCTCACAGAGGGGGGGGGGGGGTGTCTGCAAATCCGTTTATCCACAAAAAAATGTTTTCCAAATCCGGAAATCCGAAAATATTTTGGTTAAAATCTGGATCCGCTGAAAAATTTTCGATCTATACACATGACTCAGAGAGGCAATTAAGTAGTTCGACTGTTATGTATTTTTAGTTTATCATATGATAGGTGAGGTGATATAAGTTTTATCACCCGATGATCATATCTCAAATTGTCACGAGTGAGCCGACGCAGCGAACGACCGCGCGCCGCAATCTTGAATTTCTGCAACGGGACAGAAAGTGATATCAGTGACAAAAAATCACACAGTATCCCTATCTGCCCCATCTAAACAAAATCCATAATCCGTAGAAAATAACAACGTAAATCCATAGTCCGATACCACACGGCTGCTAAATCTGCAATCCGTAATATTTTCAGGATCCGAAAATCCGGCAAAATAGCGCGGTTAATCCAAAATCCGAGCAAGTTATTGGTCTGAATCTGTCGATCCGTAAACCTATTCACCCCCCCTTGACAGTGGTCCAGCGTTTGGCTTATCTGACCATATACCATTACCAGCAAAGCGTAAAAATCTACAACCCGAAATCACAGTGTATACAAATTGTAATAAAAGAGTTGACAGAGTATAGGCTTACTCAGGACTTGTGTATAACAATCATAATTATTAATCTTGAAATCAATACTGCATTTGTAAGTAAAATTTTTATTTAATAATCATTATTAGCATCACCAAAAATACAGCCTTTATGCCGTCAGTGAGTAATTCCAACTTCGGAAAGGTAATTAGTAGGAGCAAAAGGAGAGGGTTAGATGCAAATGATATTAACATGTACTTATTGCTTTTTTTATTCTTAAGAAATTTATCATCTATCTGCACGCAGGCTACATTTCGCATGCATAAAAAATGTATTGAAATTTGCTTCAACCATGGACACTGAATATCACTAGTCACTACTTCCACCAAGGTTAGTTAAATATGATTTTATGCAATCATAGGACAAAATTAGAATTTACTTTCCATATATATATGAATGATTTCAAAACGGTTAAGTATACGACCAATTTCAAAAAGGTTCCCCACATGACCTATTTAAAATTTGTCATTTTAGTGTGACGACAAAAAATGGTCTTTAAATGGCGTATAAAAATAAAAGTTGTTCATTGTTCTCCAACACAACGTATGATGATCAACAAAGCTCATTATGGCGATTTCAACAAAAGTGGGATCTTTCATGTCAATGCATCTGTCGATTAGAATTGTAGTGGACAAGCAATTTGTCAGGTAAAATCTCATTGTGGTGGGAAAAGATCTTGTGAACTGACAGTTGACGATAACTATACTATCATCACACTATTGTCCTGATACTACAAAAGATCTTTATGTTGAATACACTTGTGTGGATAACTGTATGGAACCCATAACAGCAGGTAATATGCGCAGTAATAGAATATATTCTAGTGATATATTTTATGAAATAATGTTTCTCCTTTAGCGTCCGGCATACGATTGTCAAAGTTGCCGAACGAAGATTTCATTGAAGTAAAGAATGGTTAAACTTGGCGAAAAGTTAATTCCGGTAAAGAATCGGGAAAATATGCTGTGTCAGCATTTAGGACTCATTGGAACTAGTTGGAACAATGTCGGTACAAAGGAGATTGGAAAGAGACAAATTATCGCAACCAGCGATCTTTGTTACAACAACACACAATCAAGCAATACCCCATGGTTGCACTAATTTTCTACTTGCACGGTCGCTCCTGACATCAAGTTGCCGTATTTCACATGTGAGGGCACAATCATAGAATAAGAAGCATAGAGATAACTGGCTTTTCCTCTTAAGATACAGTATATTACCATACCATTTTGACTATTTCTTCTTTAGGCAGTAAGATATGCAGGACGCATTATTACCCAACAAAGCTAAGTTTCCAGACACGATATTTCTGGCAGTGGCTCTACTGACAATAAGAAGTACAAAGAAGCGTTCAAGTACTCGTTCGAAAGTCGATAAAAACCCCTTGCGGCTCCCCCACCCCTTCAGAAAATATATTGCCAAATGCTTGTTAATTACGACGCACCTGGTCAACCTGACCACTTGCGTTCATAATACGCCTATATATACACACTTGTGAATAGGCAAACAATGTGTTTCACTGTCCCTTGAAAAGCTGAATAGAATAAAACATGCATTTCTTACATCTAATACAACAGTTCGGAAATTTGTAGCTGGTCTTTGTCTACCACTCTGTAAACTTCTTTTAACAAATAATTACCACAATGTCACCACTCCGGCAAATATATAAGCACTATGAATCTATAGTATACTTCTAATACCTCTGTTTTTATTTATTTATTTTTATTTATTTATTTTTATTTATTTATTTAACTTTGCCAATACAAATGACAGGACGTCGAACAGACGTCTGGACAAATCAAGGACAAGAATGGCAGGGACACCACAACAGTGAAAACCAAGTTACTGTGGGCCCTTAAACAGTTTTAATGTCTGACTACGTCCCTGTTTGGGCAATATACGATGCTTTAATCCTATGAAATGGGAAAGTTGTTTCTTCCTAAATCCTCTTTTAGATATAAGGAAACCAGTGCAGCTACCAAGCATCGACTACGAAAGTTGATATTTATAATGCAAGATATATTAAGATACAAATCAACTGGAGATTACAAAATTTGGTCTTATAATAGAATTCTGTCTAGAAGGTGCTGCTTTTTCACGAGTTACTGTTCATTTAAATTAGTCAATTATAATTAATTTGAATAATTAATTTAATTTCATCTTCTTCCAGTTCAATTTCTGGCTTTTGTTCAAAACATTGTTGCTAAACCATCAGATTTCTCCGTTCATTTGTCGTGGACAATTCCATTACCTATGATATCCATTGTTATCGTTCATTTTATCATTTACCTGAACGGTACTGAGGTCAAAAGGATATCCCGCGCATATTATGGAAATCAATACGTTCTTCAAGATCTCACACCCAACACTAATTATGTTGTTGGTTTAAGACACAGGATAGTCATTTGAAGAATACTCAGCCAATAGTTTACCACAAATTCAAGACCAAAGAAGCTGTATGCATGTTGCGTGGAATTACCTTGTCTTCTGAATTTTTTCTTCTATATCATTTAAATCCAAATTATTTTATTCTTTACCATCATAGCTCCAAATAGAGCTAATTAAATTTCGTGGTAAAAACTCACATGGATATGTAAATCTTTCCAAGCAATTTAGTTGCAAATGTAAATCTAAGGTGTATTTATTGAATCAGGTGTTTGCAATTTTCACTAATCTGTCTCTCTTTCATAAAAGTACCAAGTGGTCCTCCATTGCATGGACGTTTCTTTGACATCTCGTTGTGATTATACACATTGGAAGTATCGTGGGAGGCTCCTGATGAGAGTACAAGAACTGGGGATGAATTGACAGGATATCAAGTTTGCTTTTATACTAGCGAGACTCTTCAGTCAGTTCAAAATGCATTACACAAACACGAAGGTTCTTGCACTTACTCTCAAGAAGCTTCGGCCTTCTACTAAATACTTTGCAACGGTCTCAGCGAGCACAAAAGCTGGTGACGGAGAGAAAAGCCCGGTGGTCAGTAAAATTACCAATGGAGGTAATTCAAAGAGTAGTGTATAGTTGAAAGAGTATTTAGAATTAAGATGCTCAATGCCTTTAATCGGACCGTCTGCCATGCAACACCCATTGCAGGAAATGGCTTACTTTGGATTATGAGACCAGATACAAATCATTAATTGCGACATGCGCGACTACATTCAAATTACAAGTGGTTCCTCTCATTCTCTTATTCTACGACATCAACGCGACCGAACCGCTGCAATTGCATGATTAAACTTTCTTTCACCCCAAACATGATTCAAACCAGTGATTCAAACGTATTTTCTTGTGGCTTTTTCCAGTTTGCATTTTTTTGGAGTACAAGTTTTCACGCGGTTTCCTTTAAACTCTCGTGCATGAGCTGACATTTGACTGGGCCGCCGGAACAAAAGTTCGAGTAGAGCTCACTGACTAGAACACTAATCAGTGAACTGGGAAATGAAGTATCAGTTTGCAGTACCGGGCAAATTTTTAAAAAATTGTACATCTGCCCGCATTTAAATATGTTTTGTTTTGACTTTTGACCCAGTTTTTGGTCATTATTGGGGCGAGCCTGAGCGAGCCCCATAGTTTGATAGCTAACCAGGGCGCTCTATATAAGCGCCCTGATATAAGCGCCCTGTAGCTAACCGAGCTCACGCGCGATGCATTTATATCGTGCGTACGTATGTACACGGAACTTGTTCTACAGTGATTTAAATCCTACTGGTCTTTTCAATCCTACCAGATTGTATGCAAATAATCTAAATAATCTGTGGATGGATTATTTAATTTGAAAAAAACCCATCCGCGGGTTGTTTATAAACCATGACTTTATAGGTTGTCTGCAAAAAATACGTGGACTGTTTGTAAATAATCATTGGATTGTTTTCATATAATATATTACGTAACTAAATAATGAAAAATTGCACCCATTTTGTGTGTAAACATTTTTACATTTGGCGCCCCATGCCCCCATAGTTACTGTTGAGTTCACTGCTTTGATTACGCAACAACGACAATATTAAAATTATGCAACTTTAGTAAACATTAGACATGTGGAGACAGAGAGCATGTGGCCGTGGGAGGTCGTAAACATACACCTTCAGCGACCAGTCGCTTAGCTTTGTTTTAGTTTCATTTTACATAAGCTGTGAATAATCGTTGTATTAAAGCGAGGAAGCTTTCTTATGGTAAGTAAATTTAAACTATATTTGCATCACTATCATTTAAAGTTCCTAATATGGCGTTTAAACGTTTCAAATCGACAAATTTATCTGCTCGATTATGTATATATTAAATTATGTCGGCCTTGTACATCCATTGAAGTGTTGTATCTGGAAGCTTTGGATGACTTTGACATTAGAGCGTACTCTAGCTGCAGTCAGTCAATACCATTTCGTTTTATTATAAGCTTTTAGGTAGATTTGAGATTGAATATATGCTTTTTATGTACGAATGATTGCATGTAGCCATAATACTGCAACTCAGTCCGTCTTGCATCACATATTTTTATTTGTGTGAAGTTTATTAAATTGCAGTGATCGTTGCAATACCTACTAACTGTAGTGTCAGATCAGCTTTACCTGGGTAAATACACACATCTAAAATTTGAATTCCTTGTATCTCATAATCATAAGATAATACGACACAGTGAGGTATATTGTCAGGTATTACTATTAGCTACGGTTTGGAGACTCAATTGTCTGTTTTAAAAATATGCACACCGGCCAAGCTAAATTCCACTCAAACTAGGCGGACTGACTCAGTGTAGTCCCGTTGTCCTATCATATCGTTGTGTATTTTAGAATACAATATATACTCTTGTGGGAAATATTATTAGATTTCCGGTATCGTAATCGAATTTGTTAACATTTAGCGTTGCTAAACGTTGTTGTTTTGCAACCGTACAGAATAAAGAAATTACATTTATGCATAAAGGGCCTGTTCACACGATCCAATTTTGTCGGATCCAATTCACTTCTGATGGATGTTTTATAGTCTGTTGACTTGCAAAGTATATAGGCAGAATGGGCGGCAAATAAACTAAGTAAAGATAAAGCCAATGCAGCACTGCTTTAGTAGCTTTACCAATAACAAACTACATTCCATTTCCATATGTCAGAATCAGAAGTGAATTCGATCCGACAAAGTTGGATCGTGTGAATGGCCTTTAGTGATGGAGGAATTTTCACTATTTAACATTGCCCAAAAAGAATCTGGTACGGCGTTGTCGCTTATAAAGTACACTGGTTTTGCCGTTTTGGTACAATTTGGTACAATAACATTATTACTTTCTTTGTCTGGGGTGACATTTATGAACTAGGTACAATCTAGCCATTTTTACGTTTTCTCTAACCGTGCAATTTTACCCCAATGTTTCATACTTCGACCGGGGCATTCGATCAAATTTCAAGACATTTTCAAACACAAATTCAAGCAACTCAACCAACTCTGACTTTTTGTCTCACGGTCTCACGATGGTTGACCTGACCTTGCAAGTTGCGTTCGAAATAAAATATAACCTCACGCGATGTTCGTTTAGCCAATCATATTCCACGACCATAGACAATTAACTACAATAAAATGCTATTTCGGCGGAAACACAATCACTTACTAAGGAGGTATATGTGAGGTACTCCAAGCTGGTAGGTTCTGTTTTTTCGTTCCAGCAAATTTGCATGATTGCATGTATGAGACTATATTACTTCTACTATATATTATGTACGTATTGCCGATTAGGTCATTGATTATTAGTCATATAAATTGAGTTTGATTTGAGAAATTAAATGTCTTGATATTTAGGATATAGTTGATGATCATTGTGGTTATACAGATAATTGTCAGCTCAAAAGAGCTGTAAGGCAATTCTGCAATATCGTATACGGTATATTTAAAACACGTAATTGAATACTGTATGCATGTACAAGTTAGATATTGAATTCACTCAACTCAGTGAGTGACATGTTGCATTTGATTTGGCCAGGTAGGAATCATGTGTATTATCCAGCAACCACGGCTCTTTGCCTTGATCACGAAGAAAGATTGCTTTCCCACGTAACGCGCTTGCTGTGCTTAGCTGGGTTTTAATTATAAATTTCTGTATATTACAATGATCACCAATAAGTGCGATCTACGTTCTGGCACGTATCTCATTCGTTTTACTGCATGTGGGTGCACATTCCCCCAGTCTAGGCCAGAGGGGTGCGGGTGGGGTGCAATGTAAATTTTTGTATCAGTTAACATTTTTAGGAATTATGTTACTACCAATCGACCCATTGCATAATAGACCAATTTTCGGAATTTTCGGAAAATGTATTATTACTAAACTTAGTAAATTGCCAAGTTTGACTGCAAAATATTGTAAAGTACGAAAAATATAGCCATGCGAAGATGACAGAGCCTTATCCGAGGCTCTTATAATCTACTTATTACCATCTCAGTTTAATAATTTATAAATCGATATTCACCTCAGCTTTGGCGAATAATAATCACACGCATGCAAACAAAAGTTACAGCCAGGAAATCCTTAGCTTCCTTAGTGCTTTTCAACACTAACCCATCGTTTCTTTCAGATCAGTGAGTGCGTAATTGACTTGCGGTAGATTGTATTCCTTCATGTATATACATCCTGATTGCTTTAGATAATATCGATCGAGTGAAGAAGCATGATGGAGAGAATTGTTGATCATTATCATACGGCAATGGAGCTAGGAGGTGGGACACTTTTCATGATCTTTTAGAGCAGTATTTTCTTTTTTTCTTCATTGTTCAAAACGGCACACTCCTTATTACCAGAGGCTCTGATTGACTGATAGCAATGGGTTAAAACATCATGCCCAACAAGTGACGTCATAACGTGGGTTACGTCTTTTTTATGCATTGTGTTACGTAACAGTTAATAGTTATTCTGCTCACTCTCGTCGTACATGACTAACGGCTAACTCGTCGGCTATCAGCGCATAAACGACTCGAGTTCGCAGATTAACTGTTAGTTAATTATGCAAAAAATCCAAACCCTCTGATTCGCTAATAGCTTTGAGTGAAATCGTCGTGTCCAACGTATGACGTCATATGTGTGATACGACTTTTCTTTCACGCTATTGCGTCATAACGTGTGATAAATTGTTGTATCCCATGTTTGACTTCACATGCACCTATCGGAAGAAGGCATCAACGTCCCAAGGGAGCGGTAATGTGAAACTGACACAAATGCAAGCGAGTTTAAACGTTAATTCTTTTAAAATAATAATAAAACAATTATTGAAATCGTTTTTAACGTGATATGAAGAATTATCAAGAATTGAATTCAAGAATGAAGAATTATCGGTTGATAACCACAATCTTCAGCTTGATAATTCTTCATGTCATGTTCAACCATGCACATTCAATAATTGCTAAATAATTCCCTAATTAAAAAAATGATTTTTAGATCCTCGGACGGCAAACTGGCCATTTATGTCGACGCCATGGTCCACACTTCTTTTAGTTTTCTTGTATGTCATGATAGTCAGCCTTGGTCCTCGAGTGATGAAGAGCAGAGAAGCATTCGATTTGAAGGCGATTCTTGTAATTTATAATTTCGGCTTGGTTATTTTATCTACATATATGTTATATGAGGTAGGACAGCCAAGATACATTACATGAGTCTTGTTAAATTCTATATAAGATAGTAATAGATAATTATGAGCAGTCCCTAAATGCTGTCAGAGTGCAGTGAATATAAAAGATATTGTGTTTCAAACAAATCGCAGTGTATCAAACATATCCATTTTTTCTTACATTGCATGCTTTACGTGATATACAGTAATATAAGATATAAGTAATATACAGTATAAACATATAATCTAAATCATATATAATTTTTAGTAGATAATTTTGACTACAAAAAACCCTTCTTGTAATTGCGTTACAACTTTATCGTTTCAACAAATTTAGAGCAACCTTAAATAAAATAGACTGCGAGTTTCTAGATCATGAGCTATGTGCCAAGATGCAAAACATCCTTCTTCGACACTTGTAAACAATAAGAGTGGATGCAAGGCATACAACACGAAAATAAGGCCCAGATTTGTTCTCGGTTTATGGCTTTTTCCCACATATATTGGTCAAAATTCTTTTCTGTGCACGTCTTCACGAAAGATGCATAACCCGAGAGTAAAGAAAGCTTAAACCAGTAGGTTGCGATGCAATTACCAAAAAGGTTTATACATCCTTAAACGCAATTTTTTCGTTTTGCTAATAGTACTTGGCTTCAGTGTCATCCACACCTGGTTTCAATTATTGGTGCCAAGGCGTTGATCCTGGGAATCATCCAAGTCTTTTAAGGGTAATTCAGTATGTCTAGTGTGGTTTCCAAACCATGTATATTCTATTATAACTGTGCTCAACCACAGAAGCATAATTAATTGCGCGGTCATTAAAATGCTACTTGCAAAGTCTACATATATGCAAATCAGAGTTTTATGACGCGAATTTGTAGCAAATCGAAACTTGACCCACTGATTGCTTATATTGCCTTTCGTTAAAGCAAAAACAACGGACCTTGCTTTTTGCTTTCTTGATCATATAGGCTACACATAAGGGCCTAACTTTGTAAAAATCGGCACAAATATTGGTCAAAAATTGTTGTAGCCTGTAGGCATGACATTGGTTAAGTAGGTAGTTTATATTTTGCGACAGATACCGGCCACCGTCTGTACCAAATCAATTTAGTCAAAGTTAATTAAGTCCAAAGTTATTTTTCGAAAAAAAAACGGCATCCGAAAGCGGAACAATAGAAATGCATGCATTTTAGGATGCAGTAGCACTGTACAAACTAGTGCATCCATGTATTGTGCATGTCTACAATGCCGACCAACATATCTCATGAGCTTGATAAATGGCATATAAATGCATGCCAAAAATTTGATTGTTCTATTTTTTATCTTTTCTAGCATGCGAGTGTTACATGGTTGTATTTTATTTCTAAATTTATAGAGTTCTTTGATACAGTAAGTATATATTATGCGTTTGGATCCCATTGCACCATATTCCCCCTTTAAACTAAATTAAAAAGAGTGAGACTAAATTTAAAACCCGGAATTTTCGGCAGTATATAGCTGGAAAGAGCATGCTAAAATTAGCAAAATTGGGAAGTTTAGTTTCGAAGAATTGAAAAGTGTAAGTGATTAAGGATGCAGGATGAAGTTGGCAAATTTTGTATAAATTAATATTACGCGCAAAAAAGTCTCAAGTTACCACTTGTGGTGAAGAGGCTTTTTCGCGGGCGTTACACTAATTCATACAAAATATGGCAATTTTGCAGAGCTTTATATTTTCCCATTTTTAAATATTTGGCAACCAAACTTATTTTTAGAAGCTCTTTTCAGCTAAGCTGATGAATTTAGTTTGAATATTGAGTTTGAATTTAGTTTAAATGGTTCATTTCAAACCCATACAATCCTGACCACAAAAAGATAAGGAATTGCTTTTTTCGTAAAGTAAATGAGTTATAATTAAGAAATAAAGAAACTCAGTTCTGTCGAGATTCCCTCTTCTGATTCGCGTTGATCTCAGATCAGTTAATTATATGACAATCGACAGTTTGCCCTAGCTGGGGTGGGGGAGGGGTGGTTTGGAGCTGATTGACATGCGTGAAACTCATGTGATAGTATACGTGTTGATAACTATGTAAAAGTAAGTATATTTGAACACTCTTTCTCCTAGTTCTTTTTTATTCTGCGCAAGAAAGACAATCAAGTTAGTTTTTTGCACGTGTACCATCATATAAGCGTCTGTTTGTTGTGGTGGACCGTAGTCAAGTGGAATCCTGGTTGGTTGAATATTAATTTATTATTTCTGGAATGAATATTTATTTCATAGTTTAATTTTTTAATCGACCCTCTAAAATTTCAATAAAAAACCGAGGCAGAAAATAATCGAGTTGAAGTTCACAGCCGCTCCGTGTAGTGGTTAAAATACAGATGATTACTTTTGGATTTTGTTATCAAGATTTAGATTTACTTTTTGACACGATGAATCTTGGTGAGGGTAGGAATTGCTCTTCATATTCATGATAACACTGGGGGATGTTTGTTAGTTTTTCGGTTTTTAGCCCAAAATACAATTTGCACCTTGCATGTGATGCCCTGTGACTTGAAATTATTGAACCACTTTATTTAATGAAAATATTTCGAGACGTCATCTTCTTGGTCCAATATTCCTTCTTGTAGTTATTTCAGTCAATTATCTCTGAGCGAACTTAATAATTTTACACCCACTTTGCCCCGGGGCCCTGGAGGAACTCGTGATGAATATTAAGAATATGAGCTATATAGGTTATATGCGGACTCTCCCTAAGAAGATATATGGCTCTTCCAGATATAAAACAAAGAAATGCCATCCCAGCACACTTCATGCATTCACCCCCGTTAGGTGTGCGCCCCTGTCGGTAGATTTTACGTTCACGTAATTTATATATTTACATTTTTTTAACAGGTGGAACAAGTAAGTGCATTCTTCAAGTGACCTGATAATTACACTGCTCTCTAACGTCGTTTTGAGATATCTCGTGTATTTAACGATTATACCATGAACCCGAGTCGTATATATAATTGTTAAATTTATAAAACGAGAATTTTATAACATTAACAATGTGTAAAATTCTGAATTATGAAATTCTGTATTACTGGCTATTTTTAATACCCGCTGTATATGAGCTGATATACAATGTAGTCCAGTGACCAATCAGATTCCGTAACAGCTCATCCAGTTGATCTGAGTATAAAAATCAACCAGTGAGAAGCCAGATACCGGTGCTTGAGAAAGAAAGCGTAGACAGCGTTTGTTGTTCAGTCAATTGTAAATTAGAATCTTAATTTCGCGCCATTCAACCTGTCAGTCTTAGTAGGAAAAACGGGGACAAATGATTCCAAGCGCATAATAGCTCGAGGCACCTCGATCATGACCTAATGATCTCAGATCAGCTGGTATACGACGAGTATAGCTATATTATAGTCCACAATGTCTGTGGAAAGTTATCCACTCTAGATTCGCTCGTGAGATTTTGCATGTTGGTAGCGTTGGGTCACCTGGTCGTTTGTTTTTTTCCACATTCATGGAAAAATCTCACAGATCCACCTTAATGTATACGTCAATGCAATTTCTTTCTTTTTAGCTTATTTTGGAGCATCTTTAAATTGTTTTGTTCACATCGTCATGTATTTCTACTATATGGTGTCAGCACTTGGACCTAAATACAGGAAATATTTATGGTGGAAGAAATACTTGACTTCGTTACAAATGGTATGTTACCAAGCAATTATATTCCTTAAAATTATTCCATATTAATGACGTTTCAAAGTGGGATTACCAAAATTTCAGGATGGGCGCTGGTCGTATAAAGTCCCAAGTTCCATAAAATTTTTGAAAATTATACACACACTATTGGCGATTGCTTATTTTTTACTCGTGCTCTAGGAGAGCATGAGTTTAAGTTTCGTCGTGTGTAGGTCGCGTTTTGGACCACGATGACTGCTGCAACTGCAAAATACCATATATACTATCTTCCCAGGCCCAGGGTAACTACAAAGACTTAACTTACGCTATAGGTTCCCACAACACGCCATGATTGTGCCCTCAAGTAATGCTATTAAATCCCTACAACACAATCCCTCCCAATCCAACACAGCACGAGTGTACGCCTAAGCCGGCGTCTTTTGATAAATTGTCATAATAATAATGGCAAAAATTGGCATAGTAATAATAATGGCAAGAAATTTTAAAAAACTTTTATAATTGAATAGAATAGTCATTAGTCAATGCTGTCTTAAATGTAAACGAAACGTTCATTAATGCCTGTTTTAAACATTTACCATTTTTTTAGATTCAATTTACCATGCTTTTAGTGTATATCTTACACGCGATAACCATAAAAGATTGTACATTTCCACGTTGGGTGCTTGGATTGTTTTTCTGCTATGGTATCTCTCTTCTGATACTGTTTGCTAACTTCTTCGCTAAGTCATATATAAATCGAGTGACTGCAGAAAAAGGACAGAAGTCAAATTAAAGATCGTGAAACAGCATTTCGAAATTCAGAACGTAATTTTGAATATTTCGTTATGATTCAAAGATGTGGTGTATCAATCATGCAATCAACGCCTGTACGAAAATGATGGCGAATGTACATTTCATCAGAACGCGTTAAAAAAATGTCTGCATGAACGGCTAAAAAAATGTCTGCATGAGAACGCCTGCGATTTCACAAAACATTGAGAGTTTTAGGCCGTGCGAGGGAAACAGTTACGCATATGTTTATCAATAAAAATCACACATAAAATCACAACCTCGTAATTTCCAGGGCTAATTTTGGTGATACATTCGCACCAAAAATTGCAAGGCCAAACGGGCCTAACGATTCAGAAAGCAATATCCTCTTACATATCAGGGACGTAGCCAGACCTTAAAGAGGGGGGGGGGGGGGCCGTGAGGCTAGAGTTTCAACTTGTCTTTCATGACAATAACAGTCAACACTGAATATTAGCCTGGACTGAATAAAACAAGCATACTTGAAAGACTGAGTAGATTTAATTCTTCTTAATTAAATTAATTCATTTCGAAGTAAGTATATAATATTAGCAATAAATTTTTCAAAGAGAGGGAGCTGCGGCTCCCACGACTCTCTCCCTGGCTACGTTCCTGTTACATATAACTTCTGATTGCATGCATTTTGGTAAAATGTACATTCCGCCATGTTTTAATTGTATTGTTGTCACTGCCGTCTGTTCCGACGTGTCAAGATGGCGTTGCGTTTCTGGAATGGTATCATGATATATGTAATAGTGAATATCTGATATCTAAAATTAACATATTGGACCTCTATCTTTGTGAGCTGCATAGCTATATGTCGAATATTTTGATGTCGAAATTAATGTTTGTAGGCTAATAAATTAAATTCATAAGTGCGGGATTCATAATTTTAAGTCAAACTGTTGTAAAAACACTTTTAACGAAATGAAATTACCGACTTGAGGTAATAGTTATTCTCTTAAGAGAACCTCCAAATTAGGTGCCCAAACATCGGGTAATTTTAGAGCTAGTAATCACTATCATATTCGGTGGATAGCGCTAGCAGCTTTAGTATACCACTGTACACTGCATTGTACACTGCAACGTTTGGTGCTACCTTTGTGCACTAGCAAAAAGTTTAGCTTGTATGAAATTATACATTTGCATAAACATAGAAAGCATCCAACAGAGAAAATACACTCTTTCATAAATATTATGTAAGAGTTTCCATAACTGTTAATAAGGTGCCCCAACTCGCAGTGCCTTAGACTGCTCTGCCAACCAGAAGAGTAGCTACCTCAACAACAACACGTACTGTTAGAAAAAATTGAAATTATCCCTTGATGATAAAATCTAACAAAAATGTTTTCGCATGAGGTACATGCAGCCCGAGAGTGGCAGCGGTGGGATTCGAACCCACGCCATCTAAATGACTGGTGCCTAAAACCGGCACCTTATTTAGACCACTCGGCCACGCTACCTAAGCCTGCAGCTGTTGCAATTTGGGACACCCTGTTTGTACATAACTGAGCAAAGTTTATTGCATTACTCTTCAAGTATAAAATAGACGTGACGAACCTACACACACAACTGTAGACCAGACATCGTAGACCATTTTAAGTCTGGCGCTTTCGACCGCTAGGCCAACATGACTGTTCAAAGTATTTCGGAACTAATATCGCTTTGTTCGACGTTATCGACGGGGAAACGACAGAAGTAATTTCAAAAAGTATTTTTTAAAACAATATTATAGGAGTACTAATTTAGCATTAGTGAAAACTTGTCAGGTGTGGAATTCGAACCCACGCCCACCATTGTGGACCAGAATTCCTCATCACGTTCTTGAGTCTGGCGCCTTAGACCGCTCGGCCAACCTGACGAGTAGCTACCACAACAACAACACCTAGTGGCATAAAAAATGAAAATTATGCCTATATTATGATGTTAAAATCTTAAAAAAAAATGTTTCCGCATGACGTACATGCACCCTGACAGTGGCAGCGGTGGGATTCGAACCCACGCCATCGAAATGACTGGTGCCTGAAACCAGCGCCTTAGACCACTCGGCCACGCTACCGACAACGCGGTGCTGCCCAACTTTCCATATTGAAAAGGCTATTTACCCATGACGAGTACTATTGTGTGTGCAAATGCATTACAATTATGTGGTTTAGTATCTCTCTTATTTGTAGAAAAGTATGCCAATCCGGATTGGAACTTTATATCCACTGTAAAATATTGTGTCTATAGTGTATTCTCATCTTCACTTACTTTTTTGAATGTTTCACTTTCTTTTTCACGATAGGAGGTGTGAGGAAATTTTGACCAGCTAAAAAAACTTTTTCTTACACGTCCAATTTTGTCAGGTGTGGGATTCGAACCTACACAGACAACTGTGGACCAGATTTCGTAGACCATTTTAAGTCAGGCGCTTTCGACCGCTATGCCAACCTGACTGTTCAAAGTATTTCGGAACTAATATCGCTTTGTTCCACGTTATCGGCGAGGAAACGACAGAAGTAATTTCAAAAAGTATTTTTTAAAAACAATATTATAGGAGTACTAATTTATTATTTGTGAAAAATTGTCAGGTGTGGGATTCGAACCCACGCCCACCATTGTGGACCAGAATTCCTCACCACGTTCTTGAGTCTGGCGCCTTAGACCGCTCGGCCAACCTGACGAGTAGCTACCACAGCAACAACACCAAATACTATAAAAAATGAAAATTATGCCTATATTATGATGTTAAAATCTTAAAAAAAATGTTTCCGCATGAGGTACATGCACCCTGACAGTGGCAGCGGTGGGATTCGAACCCACGCCATCGAAATGACTGGTGCCTAAAACCAGCGCCTTAGACCACTCGGCCACGCTACCTAAGGCAGCAGCTATCACAATTTGGGAAACTCTGTTTCTACATAACTGAGCAAAGTTTATTGCATTACTCTTCAAGTATAAAATAGACGTGACAGTAATGCTAAAATTGCATGGAATTTGGCAGCGGTGGGATTCGAACCCACGCCATCGAAATGACTGGTGCCTAAAACCAGCGCCTTAGACCACTCGGCCACGCTACCTAAGGCAGCAGCTATCACAATTTGGGAAACTCTGTTTCTACATAACTGAGCAAAGTTTATTGCATTACTCTTCAAGTATAAAATAGACGTGACAGTAATGCTAAAATTGCATGGAATTTGGCAGCGGTGGGATTCGAACCCACGCCATCGAAATGACTGGTGCCTGAAACCAGCGCCTTAGACCACTCGGCCACGCTACCGACAACGCGGTGCTGCCCAACTTTCCATATTGAAAAGGCTATTTACCCATGACGAGTACTATTGTTTGCGCAAATGCATTACAATTATGTGGTTTAGTATCTCTCTTATTTGTAGAAAAGTATGCCAATCCGGATTGGAACTTTATATCCACTGTAAAATATTGTGTCTAGTGTATTCTCATCTTCACTTACTTTTTTGAAAGTTTCACTTTCTTTTTCACGATAGGAGGTGTGAGGAAATTTTGACCAGCCAAAAAAACTTTTTCTTACATGTCCAAGTTTGTCAGGTGTGGGATTCGAACCTACACACACAACTGTAGATCAGATTTCGTAGACCATTTTAAGTCAGGCGCTTTCGACCGCTATGCCTACCTGACTGTTCAAAGCATTTCGGAACTAATATCGCTTTGTTCCACGTTATCGGCGGGGAAACGACAGAAGTAATTTCAAAAAGTATTTTTTAAAAACAATATTATAGGAGTACTAATTTAATATTTGTGAAAAATTGTCAGGTGTGGGATTCGAACCCACGCCCACCATTGTGGACCAGAATTCCTCACCACATTCTTGAGTCTGGCGCCTTAGACCGCTCGGCCAACCTGACGAGTAGCTACCACAACAACAACACCTATAGTAGTATAAAAAATGAAGATTATACCTATATTATGATGTTAAATCTTTAAAAAAATGTTTCCGCATGAGGTACATGCACCCTGACAGTGGCAGCGGTGGGATTCGAACCCACGCCATCGAAATGACTGGTGCCTAAAACCAGCGCCTTAGACAACTCGGCCACGCTACCTAAGGCAGCAGCTACCACAATTTGGGAAACTCTGTTTCTACATAACTGAGCAAAGTTTATTGCATTACTCTTCAAGTATAAAATAGACGTGACAGTAATGCTAAAATTGCATGGAATTTGGCAGCGGTGGGATTCGAACCCACGCCATCGAAATGACTGGTGCCTGAAACCAGCGCCTTAGACCACTCGGCCACGCTACCGACAATGCGTTGCTGCCCAACTTTCCATATTGCAAATGCTATTTACCCATGACGAGTACTATTGTGTATGCAAAATGCATTACAATTATGTGGTTAGGTATCTCTCTTATTTGTGGAAAAGTATGCTAATCCGGATTGGAACTTTATATCCACTGTAAAATATTGTGTCTATACTGTATTCTCATCTTCACTTACTTTTTTGAATGTTTTACTTTCTTTTTCACGATAGGAGGTGTGAGGAAATTTTGACCAGCTAAAAAAACTTTTTCTTACACGTCCAAGTTTGTCAGGTGTGGGATTCGAACCTACACACACAACTGTGGACCAGATTTCGTAGACCATTTTAAGTCAGGCGCTTTTGACCGCTATGCCAACCTGACTGCCCAAAGCATTGTGGAACTAATATCGCTTTGTTCCACGTTATCGGCGAGGAAACGACAGAAGTAATTTCAAAAAGTATTTTTTAAAAACAATATTATAGGAGTACTAATTTAATATTTGTGAAAAATTGTCAGGTGTGGGATTCAAACCCACGCCCACCATTGTGGACCAGAATTCCTCACCACGTTCTTGAGTCTGGCGCCTTAGACCGCTCGGCCAACCTGACGAGTAGCTACCACAACAACAACACCTAGTGGCATAAAAATGAAAATTATGCCTATATTATGATGTTAAAATCTTAAAAAAAATGTTTCCGCATGAAGTGCATGCACCCTGACAGTGGCAGCGGTGGGATTCGAACCCACGCCATCGAAATGACTGGTGCCTAAAACCAGCGCCTTAGACCACTCCGCCACGCTACCTAAGGCAGCAGCTATCACAATTTGGGAAACTCTGTTTCTACATAACTGAGCAAAGTCTATTGCATTACTCTTCAAGTATAAAATAGACGTGACAGTAATGCTAAAATTGCATGGAATTTGGCAGCGGTGGGATTCGAACCCACGCCATCGAAATGACTGGTGCCTGAAACCAGCGCCTTAGACCACTCGGCCACGCTACCGACAACGCGGTGCTGCCCAACTTTCCATATTGAAAAGGCTATTTACCCATGACAAGTACTATTGTTTGCGCAAATGCATTACAATTATTTGGTTTAGTATCTCTCTTATTTGTAGAAAAGTATGCCAATCCGGATTGGAACTTTATATCCACTGTAAAATATTGTGTCTAGTGTATTCTCATCTTCACTTACTTTTTTGAAAGTTTCACTTTCTTTTTCACGATAGGAGGTGTGAGGAAATTTTGACCAGCCAAAAAAACTTTTTCTTACATGTCCAAGTTTGTCAGGTGTGGGATTCGAACCTACACACACAACTGTGGACCAGATTTCGTAGACCATTTTAAGTCAGGCGCTTTCGACCGCTATGCCAACCTGACTGTCCAAAGCATTTCGGAACTAATATCGCTTTATTCCACGTTATCGGCGAGGAAACGACAGAAGTAATTTCAAAAAGTATTTTTTAAAAACAATATTATAGGAGTACTAATTTAATATTTGTGAAAAATTGTCAGGTGTGGGATTCGAACCCACGCCCACCATTGTGGACCAGAATTCCTCACCACGTTCTTGAGTCTGGCGC